AGAACTCATCAAGGGAATCCCTTCAAATTAGGTAAAAACGTTCACCTGGACTCAAGGACGAACTGATTTGATTTTGGTGGTCAAAGGTCAAGGTCACGGTGACCTCACAAAAATTTCACATAAATGGTAAATATCTTATAATATATGATATATATATATATAAACAGGGATATAATCTGGAACTAGTCTGAGACAACCATGTGACAGTGATTCTAGTTTTCCTGTGTACATATCTGTCACTACACTACAAGTCACGCAAAGGCATAGCAGCTTACTATGCTTGAAAATAAATTTTGCACTTGTTGGAAGTTGGGGCACCAAGGAAAACAGACAAATGAATTAGTCTTTTAGTCAGAAGAAGTATAATGTTGATACAGGCATCTGTGTACAGGACTGTGTCTTGGTGATTAATGGGGGTTAATTTATAGCTAAATGTCTATAAGCAGCTAATTACATGAAGAATAATGAACACAGTCAAACCAATGAGTAAAGTTGTTTGAGTAAAAAGACAAAATGATACTCGTAACTTAGTGGCATCGTAAGTGCAGAGGAGCTCATGTATGTATTAAGTTCTGTACAGCACAGTGGCGGCTGCTGGTCTAATAAGGAGGGGAAGCTCATTTTCGGCCTACATCATAAAATGTGTCCGTTTATTTATATGTAAATTTGCAGTGTGACAGAAGAGAATCGCCAAACACAACGCTAGTTGTTTTTAACAAAGACAAAGTGGCTGAGGATCAGTAACGTCTCCAGATCAACTCCGAACAACGGAATGAAAAACTTGAAAAATGCTCCGGTGGATGCTTATACTTCAAGATCGCTGATTCGCTCATTTCGCTGTCAATCAAAAAGGGACTCAGCCTCAGACAGATCATCCAATCATCATGCAGAAGCCGAGCGTCCGGGCCAGCCCACTGCCCCATAGACCCCCAGAGACGCTGAGCGTCCAATGGGCGGGACAAAGCCCAGCATTTATCCAATGACCGTCTAGTTTCGCTGCAGTGGAACAACCCACTCTGTGCTTCCCCATTGAAGTCAGTAGACGCTCGGCGTCTACACTGTGTAAAGCACTGTGGCGCTGCGGGGATGAATGAGAAGGAAGTCGTGTCGGTTACCTGTGATAAGTAGCTGATTCTGAACAAAAGATGAACGTGTTCTAGCGCATATTTAGTCAATGAAATGTTCACACAACAGCACATATTTGACCACTTATTTTGTTGATATTTTAGGGGAAGCTGAGCTTCCCTTGCAGTCTTAGAGCAATCGCCACTGGCGCTGAAGTATCCAGGCTTCTTCCCTTCATCCTCCTCTCACGACCAGGCATCATTACGTTCACGTGTTATTTCTGGAAATATTTTCATCTTTGCAAAGTTTGTTACATTCTAAGACAGATAACGACCATTAATGTAACGCTGATTAAGCGTTAGTAAGCGGAGTGATACCTGTAGATATATAGATGTAGAATATTTTTCCCCAAGTTACATGTGGTTATGAGTTTGTCTTTAGACATATTGTTTGCAGGGGGCTGTCCCTCAGTTAAAACAGTTCCTGGTAACCACCTGCAGCGGGTTGTTTCATCTCCCAGCTCCAAACGGCTCTGTCTGCCCACGCTTACTCTACCATCTGCCCCCCCCCGTGAAGACACGAGGCAACCATCAAACAGCTTATATAGGAAGTAGGGGGAAGGCAGCAGACTATAACATAAGAAACAACAGTCCAGTTTAGTATAACACAGTATATTTTGTTCTGTGCTTGGCTTTATTCCAAGAGCTGCAGCAGCATTCTGTAGCATGTAAAACTGAAAATATTTTTATTAAAACAACAAGCAATTTATTAAACCCGCTCATCTACAGTGGCCAAGAGAGCTCAACACACTGCAGCATAAGAAAACGCACGCAAACAGAGAAAACACAAACATTCAGAAAACATCTTCATCAGTTTGACAACACAAAGCTACAAATACTGACAACAAAACGGTGTTTACAGGGGACAATGAATTAAAATGCATCCATGCAAGTGCGTTATTTGCAGCACATATTGTCAAACTGATGAAGATGTTTTCTGAATGTATTTGTGTTTTGTCTGTTTGCATGTTTTCTTAAGCTGCTGTGTGTTGAGCTCTTCAGGAACACACAGGATGTGTAGTGTGTGCGTGGTGTTTGTGTAACAGTACACATGTTAACGGGTCAGAGCGGACACACTGCCTGTGTGACACGCACATCTCTCGTATCAGTTTCTGAAAACAAAAAACGATGGTGGAGGAGGATGTCACACAGACACGGAGGCACTGTTGTGGTGGTGATCGAAATACATTGCATAACCTCTCCTCAAAGAGTTCAGCCATTTAAAAGATGTCTTTGTCGTGCTCTGTGGTTGCGTCTTTCTTGAGCTATAGGCAACACTGCCCCAATGATTTTCAGTGGTACTGCTCCGCTTCATACACTTTCACACAACATGCACAATACACAACATTCAGACCAGATGAACTCAAGAGTACAGACAGAAGGTTCCATATCTAATCTTGAGCAAAATGAGCCTCCAGTCTACGGTTCTCCTCAGCTTGAATGAGCTTTTTAGTCTCTTTAAGTTCTTTGTTTTGGTTTTCAGCTAGGGCTGCACCTAACGATTAACATGATAACGTTTTCTTTTCATATTATTGAATAATCTTATTATTATTTTCCCAATGGAAAACACCTGTCATATACTGTATGACAATGAGAAGGGGACGAATCTAAACCTCTGAGAAGCTGGATGAGAGGCTGTTGCTTGAAAAAGATTCAAGCAATTATAAAAATAGTTAATAGTAATAGTAATAGTAATAGTTAATTTTCTGTCAATCAAAAGCTCTATTTTCAGCATACAAACTCGACCTCATCTCCAGCAGCATCAGCAGCTGTGTTCAGTAGAAAGAGCTTTGACAAACCTGCATGGCACCCAACAGCAGACATGCATAGTTAGCAAACAGCTTGTGGACATGTTGGAGGATTTAGGAGCTCAAGAGCCAGATGTTTTTCTCAGTAGTTGGGCGAGAATAAAACAAGGGGTAAAAGCAGGGCTCACTTGTGAGGGGAGCATGAAGAATATTTAGGGATGAAAATCTATCAAATAATGTGTTTTTCAAGGAGACATTTACAGGCAAAAGCATTACACTTATTTGAATAGAAAAAGAACACTAGGTTTTCTGTACTTATTTAGTTATTACATAACTTTGACAGTCATTACGATGTGGATACTGAGCAAATACTGAAGGTCCATGGTTCAAAAATATAAAGTCTATAGGCTTAAACTACTGATGTGATGTGGATGGAAGTTCACGATCCACTAGAAAGAAGACGTCTCACTAGTTGGATTTGTTGGAACCAAGGAAACACAAAGCTGAAGAAGGGAGCAACTGTAGCTACAGCAACTTGGAGTATGTTGTATCTCTCCATACAACATACCCATAAAGCATGTTGCACCTGCGAGGCCCTCAGCATCACAAAGGACCCCAGCCACTGCCTCATTACCCATTATTCTACCTGTTTATGGTTCTGTTGAGGCTCTCACAGCAGTTGGCTCATGGTTAGGCAAATGTCGTGGTCTGGTTTAATAAAGAAAAAGTTTCCAGTGACATGTTTATTTACATATAACCAACACGATGCTCTTTACCTAACCTTAACCAGAGTGCTTTTGTTGCCTAAACCTAACCAACGAGTTGTGCGCCCCACACCCCACCCCCCCACCCAGTGCAGTGCTTTATTTGTTCCAAAAAAGAAAAAAGGTTACCTCTGAACAAAACCAAGCCAGCAATTACGGATTACATTGCGACAGTGTAATTGGGAAAATGGTATAGTGGTGTATGAGGGTAATTACATTACCATTAACCTGCTCCAGCTCCTTCCTAATCAGCAGGCAGCACTGAAGAGAGAGTATTGATCCTGCAGCCTGGGGAGAGAGCCGCTGATGAATTCCTCAAAGTTATTAGATTGATCCCTGCTCTCAGTATCACTGGCCTCTGTAAGCAGCAAGGCTTCACCTGACCACCTGGAAAAGGAAGGTATTGAGAAATGGTAGCAATATGTCCGTCCCAGAGGGCAATTTTCAGTCTCTTACTCTGGTCTTATTTGGTCTTATCTGATCAGTCTTCTGCATTTTACTTGAGAAGGCCAGAACAGAAAACAAACAAACACAAACAAGCTGTGTTCCCTTACACTGATCCAAACTTCTGTGATGTAAGTTTCCAGCCAACCCCTGAAAATGTCCAAAACAGAAACATGTCCAACAAACTGAATGTCCAGCATACTGAAAAATATTATCAGGTTGGTGTACAATCTGTTGTCATATTAATTTCTGTCTCACTTCCCTGTAACATCAAGCAACCAGAGTCAGCACTCTGTTGAGTTTGTACAGGATCCAGCTGCTCTCTTCAACATCCTCTTTAAGTTTACCCCTTTGTGCCACCTACACGCTAACATGCATACGAATGCACAATATAACTGGGACCCACTCAAAAAAAACCTTGCTCCTTAAAATTTGTCGATGCATTTTGGACATGTTCTCAACGAAAGTATTGGAAAAATGTTGGCAGGGAAATTTCTGAACGCTTAGTGAATAAGTTAACCAAAAGCTAATGCTAAATATGTTAATAAAGACAACATGTAAATAAGAACTTGGTTTTAAGTACTAAGGTTAGCAGAGAGGCCAGTCACAGCAGCTGATGGATGGATGATGATGGAGTCTCCTCTTAGTCTGTTGCCTATTGTTTTTGTCATACAGGGACATTTTTGGCACTGTTTATATTTAGGGTTTTAAGTATTTTTGATTGGAAATGGTTGATTCTGGACAGTAACTTTACCTCTATATTTGTTTTATTTGTTAACTTCTCCTGGTTAGTGGTAGAAGTTTTTCTTTTTCCCCCTTTAGTAATAAGATTTTCCATTATTGTTGTTATCCTAACTATTCTCATGACACAATGTATGTTGTTGTGGTTCCATCTCAGTACATTTTGTCTGTTTCTCCAGCTGGACAACCCTGATGAGCAGGCAGCACAGATCAGAAGAGAGCTGGACGGACGACTGCAAATGGCAGACCAGATAGCTCGGGTAAGGATTAATTGATGGATGGAGGGATGGATGGATGGATGGATGATTGGATGGACCAATGGATGGCTGGATGGATAGATGGATGGATGGATGATTAAATGGACTGATAGATGGATGGATGGATGGATGATTGGATGGACCAATGGATGGCTGGATGGATAGATGGATGGATGGATGGATGATTGGATGGACCAATGGATGGCTGGATGGATAGATGGATGGATGGATGATTAAATGGACTGATAGATGGATGGATGGATGGATGGATGGATGGATGATTAAATGGACCGATGGATGGATGGATGAATGGATGGATGGATGATTAGATGTATGGATGGATAGATGGATGGATGGATGGATGATTAGATGGATGGATAGCTGGATGAATGGATGGATGGAAGGATGGATGGATGGATGGATGGATGGATGGATGGATGGATGGATGGATGGATGGATAGATGGCACAGTTCCCAGGCCCCAATGTGCAGAATTGGTTTGTTAATGTAATTCAGTTGGACAACATCTAACGTAGAGTGTGTTAAAGAAGGAATATTATTTCCAATTAGATCGGAGAATTGTAGACAGTTCAGATTTAATTCTTACCATAATAAACACACTTTTTTAATGTTTCACATTGAGTTTCGCAGTCAGATCTCTGCTCACCTGAGCAGCTTGTAGGTGTTTTAGACATTCTGTGGATAGAGCTCATTAACTGATTGGCTGTCTTCCTGTTTCCCAGCATGGTGGAAGGTTTCCAAGGTTCTCCTCCAGGGAGATGGAGGCAATGTTCATTGAGGAGCTGCGATCGTCTGTCAACCTGCTGATGGCCAACCTGGAGAGCATGCCAGTGTCCAAGGGAGGAGAGTTCAAGCTACAGAAGCTGAAACGAGGCCACAACACGTCTATCATGGACATGGGCCAGGAGGACGAGAACACGCTGTCCAAATCTGACGTGGTGCTGTCCTTCACCCTGGAGGTGGGTGGAAGCTTGTCCAACAGTTCTTATTAATGATGTTTGGCTTTGTTATTGTGTTAGGACACACTGATTTGGGTTACAACAGATAACATTAGATGACATTAGCAATCATCATGTGAACTTACTGGACAAAACAAAGTAAAGTTTGTCCTCAGTTCGGTGCTTAAGAAAAGGACACAGGTTCATTATAATAAACATGGTTCATCCTGATGGGAGCATGAATGTTCTCACACAGTTTAGTGTACTACATCTTTAGACTGACTGACAGTGTGAAGTGCTTTATTTTCCAAAATAGAAATGGTGGATTTTTCCACATTCATCTTTGAACAGAGACAGAGGTTACAATCTCACAAGTTCCACTTAAAGGACTTACTTCTTACATCTCATGACTAAAATTCGATCTCTGTGGCAACTGAGTAAGCTCCCTCAGCTGATGAAGACCAGGAGATGTGTCTGGAAGCTCTGGACAATGTCCATTAAGTTTTTCTAATACTGCTCCCAAGGTCAATAAATCTCACTGTAATTGTTGATTCTATTTACTTAACTTGTACTTCCAAATGATCTGAAGGTACTGACATGTCAAGGACAGGAAATCATTGTACAGTCAACCATCATGTTTGAGATATCCTTTATTCACCTGCTGCCTCAGTTCATCACTTCCATTCTTATATTTAAAACCGCTGTTCACCAGAGCAGATATCAGGTTTGTTTAACTCCAGTTACCCCTCAGGTAAACACTGAACCAGGGTAAACTGCCATCCACTAGCTTATAAATGGAATGAATTACAGATGAGTTTCTTGAATGTGTCATCCCGGTGGATCAAACTCTTGTTACTGACACATCAGCTCATATTGGCACATTTTGCAATGACAACTATAAACCTCCCATAAAGACACAATACAGTGCATTGCTGTTGTCACAAACCCCCAATGTGGGGCCCCTGTTGATGTGTGCTGCACCTAGCCTCTACCCATTGCCTGCATGTGAGGCATCAAGAGCATCTGTAAATTGTTCCATCTGCCAATAGTCTGCATTTAGGCAGCCACTGAGCAAAGGTTGTGCAGAATCACACACCTCTCCTTGGAAACAACAACCAAATTTCTTAGACCAAAAAGCTGGTCAGTAGAATATTCAGAGGTGTTGGAAAAGTGGCTGGGTCATTAAGAATCATCCTCTGGTAGTAAGAAGTGTGGAGTTCTTCAGAAATTAAACATATTAAAGGTGCCCTTTGGAATTTTCTTGTAAACAGTTATGTTTACATTCAGTGTTCTTTGAGATTTTTAAAACATGTATTGTTTACATCCATCTCTTTATCCATCTTTGTTGGTGCTAACAACTGTCATTCATTGGAATAGGAGGAAACCATCAGCATTAAAGTAGAAAGTATCACGCCACCCGTGTTCTTGGAGCGAGATACAAAAAAGATGATGGCCCATTCATTAAAAACATTACTCCACAGTGCTACTAGTGGTCAAAAACCTGTTGCCTAGACTTGCAAATAAAGCTTTTTCTGATGTTGAAATCTGCCCGACCACAGTGTTTTTCCTCATGAACCATGGACGGTCTCTCTGGATCAGCGTCTGGAGTTGATAATGAGATTAGATGTTTCCAGGATTTCCACTGACTGACAGAATTTTTGAACCCCTCCTTAATTGGCTGACAGGCAAGTCCATTTCTATGTTGAACAGGAAAAGGAGACCGAGCTCAGTATCTCGACTTGGATGATAAATTTCCTGTCCAGTACCTGTGCCCAGCCTCTGTGGGTGTTTATCCTCCACCAAGATCAAATCGAGCTTATCAGTCCAGCATCACCGTGATTATCTTACTGCCCCCCTGCTGATGGTTTCTAGCATCTCAGAGAAAAAAGGCACATTTCCATCTCTTCCAGTAAAAAAAAAAATCAATGTGGGTGAGGTGGGAGAAATGCTCCTCTTTTGTACAATGAATGTTTTCTATAGCCAGGCAGCACCTGCCCACAATTTGTGCATCTCTCTTTGGATTCTGAAAAAGAGTCATTTGAATCAGGAGAGACTAATTTCTGTTAACGAATAAACTTTTACTGCCATGTGCAAAACAAGAGAGGAAAGTGAGAGATGCGAGAGTCTTTGGTGATTAGACCTCATCGTGATGTCATCATACGGTATGTGAAAAAGGGGTTGAGGCTGTGTGAAGTAAACACTGGTAGTTGTCCTGGAGATAGGAAGAGCAGAAGCTGGAGATTTGGATGTGATGATGAGCTCTGCCTGACTGGATATGAAAATTGGAGGTGAAATGGGGTGCAACTGCACTGAAATGACATCTGACAGCAGGAGAGAGGAGAACAGAGTTTAAAGTAAAACAGGGACAACGTGATTGGCTGGCTGGAATCGTGGCAAGATCTGGTTGGTTGCCAAGTGCCCGAAGTCAGTGGAGTGGGGTGACTGAACTTATGCTAAGTTCCATAGACACTCACTCAAGAAATCCTTCCTACACCCAACTGGACCAACTGTATGGAAGCTTATTGATGATGAATTCAAGCTTTAATCACTCTGCAAGATTGACCAGGGTGAGATTAAAAAATGTGAATGCAATTCCAGTGTTTTCTTGCACAATATTGATTCCATCTGTGGTCATGTTTCATGCTTCATGTCTGAAATATATGTATATTTACAGGGTGACAGGGTTCTCCTCTCATCTTCCTAAACAACCAAAACTGATATTGAGCATCAAACAATTAAAACTCTTCTAAAGAAACAGTTACTCTGGAGGCTCAAGGCATTAATTACATGTTGTTTGCTCTTTACAGTTGTTCTGTAATTGCATTGAAGCTGGACCATCTGTTTCCTTCGCTCCCAGTTTTCGAACTTTAGAAACATGGTTGCCTTTGTGGAAATTTTAACATCCAATTATCAGAATCCTCATTTTACATTTAAATAGTTTCTTCAAGATGATCAGTCACTTCATCATCAAAACACTCAATTGGTGACACATGTTATGTAAAGGCTCAGTTGATTTAAAGTAATAACAACATATATGTCAAACTCAGCCTGTTATTTACAGTATTTCTACAATTTAAGCTTTGTTAGTTCATGGGAGATAATGAAGATACTGTATATCCTGATGTGTCAAGTACAGTTCATGACACTTCATTAAAACCACTGTTTTCTTGCCCACAAAGGTGTTTTCATTGAATTTGATATATTCCCAAACCATTAAACAAAGAAAAGAACAAAAACAAAGAAACCCCCCCCAGAAAAACACTTCAAATCACTTTTTGCTCATCCTGTTTCATATGGCAAATTCAAAAAATGTGCAACACTGCCACCATGTGGTAGATGGCTTGAATAGCTCCAGTCTGTCCATTTCAACTTGCTCTTTGATGGATTATTGAGTATTTCAGTTCAGCTGACCACTAAACAGAGGTGTCAGTGTCAGTGTTTAGTGAGATAGCTGCACAACTACAGAACAGTGATTTAATACCTGTTAACCACAGGTAGCAGTCATTTCTGACCCTCAAATATAACCAACAGTCAAGCAATTGTTTGAGCAGCTCTATTGTCACTCAGACGGTGTTGGCTTTATTTTCTTGTTTCTTTCTCAGTTGCTGTTCAGACTTGTGATGTTGGACTGTGAAAACCTCTCTTGTCTCTTTTTGTTTTTAAACTGTGTCTGTGCGTGTCTGCTGCAGGTGGTGATTATGGAGGTTCAGGGTCTGAAGTCTTTGGCTCCAAACAGGATTGTTTACTGCACCATGGAGGTGGAGGGAGGACACAAGCTGCAAACAGACCAGGCTGAGGCGTCAAAGCCCACGTATGTACACACACACACACACACACACTTGTTGATCTTTCTATACTTGTGAGGACACTCCCTGGCATTCCCTAGTCTCTCACTGAACACTTTATTAGGAACACCACACTAACACTGGGTAGTTCCTCAGTTCTTCATGTCATGGATCCACCAGATGTTGAAACTTTACTCTGAGGGTCACTGACGTTCACTGGACTAACTGTGATGAAACCAGCTTGAGACATGGAGCATTATCCTGCTGGAAGGAGCCATTAGAAGATGGTGAGCTGTGGCCATGAAGGGATGAACATGGTCAGCAACAATTCTCAGATAGACTGAGACATTCCTGGACTGTTGACACAAGGCAGGTTGGTCCATGGATTCAGACTCTGACTCTACCATCTGCTGCCTCAGCACAAATCCAGATCCATCAGAGCAGGTCTTCAGCTGTCCAGTGTTGGTGAGTCTGTGTCCACTGCAGCCTCAGGTTTCTGGTCTTGGTGACAGGAAGTGGAACCTGGACGTGGTTTTCTGCTCATTCCGAGGTTTGATGTGAACCTGAAGCTCCTGACCTGGATCTGCAGGAGTTTATGCACTGCTGCCACATGATTGGCTGATTGGATAACTGCATGAATAAGCAGGTTTCCAGGTGTTTCTAAAAAGTGCTCGGTCTATGTAAATATCTAACCCTAATCCTAACCTGAACCCTGTTCTAACCCTAAATCTAAACTGAAGCCCTATTGAAGTAAAATCTGCTTGCACACACACACACACACAGACACACACACACACACACACACACACACACACACACACACACGCACACACATACTGCCATGGCTGGTAAATATGATTGTGTTGTGCATGTAGTTAGCGAAAGCTAAGTGGACTAAGCTATTTGCAAGTTTTGCTATTGCTACATAGTTAATGTTAGCATTAACAGCTGTTTTCTTGGGGCTCCTTCAGCATTAGCATTGAGGCTTGGTTTCAGGAAATGTCATGTTCAGTCAGGTGTTGCGTTTCTCTAGCTGTGTCAGGGGGTTAGGGGGTTGTGAGCTTAGGGACAGACTTCATTGTGCCTACTCAGATTTGTTCCACGAGCAGTGGCTATATTATATGGAACTTATGAATGTCTGATTTAGGCTACATGCAGAGAGAGTATGCCTGTCAGGAAGAAAATATGTTCTGAGCAGTGTTTAGACTCTGGGGGTGAACATTTAATTTCATGATTCACTTTTTTTCTCTTTTCATCATTTACATGATTATATCCATTATTAAGTAGCAGTGACAATAAAACTGACAATGACTCAGTGTCAGATATAACACCATGTCTCAAATCTTGTTTTCCATGTTAGCCACTCATTTACACTTTTTGTTTCTCAGTCTTCTTCCCTCCTGTTTGATACTGGTTAATAGTTCAGACTGTTTTATTGGTACAGTAGGAGTGATAGGAAAATGGCTGACACAGGAGACCAGAGCCTGGCTTATCTGGCTTAACAAAAGTTGATCCTGGCTTTGAATTCTGACAGACATTAGGAGCAGGTGACTGTAAGAACAAATGGACATTCCTTAAACCCGCTGTAGCTTGGTTCTGTAATCTGGATCATTCTAATCATTTAAACTGAACTTTGGTGAAGTATTTCACAATGTTTGGAAATGGTTCATACAGCCTGATCTCCAAATGACAAGATGGAAGTAGAGGGAGGGAAACCACTGACTGATAATTTGTGCCAGTCAGTGTGGACCACCATCAGGTCAATACTGCACATAAAGAACTGGTCTTAGCTTAAACGGAACATGTACACATTTAACAATTTTAGAACAGATGTTATTTAATATTATAGTAATATATTTGATGTGAATATGACTTTTTTTTAATTTATTTTGTTTCAGCACACTGAGGTGGTTTGAGATCATTGCCATGAACTGTCCAGGGCTGTGTTGTATTTACTGCTCTCTGCTCAAGCAGTAAATGCATATCAGCAGTATAAGTACACAAGAGTAATTATTTTAAAAATGTGTCAGAAAAGATCCTTATTTTTATTGCTAGTAAATGATATAAAATACATAACAACAGAAACGAAAATAAAAATAAACACAGGGAGAACTATCATTTTACACACAGAAGTTTGACGTTACTTTGAAAACATCTACCTCCTTACTCTGAAGCTACACTGCTAATCACTGTAGCCTGCTGCCCTTCATAACTGTCACAGTAATAGTCTTACATCAGGGGAAATACACTTATTTACTGATGGACTATTTCTTGGCTGGGATCAATCACCTGCCTGGTAACTATACTCACAGCCAAGACATAGTCCAGCACATAGCCCCTCATAAAATAACTTTTATTCTTTGGTTTTCGTTCAGTAAAACCAAATGAGGCACAGTGAGGATCGAAAAACCTGAGGCCAGTCTGACTAAATGACTTTTCATTATGAAAATGATATATATATATATTATTACAAAGAAGATATTACCTGTTCTGACTATAAAGATATCTTTAACTATTACTACTAACTAACCATTATATAAGTCTCTGAATATGCATTTCAGATATGAGGCTGGTGTCGAGATAAATACAAAGATTTTTCAAATTCTTAATAGTCAAAACAATATTAGTGAGATACAGACAGAAATTCTTGTGTCATCTGTGTATAATGGAAGGCTTTATATTTTACTCAAGACTCAGAACCAGAATTGACTTTAAATACATTTTATAACTGAAGGAAATAAGTTCAGTTAAATTTTCATATAGGTAACTTTTCATACAGAACAAGTCGGGACTGTACTCTTTATTATATTATTACAGACCCAACAATCCCCATGAGCTGCACTTTGTGGCAGTGGTGATTAAAAGATAAATAAATAAATATATAAAGAAATAAAAAAAGTGTCAATTTGTAGATATTTTAAGCATGTGTTCCATGTCATTTATTCAGTCATTAATATTACTATTACCATTATTATAAAATTGTTATTATTATTACAGTTGCATACATGGAGATTAGTTCTATTTTACTTTATTCCTATATTGAAAAATAAATCAATCCTAGATTTTAAATCTGCACGTTATGGAGGATAAATTGGACCTCAGAAATGTGTATGTCAGACTTTTAGCAAAACACAAACACAATCCAAATATTGTCATTATCAGATAACAATCATTCTGATGGGTAAGCATCTGTAATCAGCATAGTGACTGTGTTCTCTGTCTGATCTAAGGTCTGTAGGAGAACTGCAGTATTTCAGGAATATTATAGTTTTGTTGAATATTGAATATTATTTGTCTGATTCACTGCTGGCTCCTGTAAACTGTTCATGTGTTATTGTCAGTCCCTGTAAGAACATTACAGGGACAGTAACATTAACACAGTCTCAGCACGCTGCAGTGGAATAACTGTTATCTGCTCATGTCAAATGTCAGTGACAACATAATTGACCAAGGCTTGTTTATGTCTGTTAATTACAACAGATTACTTCATTAGAATCTGTGATGATCAGGGACAGTGTGTGATTTTATCTAATGTTCAGTGGGGAACTGTTTATTTATAACAAAGCTCGGTATGTTGAGATCAGCTGATTTGGGAACATAGACTCAACATAAAAAATATAAAAAGGTTGGTATTATTTAATGATCACATGAGACAGCAAAGTAAATCCGGCTCATACTTGGGCAACATGCTTGTCTTCTTCTGGCCCAGTATAAACCGGTTCCACGCCCCAAATCTGGCCCATATAGAGCATGACTGCCAGATGGTATTTCCACATCTGGACCACTCAGTCAATACCAGAGGATAACAGCTGGAATCTGCCCAGATGTGGAATTATATGGCCCAGACCTTGGCTGAGGACCCGGGCAGATGTTGGGCCAGAAATTTTATTAATGTTGAGATGACAAGATAGTGTGTTAAACAAGTAATGAATCCTAAAGTAATCACAGCCACGGCCTCTACAGACTTCATTTTGCTTAACATAGTAGCTAATTAGATAGTGTAAAACTTGAAACTCTACCATCATACAAAAACCTACAGGTGCACTCATACGTTTCTGCAGTCGATGATTCTGTCAATACCAGTGCACAGGTATTTCCTCTATTGACTGGGTTAATAATAGATGAAATACAGCTGTAAAGCCTCTACAAATCTCTCCTCTGACTTCACTTCTTCTTCACTACTTTTTTGGATCTGCAGCATTTCTCTGACTCGGTGTTCATCCTTCCCTTGAGTTTTTGTCTCCTCTGTTCAGTAGAGGATGTGAGTGTAACATCTGAGGTGTGAGTGGGATGTTAAACGGATTTCTCCAGTGGAAACATCATAACTCTGCTGCACAGCCACAGAAACCAGAAAGGGAAAAGACAATGTACGGAATAACCCTTTTCCAGTTCGATAGGAAAGGAAAGGCGGAGGAATTTATAAATCAGAGATAACTGTGAGCTTGGATAGCAAGAAAAAACTAACAGAGGCAGCATGGAGGAGGACAGACAGGGGTCGTGAGAGGAGGGGGTAACTGGAAGTTTAAAAAGAAAAACGAGGTATATAAAAGTGAACAGAATGGTAGTTGTTTCATGAACTGGCTGGATTTACTGAACTTTTCTGGGTAACTAGGCGCTGCTGGACATGAGCTGATCCCTGAAGTGGGTTTGTGTGGAGCTGGTTTAACTACTTCTTAGACCTGTTTGGACGCAGTGCTGGACTTCTATGTCTGTGTTAGACCTCCAGAAGTTTAGATAAGTCTCCTTTTTCTGAAGCTTTCCAGGCTTCTCCTGTTCTCTTGCCACTGGTTGATGAGCACCACCCCTCATCTTCTACCCTCCCCGGACAGTAAAGCCCCTCCACTCCTTGATTTGATAATTATTTGGTGACTCCAACAAGATTGAAATGAAGCCTCTGAAATGATGGGTTATGTTTTCATGACCTGTCCATGCTCTCCCTTCAACTTGTTTATGTCAGTATTATAAAGTGACAGATGTAGCATTCATTTATTCTCATCATATATGTTTTAGCTGCAGTACAGGTTTAGCTGGATTCATGTAAATAGAAGTAAAGCTAGTCACGGCCCCAGAGACATCATCAGTGCTAACACAGTGCTTTCTGTGTGCATGTGTGTGTGTGCGGGTGTGTGTGTAGTTGGGGTACCCAGGGTGACTTCACCACCACCCAGCCATTACCTGCTGTCAAAGTGAAGCTGTTCACTGAGAGCACAGGGGTGTTGGCTCTGGAAGATAAGGAGCTGGGAAGGGTAAGTAATTTTGGTTCATTTAAATCACTGAATGTAAATCACTAAATGTCTTGTATAGCTCACATACTGTATATACAGTATATACTGTATATATAGCATATAGTATACATATATATACATATATATATATATGTATATATATACACTTGTATTGATAAAGGATCCTTACATAAGAGATGACAATGCATGAGCTATATGTACATCTATCTATCTATCTATCTATCTATCTATCTATATATATATATATATATATAGCTGTACATATAGCTCATGCGTCCTTGTTACCCCCAGGTCGTGCTACACCCAACTCCCAACAGTCCCAAGCAGTCTGAGCTTCATAAGATGACAGTGTCTAAAGGGTGTCCAGACAACGACCTCAAGATCAAACTGGCCATTCGCATGGACAAACCACAAAACATGAAGCATTGTGGGTAAGTGACAGTGAAATCTGCATGCTGGAAATTATTCTTTCACTCTATTCACTTATTCTGATTTATCAGGTTAGAATGTTGAACACATTATAGAGTTTCCTGTGTCATCATGGTTCTGTACACAACCCAACATCAGGCTGTACAGGTGCATTAAGCAGTCTCTGATCACGCCGGCATGATCGAACCAATGGTCAAAATAGCACTTAGACTACTAAGAGCTAAGGATTTGTAATATTTTATAGCCTCCTGTGTTTGTCACAGCTTTACACACTACACAAAAGGATCTAGAGTTTGAGACCATGCATGTGGAGTACAAACAGTTGTGCAAGACCTGAGGTTTTAAAAGATGTATCAAGGTCTCTGAGAAACCTGGTTAAATGTTGAAGGTCATCTATTTTATCCTAGTAAGAATCCAAAATAGAATAAAGGAATTTGAAAATAGATAAAGATTATTGTACTGTAGCGTTAAAGGGTAATATTGCTCTTGTTTACGTGTGGTACTATTTAAGCTAAAGTGTAGATAAGACTGAGAATGATGATCAGAAGAGATGAAGATACTGAGAGAGGAGAAGACCGCAAGTCTCAGGTTAATGTTCTAACATTCCGTCATTCATTCCAGTACTGAACACATGTTAAACTAAGGAGTTTCTTTTCTTTCTGTCTGGAAAGAACCAGCTGTTATCAGGATTATAGACTGTCTCACTGTCTTAGGCAAGGAGAGTTGTCATCTCTTATGTAAGGATCCTTTAGCAATACAAGTGTAGCCTTTTGGTCATCAACCAAAAAGGATGTTAAATCTTTCTCTCCTGCAGTCCACCAATCCATCTTGGTGTATTTTCAGTTAAAATAGGGACTTTATGCAACGATGGTTGAAGTGACGGCTACGGTGCCCATATACATTCGCTCTGAACATTGCTACAATGTGTCTCTTAAAATGACCCCAGAGCTCTTGATATTTGCAAATGAGGATTTTGTATAAATCTGCCTGTTATTTCAGCACCACGGACAGCGTCATGGTTTCATCAATACACAGTACAGTCAGGTTGTGGGCTCCAGAGAGAGGATGGAGGCAGTGTGTTACTGGAGATGCTTTGTACATAAGATAATGTGTTGCTTCCCTCTTGTGGTGATCAGTTGTTATTACATAGAGGCTTCTTTATTTTCCATCACAGTAAAAGATGTGGCATGTTATTTTATTTTGGTTCTGCAACATTTTACAGTGATGGACCAATCACGTTACTGTCTACAGTTTAAACTCAAGTTGAGGCAGTTATAGTGATAATGAAATATGATAATGATGTAGTCATTCTTATGTCACACCCATGGTACACCCACACAGGTGTTTTCACTTTTCCTTGGCGTAGTTTTACAGTGAATATGTAGAGAAGGTAAAGAAGAAGGATAAAAAACAGAGGAGTGGAAGGAAAAAGGAAAGAGGGTTAGAAGAGTTTAGGAGTAGGATGTAAGGAAGATGTTGCCAAAGAAAGAAAGAGAATGGGAAAATCTGTTATGCTGTTTACAGCATAGCCACATGAGTATGTCCAATAGTGTCCAATTCAGTGAATTGTTCTTCCCATGAAGGTTTGCAACACTGAGTTTATCCAGACATGCTTCATAATTTCAGTTGTGCAGTTGTGTCTCAAATCTCTACAGTTCCATCGTGGGGTTCTCAATGAGAATTAGCTGTGCATAAGAAATTTGGACAAAGAACACGATTGAAAGTGAAAAAGTACATTATTATGGATATATTTCTCAGATGTTTCTGGAGGTTCTGCTGTTTGGAAATGAGTAATTATAAGATGAATCCAGCCTGATATAATAGTTTAACTTTATGTGTGTGACTGGTACTAAAACTTATAGACTCAGTACCGTCAATAGCTGGACAGGTGTGATGTAGTACACTATGCTTAGCTCACAATTTAGCTCTGAAGCATTACTAGGAGAAGCGTGCAAGGACTGCAACTGCTGGAGTTAGACAGACCTAGAGGGTCAGGGGGGCCTTACTGTTAGTAACAGCCCCTGGAAAAGTGTTGCCACCACTATACAAAACAGATGTGGACTAGATGATGGGATGTCTCAGACAAATTTTCAGTATCAGCAGGTCAACAGGTCACTATGGTGCTACACCACCAGTGCCAAGAGGGGCTCTATCTCTGTTTAATGTTCACTCACTGCTTTTCTCATAGTGTGAGCAGTTGAATCTCTTTAAAACAGAAATTATGCTGTGGCTCAAATACTTAAGTCAGTTCACTCATAGGTAGTACACAGTGTACACAGTACACTCACATGTACTACACTGTTGTCCCATTTCAAACACTGCCACTGTGCACTCACTGGAAATCACAATGTCTGACTTGAAAATAAACGTTTTATTTTCCTGTGTGTGCCCCCTGAGTCATGCCACATGGAAATTACTGCGCCATTGGCTCCGACAATGTTTCTTCCTTCCTCTGTTGCCTTTTTCACAATGTCGGTTCCTCCCCCTCTGCTACATCATGTGAGAAGTGTCCATCGTTTTACACTCAACTTTTTGACCATCTTAGCTGTGTCCCAATTCAGGGGCTGCATCCTTTGGAGGACAAAGGCGAAGGTGTGGCCAAAGACCACTTAGACCAAAATGAGACAGACTGGTCTATGGAGGATTTCCTATTTATCCTCCACTGCTGTTTCAGTCTACCACTCTTTTTGAAAATTCATCACTGGCATGCAATGAATCTTGGGATAGGTTGGGCAAAGGATACAAAGGATCGACCTGTTGGGAAATGAAGAAAGCATTTCCCAGCCACATTTGATGGAGCCTTTGAAATGGGACAGCCCAGTCACATCGCTGTGACGCAGCCTTTGAATGATGAGAGCCCTGAATGAACACTTAGCTTATGAGTGCACCATCCAGGTTCTTAAAGTGCACTGCACTACTTGTCAGTGTGAACGCACTTATGCACTTAAAACAAATGTGAGTATAGAAGTACATGAATTTAGTGACTGTAAGCCTCCAGTTGAGATCTGGCTTAGTCCAGTGGCCTGAGTTCGAATGCGACCTGTGGCCCTTTGCTGCATGTCATTCCCCCTCTCTCTCTCCAACCACCCTGTCTCTCTCTCACTGTAACTATAATATTGGCAAAAATGCCTAAATAAATTATAAAAAGAAAAACAAAACAAAACAAAAAAAAACAAAACTTAGATAACAAAAAAGGCAAGTCAGCTAATTTCATAGACTGTAAATAAAGATGGATGGAGCGTCCGTGACGTCACCCACAAATTTCTGAAGAGTGGTTTTGAGGCTCAGAGTGAGCTGCTCCGCTGTCGCCATCTTGGCCTTGCCTGACTCCACCCCTAACTCCCAGCTAATCCAAAAATGGGCAAACATATGCTCACCAACCTGTCACTCAAAGATGCCACGCCCTCAATTATGCATAACCTAAGCTTTAATAAAATGTAAACAGGTGAGTTATATAAACAGGTGTCATGAGGGAGGAAATTAGCTCTAGAGACCAAAACAGTTTTTTTTACCAGGCTGTAAACGTGTTTATTTCTGCTGTAAAGTTGGACATTTTAACATGGGAGTCTATGGAGATTGACTCACTGTTGGAGCCAGACTCTGGTGGTACTTCCATGTTGGCTTCATATAACCAACCTCAGAGGTAGCTGCAAGGCTAATTTACAATGTTAAATTGTAATATATATTCATAATTAGGGATGCACGTTTTTTTGCTGCCAATACCGACACAATCATCTATGCATGAATATATGTGTAATTGTAATAAATAAAACATTGAAGTGTAATAGTGTTTGATGTTTTTACATTAATGTTTTTATATCAAACATAATGTAAAATAAAATTATTACTTTTATTGTAAGTCCATTGAATAATAAGTCAAAACAATAGTAAATCTATCTGAATAATAAAAGAAAAGTGTCTCTTTTTGCTGAGCTGAACCAAATGATGTTGTTCACTACAAAGAGCCCATCACTGTCACCATCACTGTAGCTGTCAGGAGCTGTATGTCCGTCTTCCTGCCTCCCTCCCCTCCATATGCTTTCTTTTGGAGCCTTGGAGGAGGCTTCTGGGCTGCCCTGCAAGATGCCCACACTGTCTCCCTGTACCATGTGACTGGTCCTGCCTTCTGCACAGCACACAGGCAGTGCCCTCATGTGTCGCCTCACGGTTGCGGGTTTATACGACAGGCAGAGGCAGCTCTGGGAGGGACCACGGGGAAAGGCAGATTGAGGCGAACTAAGGCGGACTGAGGCGGGCTCACCAGAGAGACCTTCAGCTAGGCTTGGAGCAGCAGAGGCAAATCAAACTGGGGTCCTCACCCTCAGATGTTCTTTTACAATAAAAGCCCTCTCCCTGTTCACCTCCCTCTGAAGCATGTTTTCATGTCAGAGTCTAAAAAAAACCTCAACACACAGAGCACACATTATAAGAAATTATATCCACCATGGTGACTGAAACAGTCCTGTCTGTACTGTCTTATACTGTCTTATAGTCCTTTTGTTTAAGTTTGTTTTGAATCTTTTACATAATTCTTGATTAACTTAATTGTGTGCCTTTAAATTGTAGTCGTAACCTTTATTTTTAATCATAGTCTAGATCTCAAGGTTTCCAGACAGATCAAATATGATATGCTGAATTTCACAGAAAAAGATTCTGTAGAATTTTCCATGTTTTTTTCTTTTCTTTTGGTTTATTGGTGAAAAAACATAAATTGACAAACAGAAAGTGACACAGAAGACATTATGACCATAAAACATAAGAGACAAGTGTCAAAGTGTTTATAAAATCTGATTTTAGGGGTATGTGTTTGTGTGTGTGTGTGTGTGTGTGTGTGTGCATGACATGATGTTCTAATGAAAGTTGATTATATACAATATAATAATAATAATATTAATAATAATGATAATAACAATGATATATAATGATAGTAATAATGCAGTAATAGTGGCAATGTGTGCATGTATAGATACAGACAGCATAATTATAGTTATAATAATATAAGACATAATAATACAATACAATAATAATGTGATACTATATAATAATGATAATCTGAAAGGTAATTGTCATATTCATATTGTAAGGGAGGGGGAGAGGCCGCACTAGAGGGGCAGGCAAGGGGGCCCCAGCCCAACCACCCCAGCGCCTCAATCGGGGGCCCACGCACAGACAGTCAGGGCTGCCTGGCAAGGGCCCATCCCCCATATCTCCTGAAATTGGATGGATAGATTTTAATTTCGGGTAGCGTTAAAGTTTTTTGTTTATTTATCTCTTACACCTTGTCCTGTAATCCCCAGGAATATTTTGGATGGTGTCTGCCCACTGTGAAAAGACGCACCTCTTTCTCCTCACCCTGAAAGGGATAGGGGGAGGTCCCGCCAGATCCTGCCCCATTCTGATTATAACCATTTTATGATTAACAGTTAAAAACACAGAATAAAACAGTTTCTCTTTAAAAATCAGAGATTCAGCGACGCTCTTCAGTGACACAGGACAGGACGTCTCCAGCAGCTGGGAGCTGAGCTGTCTAACATTTCCTCAGCTTGTTTCTCTGATAACTTCAGATCCAGACGTCCGACGACTAAAATCCTTCATCTGGTTCAAATACAGAGCGGAAAACCACCAAGGTGTAAAAAGTGTATGTGGATTAAAACTAGATAAAAGTCAATGTTGAGCTTCTGTCAGACAAACACACTGACACATGATCATAGAGGATATGATGTCACTGACAGGTGACCAAGGAAACGTTACCATGATTAAAATCACAGATTTCTCTGGTTTGAGAATTGATGGAAACATTTGGGAAAATATAAGAACACAACTTAACAACATATAGAACATAGGTCCAGTTATTTCAATGTGGAAAAGTTACAGTTTATAACTTTGACAGAAACAGAAACATCATTATTAAAGTAATCTGAGCTGGGGATTTTCCGGGGAGGTGTCTTCTTCAGTCAAATGACCTGCTATTTGAACCTGATTGTTAGGGAAAATTCTCATCATTGGTGGTGAAGAAAGAGCGCTAGAGTCCAGGATGTCTTATGCTGAGGATGTTTATTGATACTTGCTCAAGGAGAAAGGAGGATTCATCAATGCAGTCACCTCAAATCTGAAGCAGGAACCCCTGGGGATAGTCTTTATACACTTAGAGAGATTACTATAGAAAGCTTACACTCCATAATTGGTCGAATATCTAGAAAAAGAGAGAGAAGAGGGATGTGTGAATACACTATTGGTTCATTAACCATAAACAAGGAAACATGACTATACACGCTGAAGTGCTGATTATAAGAACACCCAGCCACTTGTTACTGACCATCCAAGGTCTGCTGTTGTCAGCCATGGCACCAGCAGTATCAGCAGCAAACAGCTGCGTCTGAGAGGGACCTAGGGCCTTACACTGACCTTTCACCTGGAGTCAGTCATTGTCTGCACAATGATTCATGTCTTTATCTTACTGTAGCACTGTTGTCTCCATGTATAGACAAGCAACACTCTCAGTATCATTAGTTAGACCTGCTCCAAGAAAGGTCTGTCAGCTTAGACAACAACACCAACGACAGAACAGGACAATGAGATGTACTGTGATGCTCCGGGAGTTTCAAAGCAGTAATGTGTCTGGTTGCAGTGATGGCATTTTACCAGGAGATGTCAGTAGAGGCTCAACACTAACACCTGGTGGATCAAGTCACATGAGTGATGGCAAAGCAGAAAGAAGAGAAAACACTTGATCCAGTTCAGAACAGCAGCATGAAGGTCACACTGAGAAAGGTTTATTTTGTCTAAAGTAATGTTTTCTTTTGTATCCCCCAGGTATCTCTGGGCCATTGGCAAAAACGTGTGGAAAAGATGGAAGAAAAGATTCTTTGTGCTGGTTCAGGTAAGCACAGATGAAATGCAGTCATGTTTACACTGGGTTATTGTATTTTGGTTCCTACAAGATACAAGTCACACATTGTACTGGATGGTAAAACACAAACAAACACAAAGGTGTTGAACTAAAATCTTCAGGATACCACTTTCCCAGGTCGGAAAGGAAATGTATTTCTAATGAACTTGCCATCCCTACAGCAGTGATGGCTATAAGTCATCCGTTCTCCACCTGAGGGTCAGGATCCAGATGAGGTCACTGATATTTTTTATAGGACTGATAATTTGATATGTCTAATGCAAGTTTATAGAAATAAGTGAAACAGTTTGCCACCTGCCATCCTCACCGTGGTCCTCACATATATGTCTTGGTTAAATTTAGACTTAGCAGAGATGACTAGGCAAAGAATGAATTTGTCAGTTGAATGAAAAATGATGCAGCTACTGCTGTAGCTACTTTGGTAATCAACTATCTATGGGGCTGGGACTGTTGTTCGGGCAAAACAAGGTGTGTGAATGAAAGGAGCATATTTAACTATTTTATCGACTCAAAGATCATTATATTTTTTAACACAAGAATGTATCAGCAGATTAATGAAAAATAAAAATAATCGTTAGTTCTACCTCTATAAGGACCCAGGTGTAAGTTCAAGTCAAGTTATTAAACTTGAGGCTGAGGGGAAAAGTTTGAGAATCCCTGATATGTTGACGTAGTTGCAGATGATGGAGGGAAACCTTCACTTTCCTGAAATCTACAGAACCCTGTTAAAGGACCAGTGTGAAGGATTTAGGAGGATCTACTGGTAGAAATGAAAAATAATATTTATAATTATGTTTTCATTAGTGTGTAATCTACCTAAAATTAAGAATTGTTTTCTTCATTAGCTTGAAATATCTATATATCTACACATCTATGGGTCCTTTTCCACAGAGCCTGCCATGTTTCTACAGTAGCCCAGAGCAGATAAACCTAATACCGGCTCTTGAGAGGGCTTTTACATTTTTACATTACCTGAAGACCACCGCAGGTTCTCCTACACACTTGGGTGGAGTTATTCAGTTGTTTTCAATCTGCAACCACTAGATGCCACTAAATTCTACACACTGGTCCTTTAAGAGATAAGGATGTTTAATGAAATCTACCTCTGCAGGGTTGACGTTCACTCTAATCAAATCAAGCTAGACTGGAAATTTATCTGATATGTTGTTGTGGATTTTTAGAAGCTGTTACACCATTTAGCAGTTTCCCCAGTGTGACCAAGTTATAAGTCTGATCGTCAAACCAGGTTCAGGGTCACAGGTTTCGATGTTTTACCAAGCAACTTGCTAAAGTCTTTCTTCCTCACCCTGCTGTTAAACTGACCACTAGACTGGTTAAGGTGATTAATTCATATTCACAATTATCAGCTTAGAGAGAGCATCCAAATAATGTCATACACCTTTATCTTCACTCTTTATCATAATTTCTAACCACGAGATCAAATTTTGACTGAAGCGAGCTCTGTGACCTGATCGCACCACACACACACACACAACCATGAGCAGCCGTCAACATCAGCTCTGCTTCATGGCTATAATATTTTCATTGGCCACATGTTGTGTGTGCAGCGAGACGGAGAGATGCAGCCAAGCTGTCCTCCCTTGGCTGTCAGAGGAATGATGGAGAGGCCAAGCAGGCTTTTGTCAGGAGATGGGGGTGGGGTGTGTGTGTGTGTGTGTGTGTGTGTTTGTGGAGGGGTAGTGGAAGCGGCCATTTCCTGGTGGCTCTGCATTAGGAAATGGGCAGTAGCGGGGAGGGGGTGGGGGGTAGCGGCCTGTCTCTTGTGCATTGGAGAGGATATGTCTCAGAGCTACAAGTTGACAGGGGATTGACAAAGTCGAGTGAACACTAGCTGGCCTAACACTCGCAGCTAGAAAAGCCTGAGCACCGCCAACTTGAAGCCTCTCATTTGCTCCCAGCTAAATATATAGCAAGTGACAAATACTGGTCAATCGACTGCACACGCGCGTGTGTGTGTTGTGTGTGTGTGTGGCTGTGTATGTGTGTGGGCTTGTTTCATTATATTTGTGGGGTCAGAAAAACAGGAGCCCACTCTATTTGTGGGAACAAAATGCTGGACCCCACAAATTTAAAAGACTGTGTGACAGTTAAGTCCTGGTTTTAGGGTTCGGGTCAGGCCTGTTGTGATGGTCCAAGTTAGTATAAGAAGCCAATATGTCAGTGATGGGTCCCCACAAATATAATAAAAGAAGGATGTATGTGTGTGTGTGTGTGTGTGTGTGTGTGGTGGGGGGTTGTTTTTATGTTTGTGTGTGTGGATGTTTGTTTTGAGGAGCAGACTCACTCTCTGGCTGCTGCTGTGTGTTTGAGTGCTCATGTGTTTGTTGTTGCTGTTTTAGATGTTGCGTCGTAGAGACTCTGCAGTGTCATTTTTCCTTCACTCACTGTCTGGTTTTTTTTTCATGTAAAATGTTGTGAGTAAATTCTGACCGTTGTCATTTTGTTATCCATGACTGTGCTAATCACTTCACACTTTGATTTGGATCATTTCCCCTTGAATGGGTCAAAAATATTAATATTAAGTTTGTCTCAGTCTTTTAACTCATGTCTCACTGAGTTGTATCCTCACGTAATAATTTTACTTTTGACTTTTTAACTTTTACTCATTTTACAGTTAGTGTCTCTGCACCATCCAATACACTGTCTAGATGACTCTTTTACATACAGCTACATAAAAACAAACATTGCTGCACAATTTCATTAAACTTCAAAATTAAACTAATTGTGACGTGCACAGAAGTGGGGAAGTTGGGGAAGTCAGCACTAAGTCATCAGCTGATGATTCTTCAAGACAGTTCCTGACCTACAGTCCGATCTAGTTAATCAAGGACTAACGAGTTAATAAAATTCATAGAGTGTTTTTCACATGCCACAATTAGTTGAATGTTTTTCTATTTTTTAAGTTCATGAAATATTATTTTTTTTTTTGGATACAACTGTATTCAGAGGAAGGAACAGTGACACTCAGGACTGAAACGATCCAAAGCTCATGGTCTGAAGCGCGTGGTGGAAGTACATTCAGGGTGTGTCCATGTCTTTTTTGCTATTTTAACAGCGGAAAAAACAGTCTCTGCTCCAGTTGCATGGTTCAGAAGGGTTGTACTTCATCTCTTAATTATTCATGGGAATGTTTTGGGTGCAACATCCAATAAACCAATCACAGTGTCATCTCCCATTCCCTTTAAAAGCCAGGCACCTGCACCTTGGCAGATTGCTGTTACAACGGCATAGTGTTTCACACAGAGTTAGATTCTGTTTGCGGTCAGTTGATCACATATTGTGACTGACCAGTAAGCCCAGTCCTCACCAGTGATCCCAGTCCTGACCAGTGAGACCAGTCCTGACCAGTGAGACCTGTCCTGACCAGTGATCCCAGTCCTGACCAGTGATCCCAATCATGACCAGTGATCCCAATCCTGACCAGTGAGACCAGTCCTGACCAGTGATCCCAGTCCTGAACAGTGATCCCAGTCCTGACCAGTGAGACCTGTCCTGACCAGTGAGACCTGTCCTGACCAGTGAGACCAGTCCTGACCAGTGAGACCTGTCCTGACCAGTGAGTCCAGTCCTTCCAAAGAAGGTCTGAGTAAATCCTTATGCTGCTCACAGCTCTACAGTGAAGTAATGGCACAAATCACAATGTCAGAAAGATTTATATTTACATGATGAGAAGTGTGAATAAATCTTTAGCTCCTTATGAAACTGTGGACAAATTGAGGAGATGAATGTGGAACACTGTGGAGGATTTAGCAGGTAGTAAGAAAGAAGCTTCTCTGCAGAGCCTCGGCAAGAGACATCCATGACACATGATCACGTTATACAACACACAACATGTCACAAAGAAGCTCCGACCTTCTGAGGCTGTATTGTAATGTTCACCTGACTTCTGATCCAAACATCTAACAGCATCTTCAGCTCACTCTGCTTGTGTGTAACAGACAGAGTGTGTGAGCTCTGTGTGCCTGTGTATTTTGGCACATATTACTCTTGATAATGCTCCTTAAAACAACAGTGAAATACTGGGACACTGACTAAAGAACAGGTCTTTGCTGGTCAATCACTTTCTGCTGCCTCAATATAACAATGAGCCAATGTGGGTGTGAGATAGGGCCCTCAGTGTTCCAGTATCAGTGTACAGAGCAATCTACAGACTATTAATAACGCTCTTTATGAATTTGTGAATCATAAAGAGCCTTATTAATAGTCTGATGATACCTCTGAACCTGAGCACAGGTATGTCTTCCCTTTCTTCTTCAGGTGAATAAAAGAGATGGGGAGTCTGCCTGTAATACGATAAAGGAAATTTGACATTTTGGCAAATGTGCTTTTTCACTTTCTTGGGAGGTTTATATGAAAAGATCGACACCACTCTCATGTCTGTATGTTAATATGAAGCCACCACCAGCAGCTCGTCAGCTTAGCACAAAACAGCAAGAAGCAGATAACCACAGATTAAAATGCTTTATATCATCTGTTTAATCTGTATAACATTGACTTTTTATACTTTGGTATGGTATTGGTATTTTTTTAATTGGACATCCAACTCTTGGCAAAGAAACTGAATAAGCACATTTACCAAAATGTCAAGCTTTTTCGTTAGATGTGATCATGTGATCATAACCTTCTACTCCTGAGGAATGACAGGGTGACCTGAAGAAGTGGCCATATCAGTAACAAGCTGACTGTGAAGGGATGATCACAGTCCCACTTCTTTAAGACAATGTATTCCTATGTAAAAAAGATAACTCTCTCTAACAAACACTCTGTCACACAGGCACAGTCGTATTTGGAAGCTAATGAGAAATGTAATGAGAGTATAGCTGATATGTCAACTGAACGCGTGAGATGTAAATAAAGACGCTTTGGCTATTCACAGTAATATGTAAACCCCTTTACAAAACCCAGTTTAACCCCTGACTGTGCATCATGGTGGAGGTGAATGAAGACTCAAAATGTTTCTGTCAGTGTGATAGGGACAACACACTCCTGTGTTTGAGTTCAAATGGACCTTTGTTGGTCTGATCAACATGGTTTTGAATCAGGAGTTGATACTCCTCATCTCAGCTCTCTTCTCAGTGCTCCCCCTCTCTGTCCATTCTCCTCCACATCTTCTGCTTCCACCTCATTTTCCCATCCTCCTCCTCTCTTTACTCTCCTTGTTGTTTAGCCCTTGCCTTTCAACTCCTCCTCATCCTCCTCCTCCTCCTCCTCGTCCTCCAGTAGTTCCTAATCAGTGCAGTGGTTGTGGCCTGAGTCGACCCTCTTCACAGTGTCCAGGCAGATTACAGATGTCTAGGCGTGTTCATGGTGGACCAAGTGTAAATGCACATCTGTCCACATCTGTCTTTCAGTTTGTGTCAATTCAGTTCATTTTAATTCAGCTCACTTTATTTCGATTCACTTCGGTTCTGTACATTTTATTGGGAATACTCAATTTATTTCTTTTTAATTCACATAACTTCATCTCAGTTCATTTCAATTTAATTAATTTTATTCAAGTTCATTTAATTTAACATCAGCAATAACACTGAAACTTGATTTAAATTTAAAATAAGATATTTCAGTAAGACAGCAGTGCACATTCAACTCCACTGACAGCATGAATTCTCTGTGTTTTTGGAGCTCATTGTAGAACAACCTCTCTTTCTCATGTCAGGGTTTGGATTGAAAGTTTTGCTTTTTGGCCTCTGAAGTTTGTTTGGGAACACATGTGCCACATCCAGCAAATCATCTCCAGTGTTCACATCCATGCATTTCCAGTAATGATGTGAACATAAACGACTGCAACAATCCCCTTCACTCTCTGCTCCTTCCTCATTCTTCATCACTGTCTCTCCATCGCTGCTCCGCTGACTGACAGCTGAGAGAGAGAGAGAGAGAGATAGACAGAGACACACTGGGAGAAAGGAGGCTGGTGTTTTGGGGTATGGGTGGAGGGAGGGGGGTAGTTTAGACTCTGATTTGCCTTTGTGGTGTCCTGCAGGCCAGGGAGCTGCTGGAGAGTCGGTCCAGTTTCCTCCATCCTTTGCTTGGCCTCAGGTCTCATCAGTGCTGTCGTGAGGAATCTCATTTGTCACACACATGGAGGGAAATCCAACACACACACACACACACACACACACACACACACACACACACACACACACACACACACACACATACACACACAATGCAGCTGCAGCTAAAGTGAGAGCTGCCACTTGCAACGGCAGAGGTGGCGACAGCGCCGGATTGGCCAGGCCTGGTGATTTGTGACGACAGGCCTGTTTGACTGGCAGCTACAGTGGCAGCAGGCCGGCTACAGCTAACAACACAGTGTCACTACACTTCCTCTTACCAACACAGGGAGCAGTGTCAACACCACACCTACTAACCTGGACCACGGTTACACTGATATCTGGGTCATACTGGCCTTTTATTATCAGGCCTGACAGTGTAGAGCCTGTTACATTACTCCACTCTGTTTGTCCTGAGGGTGGCACTAAAGAGAAGCCCACAGGGTCATTCTCATCAAAGGTCCATCCTCTGGGAGCATGAATGCATTTATCAGATATGATAATCTCGTATTTATTTTATGTTTATCTTGTGTATTGTCGGCCTGAGGGGGGCACTGCAGTGGAGAGCTCATGGGAGTGTCCAAAATGGAAAGAGTTCAACCTACAGAGAGCATGAATGTGCTCAGTTAAATTCAAATCCTTCACTTGAAGTGGTGTATTTCATGTGTGGAGGTGGAGCTTTTGGATGATTTGGTCTAGAAATATCTCAAAAACTATTGGATGGATGGTTGCTACATACATTCATGTTCCCCTTTGTCTTTCTCTGCATTTATTTTAAATTGTTTTAATTTATGACCAAACACCTACAGAACTAATGATATCCCCATCATCCTCAGCTGTGCTTTGTGTTAACAGCTATTTAGCAAATGATAGCATGGTAGCAGGTGAATGCAGTAAATATTACCTGCATGTTAATGTTGTCATTATGAGCATGGTGACGGAGCTGCTGGCCTGGCTGTAGACTCTTAAGCCTTCACATTTGGGGGTATTCAACAGACACATTCCACACATGTGCACATAAAAACATGATATTCACCTGCTCACGACATCTGCAGCTTGTGCAACGGCTTAACAAGAATATGACCGAGCATGTGGAGTAAAGTATACGCAGTATATAGTGTGCATAGAGAGCTAACTTTAATTAAAACTCCACATTTTCCTCTTCTTCTGTGTTTCATTTGAAGTGTTGATCCATAAGAAGATATATTTGTGGTTTTAAGAACCAAAATCCATCTCAGGCTTCTCTCTGGCGCTCTAGTTACAACAGGTCGGTAAGCCAATCAGAAAAGAGGAGGCTCTGAGCCTCTCTTCTGATTGGCTGACCGATAAGTTGGATGGTGGGCGGGGCTTGGGGCATGGCTTAGGGCAGTAACTGCTTTGATGAAAGCAGACTCTCAACTGCGGGGATGAAATTAAGTCACATAGCTTTTGATGCACAGATGAATAATGTGAACAGGAAAGCAGAGTGGGGTCAGACAATCATTGCAGCTCTATTGTGGAAAAGATACAAATATAAAGCCTTTATTACACTGCTCTTCCACCTCTGCATCTTTCACCTTAAATGAAGCCCAGTTCTTCTAAAATTCAGTGATAATATCTATACACATCCGCTAACCCCTCCCTCCACCCACCACTGTAGTAACCCCCCACTGCCCGCCCCCCTGAAGGCCAACTACACACTTAATATTCCTCACACTCATTTCCAAGCACCACAACTACACATATTTTTCACAGGTAGATTTCACTTTTAAATAAATAAATAAATAAATAAGCAACCAGACTAACACACACCACATGTATTATGCACATGACAAACAGAAAGTGTTTCCTATTAGGGAGTGTTTACACAGTGTTTAACACTGAGTGAGGGGGTGAAGGGATCTAATGAGCCCCCTCCCTCCAAAAGTCTAACACAGATGTTGTGATGGAAATAAAAAACAGTCTGGGTCACTAAGTGTTTAAAGATGCAACGTCTAAACTAAAATGTGTAGCAGATAATTCATCCATTTTACACTACATAATTTATTTCTAGTATTCATTATCATCGTTATTAATATGGTTAGTCCCATGATGTGTTTACATGCTGTCAGATATGTAGGAAAAACAAATGTCCTATTTGAGATGGAATTTGAATGGCAGCTTTTCGTGCACCGCCCTGAACATGTTGGAAAAACATGTTAATAATGAACCCTACAGGTGAAGTGTAATGACATTGTAATGACATCTCTCTCTATGTTACTGGACAATGTTACAGACAGGAAGTTATATTATCATCTGAAAATACCTTAATGAATATTTTATTATCTGTCTCTAAAATGTTTGTCATTGATGATTTGATTTGGAAGATATTGTGAATAAGTGTTGTACTGAACATATTGAAGGTAGTTATAGCTGGAGTTTAAAGACATGTGGCACATCAATGATTGCTGAGGAAGAGGTTTATACTGAGGGACAGCTGGAGGTGAGGATTTGTGGTGTAGTATGGTTAACAGCTGACTTCTCCTGAGCTGGCTGCTAAGTCAACATGTCCTGTCTGTGTAATTGGTACAGGTGAGTCAGTACACCTTTGCCATGTGCAGCTACAGAGAGAAGAAGGCGGAGCCTGTGGAGCTGCTCCAGCTGGATGGCTACACTGTGGACTACACCGATCCCCAGCCAGGTAACAGAGACCACTTCACACGGGCAAAGAAGGACATGTGTCACAATTCGAAATGCAGATTTGTTTTTAAAGCCACTGCACAGCTTTAGTCCGCCCACACAGGTGGCACACGTCACTCCATGGGGTTCAGGTCTGGAGACTGTGCTGGTCTTCATCATGTGATCATTATGTTGCTGTAGGATGAAGCCCTGACCAACAGTCAGTCTTCCTCTGTTGCTGGTCTGTTTCCCTCCACTCTGACACCAGTATACAGTCCTACTTCCTGCAGTACAGTGTTGTCATGGTGATGATCAGAGGGTGAAGTGACACAGTTGGTGCAGACAGAGCGTTTGTCAGTCATCAACCTGCAGTAAGCGTTTCATTAACTTTCAAGGCTTCATTAACTTTCACTGCTGCAGTAAAGATGGAGTTTTCTTCATCACCATCACTTTCTTCATCCTTGAAAAAGATGAAATGATTTTTCAGTTTTTGGTTTCACAAAGATATTTCAGAATGGTTAGTCTAATGCAAGTCAGGCTGCTTCACAATAATGAAGACTTTAGACACCTAGCCCCGAGACTAACTCAGGGGCCAGTTTCACAGAGACAGACTTTGACTGTGTCTTTTATATATGTATATATAAAATAATCAGACTTCAGATAAACGTCTACATTCATCTGTTGCACAAAGCAGTTTAGTTCTTGACCACACTAAGCCGGACTGTGGGACAATGAATTCTGGGTAAACTAAGATTTTTTTCAAATAAAAAAAAAAGGGCTGACTGAGGAACCATGTCCCACTGCTTAGTTCCCTTTACCCTCAGCAGAAAATGTTTGTCCTTTTGAGGAACTCAACACGTTTTACATGGGAAATTTAGCAAAGAGTGAAACAATAGAAATAAAAATCTGATTTGGTCTCTAAAAAAATCTTTCTCTTGTCTTTACTCTCTCCATAACAATGTCAGCAAACCACAAATTATGAGCCATGTTTTCCTGTTTTTTGTTGTTGGGTGCTGTTGCTCAGCGCAGGGTCATTGTTTGTTACCATGGGAACATTGGTCTCAGACCTGAGTTAGCCTGGGGGTAAGGTGTCTAATGTTTTTGTCTTAAAATGAGTCAGTCTTTATTTTTGTGAAACAGTCTGACCAACATTAGACTGATCTGTGAGCAACATGAAGACTGGACCAGCACTACAGAGCAGTCCCACATATATCTTCACTAAATTTCCCTCTTTTTTTCAGCTGAGGTTTCAGTGTCAGTACTAGAGAGGAAAAAATGGCATCAAAACATCTTCACCTGTGGCCTACGTGTGCTCAGCCATATTGGTATTGAATATAACAGAGAAAGTTAGAGGTTCTATCAGGAAAGTTCACCTCTATTTTACTGTCACACACTTCCTGTCTGCACTAATACACAAAGTCACATATTTTCAGTGCAGACAGAGGAGGAGAAAGACGCATTTACATACACTTGTTTTTGAGTTCTACATTGAGTGAAGTTATCCCAATACAGTAAGAGCCTTCAGATATTCAGGTCATCAGCTGTGAAAACTGATCCACCAAACAAGAGCTGGTGAATCTCTTCTGGCCACATCAAAGATCACATACAATTCATGTGAACCATTGGACATTCATAAAGGTTGTTAAAGTGTTGTTTACTCTTGTACAGGTACGTGATGTACCTATACAAGGAAAAATCTAGGATACATCCTCTGTCCGTCTCTCAGGTCTGGACGGAGGTCGGACATTCTTCAACGCTGTGAAAGAGGGCGACACTGTGATCTTTGCCAGCGATGATGAACAGGACCGGATCCTGTGGGTGCAGGCCATGTACCGAGCCACTGGACAGTCACACAAGCCAGTTCCTCCTACCCAGGTCCAGAAACTCAACTCGAGGGGGGGCACAGCACCACAGCTGGATGCACCCATTTCTCAGTTCTGTAAGTTTCCATTTCTGATTCTTTGCTTCACCACAAATAGGCTGCAGTTATCTAACTGATGATGTGTCATCCATTGTTTTTGGTCTAATCATTGTTTTTGAGGAAAATATTTGAGCCTGCTTTTATAAAATAAAAATTCGACAGTTAACTTGGAATTGGCACCTGAAGCTGACATTTATTGATTAAACTCATCATAGGAAAATGTTCGGCCCCATTTAATGTTGTGTGTCCTCAGTTTGTCTCCTCCTGGTCTTGTACTCTACATGTTGCTGTTATTCTTTCTCTGTGTGCTGCTTCGCTCTTTGTCGTAGAACTGCGGTAGTGTTAAAGTGTCGGCGGTTTTTCTGTGTGCCTTTATGTTTCTGTTTGTTTCTTCTTCTTCTTCTTCTTCTTCTTCTTCTTGTTCTGACCCTGCTCTCTTGTAGCTGGATTAAAGGGTAAGTGCTTTCCTCCCCTTTCTTTCTCTTTCCTCATGTTGTCTTCCATCGCTCTTCCACAATTAATAACTTTCTATTTGTTATTTATGACAGAAATACATGACACATGAGCTTCTCTGTAGTCTGCATGCAGACATGAGTTACTCTGGCTGTGCTTCTGTCTGCATATTTTCCGTCTGTACTGCAGGGCTTGACCATACTTGTGTCACACAGAAATGCTGGTTGTTTCTTCCGGGAATTAGATTTTTCAGAAAGCAGTATTAGAAAACAAAGCATGAGTGGTTGTTTGACTTTTAATCTTATAATACAAAAGCTAAATAAAATTGAAATACAAGGCTAGACAAGAGCGAAATTTAAAATATTTAGTTTCAGTCTATTTAATATTCTGAGGCAGGTGATGCTGAGAACGTTTCTTAACAACCGAAAGACACATTGACAAAGGTTTACAGTCGTATAATAGTTTTTTCTTTTCATGGGGACTTCATGAGTGATTCCTGTGAAGTCACAGCATGTCTGTTTCTCAACAAGAACTGTGATGGCTGCTGTGTCACCACTGTATCATCCGCCAACGTAATAACAGCCCACAAACGTAATAAACCACAAACGTAATTCAAATCTGCAGCTTTTAATGTAATAATCCCACAAACGTAACAGCAATTGCCTACCACAAATGTAATACGTAATTTTCTGCAAATATAATAGCTTGTTTCTTTATTTACTTTCACACCTGCCAATGGGTTCGAGTCAGCTCATTAGAAAATATCATGGGTTTTGGCGGAGTGGGTCAAAATGTGTCAAAGCAGTGCTCTGAGTAAGTTATATAACTTACAGAAACATTGCGCGCAATATATATATATATGTAAAGAGGAGCACAGTACCATTAAAACTTGCTCTGTGTGTGTGTAGGTGTGGGTGCGCATGTGTGCGTGTGTGTTTGCATTATATTGTTGTGTTTATGTGTATGTATTTGTGTGTGTGATCTCGTATGAGATATACTGCATTTGTATATTAAACCTATAAAGTGTCAGCCTGTTTGGACAATGCGAATCATCAAAATTCACCATACCGCCACAGGCAAGTCCTGCAACATAAATTAAAATGCTTTGCAATTTAAAATTGCAAAGGTCTTAAGATAAGACTGACCAAATATAATGTTGATCAGATTAATTCCCTAGGAGGAGTTTGTTTGATGTCTTGAAATCTAAAAAATTGCTGATTAAATTTCCTGTTGGGTTTAGGGTATGGGTCGAATTAATGTTTTTTGTAGGTTTTGACATGCTACATGTGCCTACCAAGTTTCGTGAATGTAGCTGAAACCCAGTGCGATTTGTGCCACAATAGCGGGCGCTATCGAGCCATTTGTGCAAGACCCATAAAATATTGAAATTTTCACCACACCTGACGTGTGCAAAATGTTGGGCATCGGAAGGCCTTCAAAAAGGCCATTTTCATTCAGGAATAATAATAAACAACAAGGTTTCAATAGGGTTAGCATAAATTTTTGATGTAAATAAATGGAAACAAAATTCAATCATGAAAAATTCCTTCAAGACATGTTATAGATGTATATGAAATACTTTTATTTGAATAATAGTGTGTCTAACTTTTTTCTGCGTAAAAAAATATATAAAATTCTCTTGTTAAAATCCTTAAAATGACATCTAAGCCTTCTCCCTCGTTAAAAACATTTCAATCCTGTTTTTATAAATATATTAATAATAAAGTCGATTTAAAAAATAAAAGGCTAATGTTAGTGCTGTCAGATTCCCTGTCTTTTCCTAAATCCTAAGAAATCACATTCACATTTTTCCTTCACCTCATGATGTTTTCCATCGAGGTTGAGAAGTGGTTAGAGAGGAGACTATTTTCACTTTTTGACCACAGCCCTTCTTCTTCTTCTTCTTCTTCTTCTTCTGTTCTTCTAGTAGTTGTAATAATAGTAATGTAGTAAAGTAGTAAGTATTAAATTATGGAGTATACTTGGCTTCTTAAAGCAGCAGAAAGATCCTCTACCTCTGAGCTCCTTCTGCTTAGTGGAGACTCAGACCAAAACCATCTGGATTCATCTGCATTCATCTGTTACTCCAACTGGATGAACAGATGACTGCATCTAAATGCTTATCAGAAGCCATTTATTAATTACACAAAAACAAAAAAATTCAGCAGACAGTACCTGTAGAACACTAAATGCACAATTGCCTCAAAGAGAAATGCATGCCGATCAACACAACCTATAAAAGAAAAAAAAATGCTTCCTGCGTTCATTTGTGTAAGTGAATTTAGTGAGCGACTTGTTTTTGACACAACCTCTGGAATCCCACTGAGTCCCAGCAGCTGGTAATTACCAAGTTAAAAGTGCAAGGCCATGAATAATACAGTGTGGTTGCTGCACAATTAAATCAGGCAGCAATCAGTCAATGTTACCAAATAACTACTTGCCAGTTAACACCTGGATCAGCGCAATGAATAATATAACGTCATGTCGCCCCCACCCTCACCCTCACCCCCTGATCCAAATGAAAATAGACTACATTAAAACACTGTAACAACAAAGACAGGATGAAGAGTTTTGTGTTCAGCTGCTGATACATGAAATTATATCTTCAGTGAACTCTTTTTACTCCGATGACAACGAGAGAGTTTTCATTGGTTTTATTTTAGTGCCGTAAAACATGATTACAGATATAGCTTGAGAGAAATGATAAAGTTTGAGAGGCTTTTTGAATTTAGTTTTCATATTCAAGAAGAAGAAATAAATTCTTCTTCTTCTATTGTTCTTTTCTAACTAGGATAAACACAACTGTGGTGCCCTTGAGCAAGGCCTTAACCCCAGCTGTTCCAGCAGACCAACCTGTTTTAGCTACTTACATCACTCAGCTTCTGTGCTCCTGCTGCTTCTATAAACTGAAACTACTGTAGGTATTACACTGACTATAGATCATTACCTCAGACAACCCCACGTCTAACAACAAAAACTGTCACTTTAAAATAATAACAACTTTATTTATATCGCACCTTTAAAAACAGAGTTTACAAAGTGCTTTGACAAATGAATCAAAAGCAACGATGATCAAAAGCAAGACAGAAAATGGGTAGAGTTACAGAGGGAGGACAAATAATATAATTCAATATAGATCAGACGTCATATAGATACACACACACGCACACACACACAAACACACACGCACACACACACAAACACACACACACACACACACAAAAAAATCTTAAAATCAATTCTAAAACAGACAGGGAGCCAATAAAGGGAAGCGAGGATCAGGGTGATGCTATGTGGTCTGTTTAACCCAGTAAGAAGCCGAGCTGCTGGATTCTGAACTAGTTGGAGGCGGGAGAGTGATTTATGATTTATACCAGAGAGGAGGGGGTTGCAGTGGTCCAGTCTTGAGAAGATGAATGCATGAATGACTTTTATCAGATCAGGTTCTGAGATGATGGGTTTGATTTTGGAGATGGATCTTATTTGGAGGAAGCAGGACTGGACAACTTTTGTAATGTGGCGATCAAAGGTCATGTGTGAATCAAACAGTACTCAAACAGATTTCTGGTGATGGGTTGAACATTCGCAGACCAGGGACCATGGGTGTTTTGAATGTGACTCTTTGTTAAGATTGATTCATCTGTTGAACTGCTGCAGTATTTCATCATAAACTGGTCTGTTGTGTAAATGTTTGTCTTGTGTATTTGATTTAACTTCCTGAACTGCTTTGGTAGTGTCAGCAGAGCTCATGTGGCCTGATGTGTGAAGATTGTCTTTGTTCATTTTTTCTCAGTTTGAACAGTTAGTTCTTCATTTACATTTCATTTCATTTTGACTCGTTCAACTACTTCACTTTGCTGTGTCGTGGTTGAGCTGTTACCACTGACTCATTGACTGTGTGCACTGATGAGCTTTGTTATGGGAGAATCAGACAAACAGTAAGGCAAGGCAAATCTATTTGTATAGCACATGATCACACACAGAGGTCATTCACTGTGCTTAACAGAAATAAAAGAATCATAAAAATAAAAATAAAAAGCAAAGAGTTTAAAAACACAGATTATAAAATAGATAATATGTCACCGCAGAGGAGAATAGAGCCGTTTTTAGCTTCTTTTTAAAGCCTGTTACAGTTTGCGTCAGATTTGATCACTGTGAGCTGGTTGCAGCAGTGGGCAGCATAATGGCTGAAAGCCATTTCACCCTGGTTAGCTTCAACTCTGGGCTCCACTCACTGACCAGCTCCTGCAGATCTGAGAGACCTCGAGGGCTCATATACATGAAGCTCTGAGATGGTCGTATCAGGTAAACCAGTGAGGAGAGCGCTGTGATGATCGACTCTGGAAGATGTAAAGGCATGAGTTTCTCTTGGTTAGGCACAGTCTCTGACCCAGCTATGTTTTTGAGATGCCAAGTAATAAAAGAGATGGGAAAAGTTGAAGAACAGCTCAGTGCAACTACTGTTACTCTTCACTTTTTTTTATACTCAATTATTATAGTAAGAACTCACTGGCAACAGATTCAACACACGTCAGAAGAGATAATCCCACAAATATCTCAATTCACTGCTGATGTTTAAAACTCAGAACAGCTGTGAGGTTGCTAACATCAGCTGCTGGGAGCTGTGACAAAATGATGAACTGTATCTTCCTCATTAAATGTGTGGTGGTGTATGGTTAGTTTTGGGGAATCAGAGATCTGGATGCGTTTGTGGTCAGTCCACAACAAAAGCCAACCATGTGCTCAATAGCCCCGGACGCTTCAGACCATCAAACCCAGGACCAGCAGTGTGTCCGCTGCCTCCCGGTTCCTCTCCTCTGGATCTATAAATGAATAGCAGCCATCAATCACTGTCAGGGCAGTCCCTCCCCAGCCCAGACGGACGGGGGTGACTGATGTCACTGCATGTTACTGTCCAGCCCTCCCGCCTCCACTCCTGCTCACTCACATCAAACAGACCTGACAAGCCACCAGCTACAGACCAAAGGGGCACCACAATGTCACCTTTTTAGATTTTTGGGGGGAGGGTGGAACTTGTTGAGGGGACACAATCAGCTCCCAGCGTCCCGCTCTTTGTTTTGTTTGTTGATTGACAGCTGGGGTGCCTTCACTGGGCAGTGAAGAGGACGCTGGCTGACAAATCTCTTGATTGCCGTGTAGCTTGGTATAACCTTCATTCACATCTGTCCCAAGTTTGTCCTGAGTGACGGGACAGACTGTGTCCACACTGGACACACACACACACACACACACACACTCACTGTGTGTTCACAAGAAAAGTTACAGTCTACGATGAGCTAAACGAGACCCTGTGGAGTCGGAGGAGTTAGTTTTCATAACTGCCTGGATCAGTATTGATGATAATGTTTATACCACATGCTGCTAGCAACGAAACCATATTTATACTTTGGGAAACAGACTCTTAGTGTTGTTGCTGCTGTGTGTTACTGAGGAGTCGTTAAAATCTAATATTTTCAATAGAGCACAACACTGTCGTCTGAGCCTGTTCTTCACGCCATGGAGTATCTGTATCTGTGCAGATACTGAGTGCAGTAAACATTTCTGCTTTTCTCCTGTTTTCCTGAGTGTTAGTAACAGGTGAAACCAGTAGCCTTCATGAGGACGCGGACTCTGTGTGGCGATCAGAAAATAATGAGCGAGTATTCTCTATCTGGGTTTCTGTCGCAGTTTTGCAGAAAATAGAAGAAAAGTTGGCAAAACACAGTTGTGAATGTTCTGTGTTTCCATTGAGTGATGTTATGTGAATAAAGCTGGGTTTTCTCCTCTCATGATATTATTGCAATTAAACGTGAGCAATTAAACGTGACGATGTTGGGGCGACTGCATCCACGGCAGCATGTGTTGTAGTATTCAATCGAAGGGGACGAGGGCGTCTGGTGCACATGATGATGGAAAGACAAACCTCTTGTATCTGGCAGTGGCTACATATCACGGATGTTTGGGAGATAAAAGTCTGCAACTGTTTTTGATATCATGCGATGACTCAAGTCATGTCATGTGACTTAAAAGCAGAGGAAGTGTTTCCATTACTTTGTCAAATGGTCTGAAAAATACAGAAACTGATAAAGGTAAATATTCTTTTATCCCGTTATCTTGAGATAACAAAGCTTTATTTTCTCGAGTTAACAGAATTGCCATAGTTGCAAAAATATTTGCAAGTATGGCCTTTCTTGGTTTCCACAGAAAAACCACCAACTTATACATTCTTTTATGACGTTTGCGGTCACATTGGTGGTGCAGATGATGCTCAGTGCTTTTGTTGCACATTCAATGCATGTTGTTGGTCTCAAAGCTGACAGGACAGACGTAACTCTGGGCAATAGAAGCTGAGGGACTTCACATTAATGAAGTGGAGGTGTAGATCAGTTCATGTGTTGTAGCTGCTCTAAGGTAGACCTTCATTCAGCCATTTTACTCCCATGGCAACTCCATGTTTTTGGGCTTTGAGTTATATTTATACATTGTAGCCAGATTGTTTTTGATCGAATCAGTCAGTAACTGGTAACTCTCAGTACGAGCAGTCAGGTGAATATAAAGCTGGTGTCTGACAGACAGGTAGTGGCTCGTAAAAGGTCACATTGTTGTGACCAGTAAACCTCTGCTTCTCTGCAGTTTGAGTAAAAGGTGCAACAGGGGGACATTAACATATCATGGAGTATTTGTTAACATATTGACATGTAGTTCCCCCCCTCCCCTTTGCATCAGCCAGCAGGTTTGTATGGATTTACAGCCCCCAGCCTTGTTATTCTCCACTCCCTCCTATTGCACTCTGATGTAAGTGTACACACCGCCAGGAAAGCGACTGAAAATTTGTTGTCAAATATTATTAAAGGCTCCTTAGTGTGGCGCTGCCATGTCCTCGGCTCATTCCCAACCCATGAGCTTTTCAGGACAGTGGTTAATTAGGGGCCACACCAGGGGGCTGGGGCCACCAACACTGCAGTGAAGTGGTATTAGAAATGGGGAGGGGGGTTAATGGTGACTGGAGGATTATATTGCGCTTTAATGCAATCCTGGTTCTTAGTTATCTTAAATTGCAGGGTTAAGGTGTTTGGATTAACATGTAACTGGCCTGTTAGTTGTCAATCCAGTGTCCTGTTAAAAGGCCCCTTACTTGGCTATTGAAAAGTCAGTCACATGATTGGCAAAGCATTTTAATGAGTCCAGAGGGAAAGTAACTTTAAGTTAATCTCTCAGGCTTTTTGTTTGTTTGTTTGTCTTCTTTTAATGCTGTCACTACTAGAACAACATTAAGACATCGTGCTGTTGAAGCAACATTTTCAATGTAAATCCATTGTGGTTGATTGATTGTGGTCTTTCTCTTTGCCACCTACTGATATCGTTTATGCTTTAAATGCTTTCTAGTGGTATTCATCTAAAACTTACATGATTTTGTACCAGTGTTTTGATCGGCTTTCGCATGAACCTCAAATGCAAAGGTGGTCGAATTGAGTTTGCTTAATTCTCTGTCCTTCTTCACAGTCTATTGATGAGCTAGGCAACAAATCCTTATGTTCATGACTTTGTGCCTCTGCAGCAGTAAAATACTGTGGTGGCACGGCCAGCTGCCAGTGTTAGTGATAGAGGAGGGGTCCACAATCAAACTGCATGAACACAGCCTCTATTAATCAAAATTACTCAAAACTACCTTTGCCCTGCCTTGCCCAACACTGCTGGGTACTCAACAAACTCTGTCTTAGCTTTGATGGTCTTGCACCTCGTCTACACAGCTGCTGTCCTCCTCAGTATCGACCAGACTGGATGTGTATTGCTATACATTACAATGTTTTGGCAGTGCAGCAGCCCAGTACAAAATCAGTGTGGTTCTATGCACAAGTCAGAGGAAAATGACTTGAACCTGAAAAGATGTTTGGAGTGTATAGACACGAGCCTCGAAATATACATAAACACAACATGCCCCCCAGACTTAGAGCTATAACCTCCACATCACCCTCACCTCCTGAAAACTGTCCTGTCTACCTTTACCTTGCCTGTTGAGTCAAAACTGGCAACCCGCAACAAGAGCCCATGAGGGACTCATTCACTGGACACGATGACCTAATAAATGACTGGTACATGTTTTATGTGACTTTTCATGTTGGTTATTAGATTTTATGCTAAGACTGCACCAAAATCATCAGTGGGTTCAGTATTCAGTGGAATATTCATCATTTGTAAACTGATACTTCTGAAGTGTCAAAACTTTGTCCATTATAAATGGTTACTTTAATGTCTTGCAGAATCTAATACGTTTAATTAATCCCATTATTAATGTTAAAATTGTATTTAATTTGTCTGTCTGTCTGTCTGTCTGTCTGTCTCCTGATTGGATGGGGAATGGGTGTGTACAGATGCTGATCGAGCCCAGAAACACGGCATGGATGAGTTCATTTCAGCCAACCCCTGTAACTTCGACCACGCCTCGCTCTTTGAGCTGGTACAGCGCCTCACCCTGGATCACAGACTCAACGACTCCTACTCCTGCCTGGTGAGGAAAAGGCTTTATCTCAGTCTGTCATGGTGGAGCTGTCATCCTCAGTGCTGTGCTACAGTAGGTTAAAAGTCTGGCAGCAGAGTTCTGTACATTGGAGATTGGAGACGTTCAATAGATTTCTGGTTGAGACAAATAAAAAGACTAACGCAGCTAATGTCTGTTCAGTCTGTTCATCTGCTGTTTATGCACATTACACATGGGTGACAAAAACAATCCAGCAGTGAAATCTGGGTAAAGCATGGCGAAGATTCACTTTGTGTTCTGAACACACACTGAGGATGCACTCAGGCCATATTCACATTCATGTCCACTTAATCTATGTGGTATCTATGGGTTAAGATGACATGAGCTTCCTGCCTTGTGGTCTTCTATGGCATTTTTATGTTTGTATTAACACACAGTTGTATGCAATTTCTGGGCAAGTTCCCTATTTTGTTGATCTCTGAAGTAAATAAAACCTGAGCAGCAAACACTGCATCCATCAAAGATGAACTTTTCTTAAAATGGTAATGGACTGCTGTTTTTTAACTTCATGATTTAAAAAAATTCTTGCAGATCACTTCAAGTTCTGAGATTTTTATCAGCTGTCGTGCAAACACAGCAGGGTTAAGACCTACCCACATGTGTGTTTGAGTCATTCCAGAAGCTTCAGCTTGTGTGTCTTGAAGTAGATCATTGTGGATCTTGAGGTCTGCTCTGGTTTGATTTTGGTGGCTAAAAATCAAAGGTCTTGTGAATGCAATATCTCAAGAACTCCTTAAAGGGAATCCCCTCAAATTTGGCACAAACCTTCACTTTGACTCAAGTACAAACTGATTAGAGTTTAGTGGTCAAAGGTCAAAGGTCAGTGTGACCTCTCAAAACACTTTTTAACCATTACTCAAGACTTCACAGCAATTATGACAAAACTTCAGATAAATGGTTCATATTTTGTGGATAAACAGGGATGCAACCTGAAACTAGTCTGAGTGGAGGAGGCAGAAAACCACCAGGAGGTGATTCTAGTCTAACCGGTGGTGCCACCCTGGTCACATCACCTTAAAGGAATGTACTTACGCCAGCTGACAATTCCCAGTCACAGTTCTTGACCTGCCACACAAGCCTGTCAGTTATGGCCTAACAAATGAATGAAGTTCTGTTTTACAGGTAGGCTGCCCAAACCTTTGCACACGGCACAACTACTGTTGAATTCTGAAGAATTTCATGAAGTAGTTCATGAAATAAAAGCTAACACTGCGTTAAAATTTGAAGGAAGGATTCATTTTAATGCCTGTTTGCTGCATGGGTGTATTTACTGTTCACTTCAAAACTAACCAGAATATGTTATTATGCTCACTGATCTCCAAGCTTTTGGAAAACACTTTATGTTTATCTCATCACTACAGGGCTGGTTCAGTCCCGGTCAGGTGTTTGTCTTGGATGAGTACTGCGCTCGCTACGGCGTTCGAGGTTGCCATCGCCATTTATGTTACCTAAGCGATCTGCTGGAGAGGGCGGAGAATGGAGCCATGATTGACCCCACCCTGCTGCACTACAGCTTCGCCTTCTGTGCCTCACATGTCCATGGAAACAGGTACAAATCAAACTGCTGGTTAGTCCTGGTCTCACTTTCCCCACAGGTGCAAACTGGGAAATGATAAAAACACCAAAGAATATTTTAATATCGGAAAGACTGAACTTGGAGTCTGACATGTTGATCTTTGATATGTCATCATCTTCAGTCAGTATATACAGGCGCATACAGTATATGATGCAATATGTGACCCCCCCCTCAGCCCCCACCCTTTTTGTTAATGCCTTCAGATGTATGCTTTAGTTGTTTCCTCTTGCCTGTCGATTAGTTTGCACTTTGCATGTTGTTTGCACGCTCACTTTTCCTCTTTTTTGTCTTTTTTTCCCATCTTCTTTTAACCTTTTTTCCTTGTTAACTTTCGTAAAACGACTTTCCCTCCACTGTCCCAAAACCTTGCCTCTCCCATCTAGTCAGCGGCTGTGTGAGTTGTTAAACTGGCCAGTATCTCAGGCCGAACTCGAACAAGCCCTTTTACCCTCTGCCCCTGAGCTCCCTGCCCAAACTGCCAAGAGAGAACTCAAAATCATTGAGTTCATGAAGAAAAAGGACTTCAGGTCCACATTTTTCTCAGGAACTAGAAGGTAAGTGATCTCATTGACTGGAAAAGATGAATATCTTCTTGAAAAAGTTTGAAGTGTTTTTCTTATTTGTAACTTGCCAACGTAATTTCTGAGATCTGGAGATGCAGAAAAATTGTAAATCCCAGTTTTCCTGTTTTTTTTTCGACAAACACAAGTGGTCAGACACTGAAACAAATTAGGTTTGACCTGGTTATCAAAACCACTTAATGGACATTGGGGCAAAGCGAATTCACCTGAATTATCTGTTAATAATGGCCCTGTACATATAAATAATAAAAACAAACAATTACAGTGTCTGAAGTGGTGACTAAAATTATTAGATTTTTAAATAATTATAAAATCCAAATATCCTCCTTCGAATGGCTGCACTACACATTTCTCTTCCTACACACTGGAATCGTCTTCCCACCTGGACTGAGCTATAGCTACATTATACACAACACTGTGGCTGCTGGAGGTCTGACAACACACGGTCAAAGGAAAAGAATAAGGCTCCATCAGTGGAGCTGGGTCAAAAAGATGGGTTGACATTTTGACCCATTTCAAACATAATGCTGAAGAGAGAAAAGGTGAGTGCTGTCGGGTGAGAAGCCCTGCGCTTGGTAGAATACCACAAAACCTCAAGGTGCATCACACAGAAATTGAGGTAACACTGAGATGTTAAAGCCTAATACTAAAGGCAGTGGTGTTATGTATTAGCATCTCACAATAAGGGGACATTGCCTGCAAATGGTCCTCACTGAAAGGCTAACTAGGCTAAGCTAACCTTTTAAGACAAGTCTGTTTATTTCCGAGTTGAGTGGCTACAGCACATGCATCTTATCTGGCAAAGCGATTTGATAGTCAATTCTTGTTGATTTTTCAAGCCTTACCCACAACACATCACACAGCAGGCGCGATGAGATGTATAATCTGTCCAGCATGTCCTGGGTCTGCCCCGGATCTCCTCACCTGGACGTGCCCGCAAGACCTCCAGTGGAAGGCGTCCAGGAGGTGTCCCAACCAGATTTCCAAACCACCTCAGCTGGCTCCTTTCGACATGAAGGATCAGCAGCTCTACTCCAATCTCGCTCCAATTGTCTGACCTTAAACAATAGGTTTAAGTTCCTTCCAATTAGAGAAATCTGACACTGGATCCTAGACACTGGTGGTGGTGATGAGGAATGGACCTTGAGGATGGGGACATCTTCATGAGGGAAACTTCTGATCGGAAAGTTTGATTGGAGATGGTCTTGCGTCCATGGTGAAGGTGGTGAAGGGGTGGAGGTGGGTTGCAGATTTTTCATGGTTGCTGAAATGAATGAACAGCAGAGAGAGAGAACACAATTTTAATGTTTGACAGCTTACAGGTGATTGGCTGAAGGCCACCGTATAAAGTTATGATTGGATGAAGACATGAATGAGCAGATGGAGCTTATAGATGTGTGCGTGACTTGCATGCGCAAGGAACTTTCACTAAGCTTCATTTCAGCCGCTTGTATCTGTGATCTCAGTCTTTCATTCACTACCCAGAGCTCATGACCACAGATGAGGGTTGGAACATAGATCGACTGGTTAAACTAAAGTTTTGCCACAAAAGTTTTCCATTTAACTCACTCTTCACCACAGTTTTGTACATCGTCTGCTTTACTGTCGAACAGCCTGTCAATCTCCATCCTACCCTCACTCATGAAAAACACCCAGAGATACTTAAACTCTTTCACTTGGGGCAGAAACTCAGTCCCAACCTGAACGACCAATCCACCATTTTCCGTCAGAGAACAATGGCCTCAAATGCGAGGGGTGCTGACTCTCATCCCAGCTACTTCACACTCGGCTGCAAACCACCTCTGTGCATGCTGAAGGTCATGGTCTGATGAAGCCAACAGAACTGCTTCATCTGCAAATAGCAGAGAACGTATTTGACTCGTAGCGATGGGCACAGGAACCTCATATCGCCACAGTCTCCCCCCGACAAGATCCTGGTCGTAGGCCTTTTCCAAATCCATAAACTAAAATTCTGATGACTAAATAAAGGATTAGATATGATGAAAACTACATGGACTTTTGATCTGAGAACTAAGACTAAGCTGAATAGCTGAAAAAATTATAAAAATAAATTAGGCACAGTAGCATATTCTTAAACTTGGTTTTAGAGATGCAGTTTTCAGTCAGAGATCAAATGGTGTCATGTCCTGAAGGTTCGGTGGATTGTGACACAGGAGTCATCTGGCCTGTACTCCAGTATGTACCCTGTTATCTAAGTTGCAGTATTTACCTCCTGTCTAATCTGCTGTGATGTGTTCGGACATCAAATCTGTCAGCATAACAGTTGGCCGTCTGCAGATGAAGTGTAACAAAGATAGACGAGGGCCACTCCAGCGCTGAGGGCAAAGGTCAGAGAGGGTTGTCTGTCAGTGCCTCCCCTCCACCTCCCCCCAACCCTCCAGCTCCCCTCCATCCTCGATCCATCCATCCATCCATCCATCCCTCCCTCTGTCCTTCTGACAAACAGTGACTGAGGACAGAGGCCTTTTCTGATCAGCATGGACAGATGGACAACAATCGCTTCAAGAGAAAGAAAAAAATAGAGAGAGGGACAAATTTAAGACAAATATGATGAAAAAAGGAATTTGATTGAAATCTGTGGAGAGAGAAATGTGGAGGTTTATCATATTCTTTTTTTTCCTAGAAAGGTCTGTATGCCAGGACAGGTGAGTAATTTACACTCAGGCATCAGAAAGTCGTTTAAAAGTTTATTATTTGTATTTGAAATAAATACATCAGCATGTAAATTCATATCTTGAATTTTTTTTTTTCATAAAATCCAAAAATAATGAGCCCTACATATCTGCACATCCACATCCACACACATCAAACAGAGACCTGCTCTGTCAGTCCAGCCATTGTGCCTGGAGGTGGAGGCATGACAGGTTGACAGGTTGTCATGTGTGACGGGCCGAATGTATCCACTGCTGACACTGGTGTGGTTGCCCCTGTGTACACACCTCACCCCCCTCCCCTCCCCTCCGCCCCCACCCACCCAAACTCCCTCCTAATACCCTGCTGGCCTGGAGGTGCACCAAGTTGGACTCGGTTGCCCAGTCGCCAGCTAAAGTGTCAGGATTTAAGTTGTGTCCAGCTGAGTGTCGACGCCATGTACACTGACGTGTAGGAAATGGCTTTAGATACATAAATACATTTGAACTCTTAGCTACTGTTATGTTTTACATGGCCTCTGGTTGTGATTTTATGTTTTTAATTCCACTTCTGATTCTGGTCTTATTCCCTCAGTTGTTTGACTTTTAACTTTTCTGAATGAAATACAAACAAAAATAATTAATTGAATTAATTAAATCTTCACCACCAGTGAAGATGTGTTCTTCAAACAGATTGTGTGAATTGAAAATATTGGAAATGATTAAATATTAAATATTACATATACAATTCAAATGGTAATGTATAAAGATGGATTCATGTTTTCCTGGATGCAACATTTACATTTTTTACATACATAGTATATGGTACACAGCGTACACACCGTATACACCATACACAGAAAAATCAAACTTATTTTACTTATTGTACTTTTGAAATTCTACATATTTTAAAATGAATATTTTTGCTTAGAAAGTGACTTATATAATCATTCAGTTATTAAAATAGTTAATCCATTCTCTATCAGTGGAGAAATGGATTAATCAGCAAATTAATTAAACGCTTGAATAATTAACTCCTGAAATGAAAGTGTAGAAAGAAAGAAAGGGTTCTGTAAATAACCAGCTAAGGACAACAGTATTCTGCACATGACTGAGGATAATGTCCAGTTTAAGCTGATTTTTAAAAAAATTGAATTTTAAAAATTGAAACTGCAGGAGATTTCATGTTATATAGTTTTCTACCTTAAGGCCTTGTGTGTGGATGTGCACAGAGAGGGAGATGTGAAAGTGTTGCTGGCTTTGCCGTCTGTCTGTCACTGATGGCTCATTTGCTTGTTGTCGTCATTGGAGCTGTGAGGTCATCTGGTCAAGCAAACATGAGGAAGCTGCCAAGGAACAACACGCAGCTGGAGGAAAAAAACACACGCACACACAAAGAGCCCTGCAGGAGTTAATTAGTGTGAAATTTTCTTATTTCATTTTCTGTCACAATGTGAAAGGTGAGATGGCTGCTTATTGTGAATTTTTAAAATGACAGTTCCTTTCCAGTTTTTGTGTTTCGCTTGCACATTCTAATCTGACCATCAGCAACTAAACAAAGGGACCAGCAGACCCAACCCAAACTGCAAGAAATAAGCACCACTGGAACCGAAAACTCATCCAAAATCATTCATTTTCATTTGACTAATACAAAGAACAGCCTGCTGTAACTTTCAAGACTTAAAACAGGTACCTCTTGTTGCCGTTTTCACAGCTCCTGTAACCTCTGTACCCTCCTGTTAGTTCTGTGTTTACCAAAAAAAAAATATGACGATGGATAAATCTTTCTGGTTAAACCGCTGATGAGGTCAAAACTACCAATCTACAGCCTCTGCTTCATGCATCGTCTCTTCCTCAGCATCATGGTTTGAAGCAGCAGAGGCCTACAGGTGGCAGTGGCACACTGACAGTGTCTGTTCAAATGTCCATGAAAACTGAGGGGAGTCTGGATGAGCTGATCGCTGCTGATGTTGAGCAAACTGGTACCCTTCGAAATCAAACACATAACTCATGGAGTGCAGCAAGAGTAACACAAACACACACACACACACACACACACACACACACACACACACACACACACACACACACACACACACACACACACACGCAGTGTCTCACTGTCTGCTGAAATGACATGTCAAAGGGAGGGGAGTTGGGGGCAGGTGGGGGTGGAAGGGTGGGTTGGGGGATTGAGAGAGAGATGGAGAGTGTCGTGTCTCCTGCTTCTCGTCATGCTGTCATAGCCACCACTCCAGCGCCTCTTCTGTCACATGCACTCTGCTCACACTCCACCCTGACCCAACCATGTCACAAACAATAAAAACACATCTGATACAAATACACACACACCTGCTTGTAAAGCTGTAACTGCTATCCCTGTGTTGAAATGATAAGAAGAATATGATGCAATGATGTGGTGAACCTCATGACTTGTTGTTGAGGAAGCCCTCACTACATGCAATAATAATAATAAAAAATGTAATTGAGCATAGCTAATGTAAGTAGTTTTAATTTCCTGATGATACAGAATATGTGTGAATATGTGTGTGCACACAGAGAAAACTCACCACTTTTTCTTAACTTGTAATTAATTGCACTGCAGTATGCTTCTGTATTGAAACATCAAAGAGGCAGTTTATAGTTGCTAGTAATGAGGCTAGAATATGTCTCTATATCCTGTGGGGGTATGGACTGAGTTCTGTAGAACAGGTTTCATACAGGTGGACACAGGTCAATTGTCTTGTTCCAAACCCGAGTTTAGGAAAAGAGTTCATATCACTGAATTTTTTTATGTGAACCGTACCCAGATTTGGACTACACTGCCCCATGTGAAAGCAGCAGGACTCACATTCTGCAAGGATAAAGTCGGGTGCAGGACCTGAACTAACATTAATCCCATGGGGCTGTCATCTGGCTGTTGAGCTCTGACTCACACTCATGCTCTGTTGTTTTCCCAGAACCTGAGGAGATTCAGAGAGGCTGTGTCATTCATCTGATTCTGACACTATGACTTTCTCCGTGAAAATGAATATGAAACACTGATATCCAACAACATTCACCAATTTCAACAACACAAATCATGGATATGTATGTTGGTGGTTTACTTGGTTTCTCAGCGCTGACACACAGACTGCAGAACCTTTCAATGGTTGTCAATGCTGCTGTCTTTCAGGCCAGACGGTATTGGCACGGTGACTGTGGAAGAGAAGGAGCGCTTCGAGGAGATCAAGGAGAGGCTACGGGTGCTTCTGGAAAACCAGATTACACACTTCAGGTAGAAACCATGTAAAGTAAGAACCGTGTGCCAAACCAGACTGCCCAACGGTTCTAATGAAAATCCACTGTGTTGCTTCCACAGGTACTGCTTTCCATTCGGACGACCGGAGGGAGCACTGAAAGCAACTCTGTCCTTGCTTGAAAGGGTAAATCTTTACAGAGTACACTGGTTCAGAATCAGTTGGGTTCTGTGTGTGCAGTATGTGTGTGCAATAGGACAACTTTCTGTTTATGACGTCTCCAAATTTCTTCTAATGCAAAAATAGTTTTCCAGACCAGACTTCTCATCATTCATCATGTCGTGTTATGGTACGGTTTTGCTTTACACTGAAAATAAAAATTCTCAATGTATCTTTCATTTTTAGGTTCTGATGAAAGATATTGTAACTCCTGTTCCGCAAGAAGAAGTCAAAGCTGTGATTCACAAGTGCCTGGAGCAGGCAGCTCTGGTGAACTACCAACGCCTGTCAGAGTACGCCAAACTGGAAGGTAAATCACTGCTCCCTCACTGCTCCTTTGTATTACCACAGTTGTAGTAAAAAGCTTGTTTAGCAGAGCTTGTAAAATTTGGTGATATTATGTAGTTATTATTAGAAAGTTTAGAGATCATTGTGGGTTTGGGTTTTTTGGTCATGGTTTGTAGACATTCAAACCTTGACAGTCTTCCAACCAGCGTTGTAGTACTCGAGTCCAGCACGAATACTGATTTCAAGGACTCATGACTTGACTTGGACGTGACACAGACTCTTCTTTGGTGACTCAGAGTCAGGTAATAGGGACTCAACCTGGACTCTTCTTTGGTGACTTGGACTCAGGTAATAGGAATATGACTTAGACTCTTCTTAGGTGACTGGAATTCAGGTAATAGGGACTTGAATGGGACTCGAATGGTACTCTTATTTGGTGACTTGGTCTTGGATCGGATTGGAACATGTGGGACACGAGACTCGGGCTTGAGGTTTAATGACTCAACTACAACACTGCTTCCAACTGTTGGAATGAATATTTGGAATTAAGCTGTCATGTTACCTTTGCCAGGCTCAGGTGGGATTTGTCAAATGTCAAATTATGATTTCAGACATGACATTACACAACATTTTAGAAAAATGCAACATTTTCATTTAACTGTTGACATTAGAACATAGGATATTCAGACTCTGGTTTCCTGCTTTGGGATTGACTTTGGCAAGTTAAAACATAACACTAGTTGCAACAGAGGTTTCCTTTTAATAAGAATCCTTAGAATGAGGCAGCTATACATAATAATACATAATAATAATATAGTTTATCTTATTGCAATGCGATTATGAATTTGAAAAAAAAGTCTAACCTCAAAGTTTTTCTTCACAGCTGCAGACAGAACCTCTTATTGTCTTTTTTAGTGTACTTAAAGTAGCTATTTGTACATTTTGTTGTTGCTACCTAGCCACTGTTGCATTAACTTAATTCCCTTACTCACTAAGAGCTGCCTCCAGAGGTGGAAAGCATTCATCTTGTTTTGCTATTGATGGATTCTTTTCTTCTACTGAAGTTAATATTGGCTTTGGAGCAATAGCAAAACTGACACATAGCTCCTTTAATGGCACGAAGGTTGTTTTAAGTGACAAATGCTATGTTTATTTTGCTTTATCTTCAGCCTATGTTAGTAGAAAAAGTACAGTAAGTAAAAATGCATTCAATTCAATCTTTATGCTGACTTCGTCCACCATGCCTAAGCTTCTCTTTCAGCCGAGTCCTACACTGCCTCTGTCTCCCACTTTGGCCTTCCTAGTAGCTGAAGTGTTGCTCCTTCTTTTTCTCTTTTCTCTGCTTTCCTCTTCCTCGCTATCTGATGACTTCCCTACTCACTCCTCTCTTTTCTCTGTCTATTGGCTTTTGCTGCTTCTCATTAGCTGCTCTTTGAAAACAGGAAGGCCAATAAACAAGACATGATGGGACTGCCCCTTGTGGAAATTCAGTGTTTTTTTTCTGTTGCATGGTCCAAGTTTTCTTTAGTAGGCATCATAAACATTTTTTCAGACCTCTGAAACATATCCCAAACTGAGTCAGTACACTGATTTGGTACCTACTTTAGGGCAGAATTTTTATTTATTTATTTATTTTGAGGTCTTTAAATTTAATTTTCACTTATGCTGCTGTATATGTAACTTTAAACTTCTACAGGAACATTTGGGAAATTTGCTGTTTTAGCCAGAGTTAATTAAAAAGGTTGATGTCAGTTTCCCTGTGTGTCCAGTACAGAGAGAGGTCCTCTTGTGTATAGCCTATTTTAGAATTAAAGTTGAGTAGAAAGTGAAAAATACACCCATCAACACCTCCAACCTCCAAAGATGTCTTGGATGTTGTATCTTGTTAATTTGCAAGCTGGTCGCCAATCCATTCAAGACAGCCCTCACACCTGGCAACCTCATTATGAGGGCTGGCCTTCACTGCAAATCCTCACTGTACCTGTTGGTTATTTGTTTAATTTGTCTAGTTCATCATGTCCCAAATAATGTCCGAATGGGCAAGTGTTACTTTACTTTAATATTGCAGATCTCTAAATTTATTGAGTATTGCATGTTGCACGCCTTTCAGGCTGCAGGAGTGTAGCGACACTAACATGATCTGTTAGTGTCGAGTTTGATTAAAACAATATGTTTCACTCATATTAAGCAGGCTGAATAAAACTGATAAAAAGGGGTTTTACTTTGCTTACTGTGATAACTGTCTTGATGCTATGTGTGTACAATACATTAACAAAACTCTACCAAATAGTATGTCATATCATAGTAGCAGAAATAAAAGGCAATCTGGAGACATCTGAGATCAGATGCCTCCCTCTCCCAGCAGAAAAAAAATTGAATTCAAGGAACTGCCGCTGCACAAGTAATCCTTGTTTACTACGAACACACTGTTACACTGACAGTTACCATCCTGCTTTCATTCCACCTTGGCTCAAGACCTGGTCTGTTTAGCCTCTTTAGAAAAGAGGTTGAAAATGTCCTCTACCCTCTGTGAGAAAGAGAAGGCCTTCATCAACACTGAAGTTGATGGTGAGCCTCAGATGGGTCATGCTGGGCACAAGAGCTGTTGTTTCCTGAACTGCATGCTCCTTGGTTTGAACACTTATTAGGCAATCATTCAAATATGGAAAACTCTGTTCGCTCTTGGCCTATCAGAGAGTACTGCCACAATGAACCTGGTTAAGATCAAAGGAGCTAGAGAGTGCCTGAATGCAAAGCATGTAAAAATGAATAACTTTTAAAACTGGTTCAGCTGTCTGAGATTTAAGATTGGGCAAAAACTACCTCCCTTCTTCAGAACTAGCAATTAAGTTGAGTAGAACCTGCTGAACTGCATGGAACTGTTTCCAGTTCATGGCGCCCTTCTTCAGAAGTGGGGCCCTCTGCCTGAGGGGCCAAAGGCCTCAGGAGGTCCTTCACAACAGTCATTCTGACCCCACTGAACCTTGGGGGCTGGTGCCTGAACTGTAACCCTTGGAGAGAGTTGTCAAAACCGGTTCGAAACAAAGGCTAGTTCACACTGGCTGAGATGCCTGGACCACTTTTGGTGGTTTGGGGGAGTCAGTGGGTGGATTCCTCATGTTCTATCCCCTGGTGCCCAATAAGCAGGCTGAGCAGGGAGCCAACAGGGGGAGGCCATGTTGCACAGGTTTGCATCAAGTTTTTGAGGGACTCTGAGCGCGGGCTAAGTATGACTTGGCTTGATCAGAGTTGGTTGCCACGAATCAGCAAACTGTTGCCTGACTTTGTTCACTTGTACACTGCATTCAAGTGGTTGTTAGGCTGCCACCTGGTATGACAGGCGGCATATGAAGCCTGTGACTAAGCAAGCCACATTTGGCAGTAGACATCGGTCTGCCAAGCTCTCTGGTCATGAAGGCAAAGGATTGGAATGAAACATCACTCAGGGTCTGGGCCAAGATATCAAGTCCAGCAGTTTCAGGTGTCTTTGATAAAGCTAATACAAGGCGGGAAAGGGATTTCCCAATATGACCCATCTGAGCTGCTATACAATATCTGTTGGTATGTAAGTCATCAGCTATTCTGCACAGCAGATATTTGGTCTAAGAGCCTCATTTGGAAATACTATCAGAGATGCAATAGAGGGGTCAATGGCCAGCATTTGGTCTAGGCCATAGTGGACATCATCCTCCATAGCAGCAAAACACTGCAGGCGCTCAGAGGAGATCCACCTAATATTACAGTACATTGGCCTCAGTGTTCTGATGGCCTTCAGATTTTCTGTCAATGTTAAAAAAAATCAGTCAATGATGGAAAATATTGGATTAAAGCGACCCCTGATCCAGTCCTGTCCATAGTTAGATTGTGGCTAACTGTTATGGAGCCAGGCTAACTGTTTCCCCATTGCTAAGCTAGGCTAAACATACAGGACCAATCTCTGTCTAATATCACTATTCTCATCAGACACACTCTAGCGAACATGTGTTTGATTGCATTCATATGAGAAACGAGAGATAACAGAAATACAAAGACTATCTTGTCCACCTAGACACTCTCTGTCATTCTTTTTCTTAACTGTCTAAAAATTTCACTTATAGAAACTCTTGCTGATCAAAGCCAACTAGTGTTTCACCTACATGAAGTCAGATCATGGCAAGAGTTACTCAGCTAGGTCAGATAATACACACTGAAAACAAAACAGCAAACAAGCACATTTCCCAAAATGTTGTTCAATTAACACTAAAGTACTTCAAATGGATAATTTAAGACGATGTCTATAAAGAAACCATCACCTCTCTGAAGATACCAAGGATGATGAGCCTCAGTGTTTCCCACAGAATTAGATTCTATGTGTGGTGGTAGCTGACGGGGGTGGAGGAGCTTTATATATGGTAAATAATACGGTATACAAAGTGCTCCACTGCAAAGATTTTAGATGCTTATCACTTTGTGACAAATACTTAACTAAACAATATCTATGTGTTTCCTGTCATTCCCAACTGCTTCTGCCCTAGCTGGCTCTCCCACAGCAGCATGTATGCTGCTGTTGTTCTCCTCCTCTCCTACGTCCCTCTGTCTCAGCAGGACTGGTTGAAGCCTCAAAATATTAGAAACAAATTTCCCACATTTTTGTTAAACACAGGTGCTTTCCATGTGTGTCCCATTAAGTGTCTTGCTACTCTGTTTGGCTAATGCCTGTGGTCTACACTGTCATTGCGCCTCCTCAGGACAAACCCTAATGAATATTTGAAATTCAGCATCAGCGTTTGATAATTAACATTAATGTTTATCCACTTGCACAAGCAGTCTCGGACTGAGGCCATGGTTCTAAGCCGGAGATCGTTTGACTGCTCCCTTTGGGTTGAGGTTGAGTTCCTACCCCAAGTGAAGGAGTTCAAGTAAAAGCAAAGCTCTCCATTTACGTTCCAGTTGACCTTTGTTTGAACCCTCACCTATGGTCATGTGGGTAGTGACCGAAGAATGAGATTGCGGATGCAAGTGGCTGAAACAGGTTTCCTCCTCAGGGTGTCTGGGCTCAGCCTTAGAGACAGGGTGAGGAGCTCTGACATCTGGAGGGAGCTTGGAGTACAGTCGGTGCGCCTTCACGTCAAAAGGAGCCAGTTGAGGTGGTTTGGGCATCTGATAAGGATGCCTCCTGGGCGCCTTCCTTTGGAAGTTTTCCAGGCATGTCCAACTGGGAGGAGACCCCGGGGTAGACCCTGAACTCGCTGGAGGGATTAGATATCCCATCTGGCCTGGGAATGCCTTGAGATCCCCAAGGAGGAGCAGGAAAATGTTGGTGGAGAGAGGGATGCCTGGAACCTCCTGCTAGGCCTGCTGCCACCGCATCTTGACCCCAGATAAGTGAAAGAAAATGGATGGATGGATGGACGAGCTGTCTCCTCTGCGAGGATAAGCCAAAAACAGTCCTTTCTCCCATGCATGATCATGTTTTGATTCAGAGTGTGCACAGAGGAGAGACTGTGTGGTCCAACAGATTTTAAAAAACATTTAAAAAAAAACGGTTTTGGTCTCTAGCTAATTTCCTCCTTCATGACAACTGTATGAGGGGTGATTTTTTAAATAACTCACCTGTTTACATTTTATTAAGGCTTTGTAGTGGGCTGGAGGTAGACCCAGATGCAGCATACAACTCTCAGGAGTCTCAAGGTCATGTTCAAAAGGCTAGTCGTGTACTGGAAAAGAGGCGATGAGGGGGAATTGAAAAACAGGCTGAGTCGGCAACAGGAGATCCAAACGGCAAATGCGGGAAAGTCTTGTGTAGGTGACAGAGAAGAACAATCTGGCAAAGAATGACTGGAAGGCTGGGGTTTGTATACTGGGTGAGGGTAATCAGGAACAGCTGTGTGACCAGGTGAATAGAGTTGGCTTGATGAGGTGGGAGTAGCTAATGCAGGGAGGTGCAGGAGAACAGGGTGAATGGAAAATTACTGACTGGGTTCTGGATGACAAGGAATGCTGAAGTGAGGCAGGTGACCTGAGATGCAGAACTGTGACAGGCTTAAAGAAATGCATAATTGAGGGCGTGACCTCTTTGAGTGACAGGTGGGTGTCGTTACATTTGATTAGCTGCTCTGTGTCTTTCCGCTAGCTGCCCACTAGGCATTACCTCACTTTGGCGTCATTGTGACCTCTGTCTCTCATTGTGCCATGTTTGTGGTGTTGGTGCCTTTTGGATAATTTCACTTGTCAGTTAACTGACTAACAGGACATGAGGAAGTCTGTGCTCATGATTTTTGAGGTGAGTGAAATTCTAGTATTATTGTATTTATAATTTAGCACTAATTAGGAGGTAGCTCATTAACTAGCTAATTAGCCAGCAAATGAATTAGCCTTGGTTTAGCCTTTGAGCAAGACTCCCTACTGTGCTCATGATACTAACCGGAGCATACGCTTGACACTGTTATTAGGATAAATAAAGTATCTATCTATCTATCTATCTATCTAAACCATCATGCACCGAAGTCTTGGCTCCACACACGCCCCACCACTTGGCTCACTTTTGTATTAGCTGGGAGTTAGGGGCAGAGTCAGTATTTACAATCTACATTTGGGACACATCTAATGAAAGAGAGGAGGAGTGGGGCAAGGAGGGCAGAGCGAAACTATGCGCTGTGCACAGCTCTACATTGCAATAAGATTTTACCCATTTGAAATAGATAAAAAACAATAGAAAATCAATATTTGGCGGTTGATATTGTGGTGGGCCACCACACATTAATCAATATATGGGAAACACTGAACCTTAGTATCTCAGTTGTGATTGTTGATTATCCCCAAAATCCCTTCCCTTCATACTGGTGGGCTTCTTAACCTATGGGAAAAACTGATATTTCAGATTTTACCTCTGCTTTGCAGAACGAATGGTTGATCCTGTATAGACAGCCCATAATTTTTGAACCCCAGACACACATGCATGGAAAACAGTCTGCTTGTACTCTGGTATCTGTCTCTTACAGTAACGTGGGCAATGCTGTCTTGCTCATGCTGTTGACTTGCAAAGTCTCAGATACCTATCCCTAACTGGCTAAAAACATAGCCTGGAAACTGTAAACTCCAAGGTTAGATTGATGTGTTGTTTTTCTGACTTTGGCCTCTCAGTGAAAATCATGGACAATGTGGGCAATCACCATCATCCAATTCAGATTTGATGCAGTTTGATGACATATTTTAAAACTGTAAAATGTGCTTCATGTAGCATTCTAATTGATTAATTACTTGCTATAACATTACTCAATTCATTTTGATACATGAGTATTATTATGGTTAACTAACAAAACCATGTAGTATCTAGAAACTTAGTGCCCCATAAACCAACAACCATAACAATTTTCTTATTAAAATGCAAATTAGATTTTTGAAAATTTTGCTGTATTATATTTATTTCACATAGCTTTTAGATTTGTTCATGTCATTATGCTGTTCTCTGCAAACACAGCTAAAGTTTCTAGTATTTTCAGATCACAGAGGTCTGTAGAAAAATAACTTCCTCCTTGGTAAAGCTTAACAAACACTATCTATTTATATGTAAAATCTTATGTCTAATAGCTGAATTGTTTTTCATAGTGGCAATATTCAATACCACATTAAAATCAAATCACAATACTGTGAACAAAGTGAGCAGGTATATTGCATTTTTGTGTTGTCCAGTGGAAAACTGAATACAAACCACTGTCATTAGTTTTTTTCATGAGCTTTTCTTTGTTTAGATGGAGAGGCACAGTTCACTCCAAAATGAAAAACAACAACACTGTCCAATCTCAGCCTTTCACATTAAAATTCTTTCCTGTGGGCCAGCCACATTGTGCTGCAGGAGGCTTTACAGACAGACACTTAGGGCACACAGGGATCTTCTTCTCGGTAAATGTTGACAGCTAAGCTAAGTAGTGTTAGCAAGCTAGCCTTAGTAAATTGCTAGGTTAATGGAGGATAAGCTAATGATCTCTATAAATAGCTAGCATAGACACAATGTGATGGATGGATGCATCACAATGGATCACATACATGATGGATGAATGTTGCAGTCCATAACAACATTTGATGAAAGCAGAAAGTCTAGAAGGCCAATGTTTAGCCAGTTGAATAAATATCTTACAGCATTATAAGGACTTGTCACAGTGGGTCTCTCCTAACTGCTGCATCTTTCATGGATGGCGTCCTCTCCAGGATGTGGCCCCTGAATTGGGACACAGCTTATGTCAGTCTTTGAAAGAACCAGCCACATAGAGACAAAAGTCTGAACATTGACAGAAAAATCAACAATTATAAGTTTGTTCTTCTCTTTTCATTCTTATTGCCAGTCACTTCCTATAGTCTGACACTCTGTTGTAGTTATCTACCTTGCAGCTATCTCTTGGTATGAGCTTGCCCTCCTCCTTAAACCAGTTGTTTACTGTAAGCTAACACTAGCTTGCTAACATGTTGACAACACTGGCAGAGAATTCAGCCAAGCAGATCCCTGGAAGTGTCTGTTTGTGAAGCAAATCCATCATTTTTAACTGCAGACAGTCAGCAACAAATGTAACTGAATGCACAGTCAATAGTAACAATGATAGAACAGCTGCAGGGTCCATGCAATTCAAATACAATCCCAGTGACTGTGATAATCTTGGCTTTTGGATATGGTAATTTGTTCAGAAAGACACTTCTGGCAGTAGTTGTGCTGCAGAACCAAGTGCCTTGGCATATCCTTTGATGACGGTAAGGATACTGAGTGATTTGGAAGGTTTTCTGGCAGGGCTTTATGTGGGAGATACAGATGAATACTTTCAACTTGTGTGTCATCTACCACAGATGCTTCCTCAATTGAAAATGAGGCAGCAGAGTTTTGATGACAAAAAGTCAGGCCTTGATTGATGAAGGTGCTTGATTTTCAAGTGCCCTTTGTTTTTGGTATCATCATAGTAGACTGTGACTCTCCCCAATTTGGAATAGGAGAGGATGTGTAGTTTCAACACAGAAAAATAAATGTGGCACTGTTCTTGGCCAAGGTTCACCTCAGCACTCAGTGGTGCACCTTCTGTATCAGCAGCCAGCTTCCTACTGAAATACTCGCTCTCTGTGTCCTTGCTCAACCACTTGTTCACTACCATCTCTGTGAGAATCCTTTCATTGAGAACAATAGCTGAATTGGTCGCCACAGGACTGTACAACAGGGACAGAGCATAGTCCCAGTCAAACCCCACTAGCCCACTTCTCCTGCATAGTCATATGCCCTGTTGCATGTTTCCAACTGACAAGACACTTGGTGGTTAATACCCCAGGTGCATTTTTGGACATGTACAAACGTACAGCAAAATCCCCCTTTTTTATCAGAACAAACTGAAGGTGCTTCAAGATGTGATGTTTTTGAGGAGTGGTGCATTTGCATTAGCATTAAGGACAAAAACATACATTTTTGATTTAGTTATGACACACTAAATGGAAAAAGCAAATAGAAATTATATGTGTATATATACACTTTTAAAATCTTTCATAATACCAAAGCATTCTTATTAATTTGCTTATAATATATTAAGATTTAAAAATGATACATATTGCACATTTGATACAATACATTTTTAAATTAGTTCAACTGTAAGACATTAAACAATGGTGCAGGCCTGGGCCTTGAAAACCTCATATTGGTCAAACCCTAGTGACTTCTGTGCTCATCCACTCTGACCCTGGCCTTTTCGCATGCCTCGGTATCCTCCCTCTTTCTCTATAGGGAAAAAGAGAGAGATGTATGAGCATCCTGTCTTCTGCTTGGCGTCTCAAGTGATGGATTTAACCATTCGTGAGTACCCTCTTCACCCCCCCACCCGACCCCACCCAACCCCCTCACCTCTGCACTTTTATTTTCCTGTTATGACCAGTATGCACATCCAGCCACTACAAGCGACCTCACATTTCTGTCGTCCTTTGGTTTGTTTGTGTCAGTCTGTAAAGTCCACCTATAGTTTCTTGATATGTTTCAAACTCAGGTCGCCTCTCAGCCACTCAGGACACATTCTGATATCTCCGTGAGCTTGTTGTCTGTGATGCCAACACCACCTGTTCTTTTTCTGTCTGTGACTTGAATGCATTTTTACTTTGCTTGTGTGTAAATCCTCTTACGTGTGTAAGATCATGGTACATTCAAACAGGGCACCCATATCCTGCAGGTGTTTAAAGGGTATTTTATTCACTTCTCAGTCCTTGAGTGAAACGTCTTTGGATCCAGGTTATAGAAGCTGCCAAAGCAAAGGTCACACACTCACATTGTGAACATGCCTCTGTCTTTGAATGAAACTACCATTAAATGCTCGTATTGATATATTACAATTACATTTTTTTTTTACACATTTTTATGCTTTTTCAGATTTTCCCATATTGGATTTTGGGTCTAAGTGAAGATGCTTTGTGTTTTGTTTCTTTTTGACTCAGAGGCTGCTCATATGCCAAATGTATTGATACTGAAGAGTCACTCTAACCTTTACCTTTATTTCTGACTTCTGTTTTACATTACTTCTGCTTTATACTACCTGTACTGAATGATCTCTTCTCTCACACCCTCTACCTGAAACTTTCCCACCTCTCTCTACCGTCTGTCCGTCCTTGCAACCCATTCTTTTTTTTTTTTTCTTTGAATTGAACTCTCACTCAGTGGAGAAATCTCAGAAAAAACTGAAGGATCCAGGTGATGTTGTACTGTATGTCTAACCTCTGCTGTTCCTGACCAGAAAGTACCCAGCCTACCTTAAACCATACTGCCATAAGCCCTGTCACAACCTCCCTGATGCATCAGAACATAAACTTTACAGGACATGTTTCAGGAACGTTGTGACAGCATTAGTGTCTTCCCCCCATGTGGTGAATTTCATTGCTCTGAATCAAAGAATGGAGATGGAACCTTTGTTGGGCTGCTGGAATTGGACAAATAAGTAAGACTTAACACAAATTCAGTAAAGTGTAATGTAAGCAAGAATTAACACATGAGAAAGAGAGTGCGAGCATCTAAGCATGGAAGAAAATACTGTTTGCATGCAGGTGGCATTTAAAACATTTCAATCTAAGAAATTACTTTTTTTCTAAAAGAAGGTCCTTCATGTGAAAATCAAAATAATCATAGTGAAAATCAGTGCCCGATTATCTCAGTGTGCCAAGGCTGCCAGTGTTTTCATGTATTCACCTATTTATTTGTTCTTTAATGCTATAAATGCAATAAAATGCCAGTCTATTGTTGATTTATAATCACCATCAAAACCTGAGCTGGCATAGGGGCTGTTCAGAAAGACTTGAACTTGTCAACCTATCATATAACATAATGAGGCTATTTGCCTTTACTAAACTGAATCCATGAGTCCATTCTCCAAAAAAGAGGTTATATATCATATAACTGTAGGAAACAATCTGTCCTTCATTTCCAGAACCACTCTTCCAACCACAACAGCTCTGACTTGACATACATTACTAGATCCTAACAATCCCCCTTTTGAACCAGTACAAAGTTCCATTCTGTGGAGGCTTTCATCCGTGTTAGCATCTCCCATCATCCCGCTGGGCTGTTGGGCCACAAGAGCTCTGCCAGGAGGTGGACTGAACAAAGTCATGACTCTAACATTTTAAAGTAAGGTTATTCATATAATACTTTTCAAATCAGGAGTAAAAAATGGAAAATAACAAGAAAATTGATGATAATAAAAAACAATTATTTAAAAAAAAAATTACACTTCTTAATTTTGACCAAGAATGTTTTTTTTAGTATATCTAAAGTCTAAAGAAGGTTAGTGAAGAGAGGCTAAAATTGTTATAGCTATGTTTTTATTGATGTGCTTCACTTATATAATATAATTCATACACTATATGAGTTGGGACACAGATTAGATTTTCTAAATGAAGGCTCACCAGTCTTTGTTTTGATCATTGGAAGAGCAAGCAAGTTAGTTTCAGAAGATCTTCAAGGTCAGGCAGTCTCATGTTGTAAAAGCAAGTCATGGCACAACAGGACCTAACCCTACTTTCATAGCAAATGCACAAATGAGGCATTGTGCAAAGGTCACTGCTGAACTTTCAGGTTTCCAAACAAAGGTCAATAGAAGTGAAACAGTAAATTGTGTTAATCTAATTTCCCACAATTATAGAACTCTAATCCAACAAGTCCTCCATCCTAAACAACTGTATTGGTCGCATTTCCCCAGTACCTCTAAAGCTGAAACATGAAGTACCAAAAGCTGCAGTTCCTCTAATAATCACTAGAGTCTGGCCCCAACAATGAGTCAATCCCCATAGACTCCCATGTTAAAATGTCCAAGTAGTATAGTAGTACAACAGAAATAAACATTTTTTACAGTCTGGTACAAAAACTGTTTTGGTCTCTGGAGCTAATTTCCGCCTTCATGACAACTGTTTATATAACTCACCTGTTTACATTTTATCAGGGCTTAAAGTTATGTATAATTGAGGGTGTGGCCTCTTTGAGTGACAGACGTCTCTCCTCTTTGACTATTTTTAGATTAGCAAGGAGTTAGGGGCGGAGTCAGACACTGCCAATATGGTGACGGTGGAGCAGCTCACTCTGAGCTTCAAAACTGCTCTTAAGAAGCCTGTGGGTGATGTCATGGAGGATACGTCCATCTTTATTTACAGTCTATGATACCCAGTCTCTAATATGACACATAGAAGATTACCAGCATCAGGTGTACCAGACCTTTGTTGTCATGGTAACAATTATAAACACATGGTTATGGTTGTGGAATGGTTTACTGAGGTTTAGAAAAGATCATAAGGGTTATAATGCTAAAGTGCTTCCTTAAGGTTGGAGGACCTTTGTCCCCATGGTTACAATGATAAACGCATGGTAAATGTTGAGGCGCGGTCATGGATATAAGAAACAACATTGACCTTTGGTTTCACATGGGAAATGAACACCAGTCTCCTGTGTTGAAGTCTTGTGTTTTTTGTTGACTCATCCACCCACCCAACCCCCCCAACCCCCCCAACCTCCCGCTACTGCACATCACTTTACCTGACTACTGCCTTTGCTCTGGTCATAATTACTACAGTCACTAGATCCATGCATTAATTACTCAGTCTAAAATATCCATTTCCCACAATGTCACTGAACAATAAGCTGCTGCACAGATGACCTGTGGGGTCATTGGGATCCAATCCTTCAGAGTAAAAACTACTGTTAGTTATAAACTCTGTTTAGATGGAGGACCATGGATGTCACAGGAAAAGTAATTAAGCATTTCCTGAATTTCATATTTTAAAATGTATTGAAAATAGGAATTATAAAAAGAATATATAAATGTACGATTAATCCATCAACAAATACTTCAGCTTTAAAAAATATATTTACAAAAACAGCATAAAACTCTCCTTAAATAAACCATTTATAAATACATTTATTAATTCATGAATAAATAATAGAATTTGAAAAAAAGGTAGCACAAAAATGGGAATTGCTGGATTGCCTCTTCAGTTTCCATTTCCTTTTTCCAGCTGCTTTTCCTTTTGCTCTTAGCTAATCTATTAGCTTAGTCATTTAGCTTCTCCTTTCAGCCTCTCTGTGTAAGTCTGGGCTTCAGTGCTGGGGAAACCCACTGGTTAGCTCTCCAACCAATCAGAGAGCTTGTTACATCCCTGGTTGTCCATACTTGAATCCTCGTTTGTTGCTTTGTGGGTAATGCTTTATATAATGGGCTTTAATCTAGTTACCCTCTGCTATTGAGATTTCAGACTGAGCTAAGACTTGTAGAATATTCATAGCACTTCATTGCTGCAGACAGAAACACAAAACCACACCATAGAGACAGAATTGATCTATAACTGATGGAAAATCTCAAAGTGAATTGATTCAGAGTGCTGAATTCATCCATCCCCAACCTCTATCTTCACCCTGCCACTAGTGACACTACAGCAGAATTTGAACCTCGTTGATTGGACTAGTTTCAAGGTCATCCAAATGTAGGAAATGTTTTAATCTTTGAACCCTGGCTGTCCAGTTTAACCCTGTTAACTTCCCTGCTACTCTAATGTCGGTGATAAAGCAGAATGTGGTGTCGTGATGCATTAGAATAATGGAGGGGGAAGTGGAGGTGTTTCTATGGGTGCATTATCATGATTATTCCATGGTCAAAGATAAAGCTAGACTAATTGAGAATTGCCCATGTCAGCACAACATATCCACCACATTACTGCATGATGAGTGTTCAGTGTATATGCTGTTTACATCCCTCCTCATGCCCATGTTTCCTCTGGATGACGTCATCACTGTTGTGTCACAGCGACGAAGATGTGACTCATTCTCTCCATACCACAGGCGATCACTACCTCCAGCCACCAACTCAGCACTTATGGGGATAGTGTTGATATCAAACACTATGTGGTAGAGCTGGGGTTACACTATAACTAGGGCTGGGTGAAACCTGCAGTGTGTTTAATGTTACTCATGAATGTTGCCTTGAGAAAATATAGCAGACAGTTAACACAATTATGATGCGAATTAGTCAAACTTTGGAAATAATTGAAACTTCTCAGTGTTACAATTGAAAGTATTACGTTGTGATACCCAGCCCTAATTATAACAACTTGATATTTATATAATTGTGTTTTTAATATGACCATGAGATTGTCCCAATGATTTAGGCTGAGGCTATACACTGGACATTTGAGGCAACAGCTACAGTATATCCACACTTTGTGAGTGACCTAATCCTTTAGCTCCGGTGTTTGGATGAAGGCAGGATAACATGCATGTTGTTTACAATCTAAATACTGCATCAGCTTTATATATCAGACCAGGTATGTTCTTATACACTTTAGGTTGCATGCACTCAGTATCAGTTTAAGAAAGAACAAATAGTGCTGATCAGACTTGGAGGCTGCCCAAACTAACCTTTTCCCTTTGTGCTCCAGAGAATGTAGGCCGATTAGTCACTCCTGCCAAAAAGCTGGAGGACACCATTCGCCTGGCCGAGCTGGTGATTGAGGTCCTTCAGCAGAATGAGGAGCACCATGCTGAGGTTAGTGTGCATATCTCTCTCTCTCTCTCTCTCTCTCTCTCTCTCTCTCTCACACACACACACACACACACAGAAGTGTAGTTTCATGGCTGGCTGTGTGTGAAAGCCAGCAGTAGGTGGGGCTGATTAAAACATATGAGCAGCTTGGTTTGTCCCTCTGCTAGCTTGTCTCAGCTACTGAGATCCATCAGCCTCATCACAGCCATGTCATATTTATCTGAGGGTCATCTAAAAAAAAAAACTCTCATTCTATCATTTTAAAATCAATCATCAACCTTGCAGCATCAAATTTGTAATTAAGCAATGTAATGTCCATATGCAGGTAGTACATTACATCACTGAACAAGACTGCAGGTAGGAAAGTCTGTCAGCAGGGGCCAGTTTTCCCAAGACAGACTGACTGTGTCTTAGACAGAACAAACAGTCAGACTCATTCTGAATTCATCTGTTGCACAAAGCACTCTAGTTCTTGACTACTTTAAGACAGACTGTGGTACAATGAATTCTGGGTAAATTAAGAGTTTTTTCAAAAGAAAAAAATTGCAGACAGAGGAACTACATCCAACCGATCAGCTCCATTTGCCCTCAGCAGAACCTGTTTGTCTTATGGAGGAATTCAACACTTACTAGGATGTGTTTCTTGGGAAATTCAATGAAGAGTGAAACAACAAAAAGTAAAATAAAAATCTAATTTGGAAAAAAAAAATACTGCAGTCTCTAAAAACTCTTTCCCTTCTCTTTGCTCTCTCCATAACAATGTTACCAAACCTCAAATTATGAGCCATATTATTTCCTGATTTTTGTTGTTGGGCGCTATTGCTCAGCACAGGTGTTACTGATTACCATGTTACCATGGTAACATTGGTCTTAGGCCTGAGTTAGCCTGGGGGTAAGGTGTCTAATGTTTTTGACTACAAATGAGTCTTTATTTTTGTGAAACAGTCTGACCAACATTAGACTGATCTGGACCAACACTACAGAGCAGTCTGAGATATCTGTGTGAAACCAGCCCCTGGCACTCAATCATTTAACTGTTGCACTAATTCACTTACTGTAGTATTTCAAGCCATGTCTTAATATTCTTCCAATATCGATATTGCATTTACATATCTATTCATATTCATCACATCCATCTAGAACATCAATTCCTATAATAATTACTCAAATATTGTATTTATATGTCATGATTTTATCTATTTAAAATTATATCTATTTTTAATTCATAATATCCTAATGTGACACATTTTGTTGGTCAACAGTGAGTTTGTCATATTTTTCTCACATGGAATCAATAAAATGTTATAGGTTTTGAAACTAGAGGCCACATCCTGCAGATTCCCACCAAAAGACTGTTCAGTCCAAGCAGAGTTTTAAACTTTTCTGGACTTAAATGGTCTCTACAAGATATGTTGTTCCACTGACAAGATGTGAGCCATCAAGTGGAACGTACAACTGCCATGTAAATTTCAAAGTGTTGAAATGATCACACTAATTCATGTATAAGAGCTGGTGTCCTCCACTGTGGCTACAGAGTCCATTATGTCACCTGTAAACCCTTTTTAGGACTTGGCTGACAGTGTACTCCAAATGAAACCCAAATGTGTTTCTTTAGTTGCCTCCAAGTTTAAAATATAAATCTAGAACTAGTTAAATTCTATGATATTAAACTGAAAACTGTGGGCTACAGCCAGCCGTGTGACATGTGATCAGTCGGAGGCAACATAGGGGGGACAATAAAGCCTACAAAAATGTTGTGGTACCACTTTACAACTACTAACTATATATCACTGGTAAAAAAGGAGCCTTAACGTAACTCATTAGTAAATGGTCATGTGTTTTACACTTCACAATAAGGCTCCTTTTACCAGCTATAAATGTTTGTAAGTGATAAATAAATGGTTGTAAAAATGAGAAGAAGAAACATAAAGGTGATGGAGGGAGAATCACAGAGATGTGAACAGTGGGACAAAGAATGGGTGAACAGTTCACCAGGTAAACAAAGGTCACCACCTGTGTTCTAGCTGGAATGCTAAAGTGCTAAAGAAGAGAGCAACCAGCAGAAAGCATCTCTATGTTAATGTGCACTGAGCAGAACAATGTGATCAACAGCTGTGATTAGAATGAGGACGGCTGCTGATACATGTCAAGGTAAACAACACTTCCAAGGCCTCAGAGAATGAATCTGCTCATTTGATATGATCATGTGATCTGTTATAATTTCATCTGCCAGAAGAAACTTTCTGAGCATTAAGATGCCGATGGTGGTTCATCGATAGTAACTGAACAAACGTGATGAAGCAGCAGCTACAAATGCTGATGATGGAGAAAACAAAGAAAGCTCAGTAACTAATGAGATATGAGGCTGAACAGCACAGAGAAATGTGGACTCACTATTTGGCAAGTAACAGGTCTATCTAATGTGTTATAACACATATAAATGATTTATAAAGTGTTAACAAGCTAATTAATAAACTAGTTATAAACATTCATAAATGCTTTATAGGGGTGAGGGTTATTGTAAAGTGATACCATTACATTTTGTGTGGAGTATACTGTTGGCAACAGGGAGTGTTTGCAGGTGTTGTTTCACAATCTGCTTCATCAGATTTACATTTACATTTACACTTTTATCCAAAGCGACGTAAACGTGATTTATCAGTCACATAGTTTGGTTTATGTTTGGGGTATTCACCAACTTCAGAAATCCCATTTGTAGACACCCCATTGCATATGTTTGTGGAGTCATAGGAGTGCCATAAAAAGAATAAAATAAATGTATAAACAGGAATTTAAAAAAAAAAGTAAATTAAAAATGTGGAAATGCAAAGAGAAATATATAACATAATAATTTATAATAATAGTAATTTCCCAAGTTGTTTTTGCTCTTCCTTGAAAGGCCAAGCTGTCAATCAATGACTCTGGGTGAGCTGAGCATTCAGTGCACACATGAATCCAGCTGTGGCAGCAGTTTTTAGTGCAGACAACAGGAAGTAGACACAGACAAGTTCATAAGCAAAAGCAATGGGTAAAAGAATTTTTTTAAATTCCTTTATTTATTTCTCTTTATATTTCCACATTTTTTATTTACTTATTCATTCTTTTACAGATGTTTTCTTTCTTATGACACTCCTATGATCTGTTTACCTTTTTTTCCACTGCAGTTTTTAAAGTCATTAAAATATCTACAGGGGATCTCAGGATGGGTTTCAGGTGTTTAATCTTCCTCTTCAGGGGGGGAGGGGTCTCAAAGTTTCATGTGCATTCAGATTTGAAATGGTAAAAACAAAGTCTCCACCAGTGACCACCTGCTACTTTGAATCACAATACTGCATCTTACCTGCACAGTTGGCCATATCTGACACAAGCACACACTCTGAGGTTGTAGTGGAGAATTATAAATCAGTTCTGTCCTCATATCAGAGCAGAGCAGCGTCTCTGTTTATTTGATAACCACAAAAAATATTGAAGGATAAGAACAAAGATCATGAAGGCAAAGAAAAAAGAAAACATTTTGAGTCTAACTTTTTCTTCCTCTTTCCATCATCTGTTCAGGCTTTCAGCCCTTTTACTGTGAATGCTGTGCAGTTATACATTACTGTAAATCACATTATTCTGTCACTTCCTTATTTCACCAAAACCAAATTGACTGATTCCATCTCTGCTTTTTATTCACTGATTTATTTGGTTTGCGGGGAAATGTTTGAACAGGGAAAAGAGGTATGTGATTGTCTTAGTGCCATATACCCCATCTCCTCCCCTATCCTCACTGTAAGTCCTGTGCATGCACTTAACCACACAACTATTGTTGTAGAGGATCATTAATGTGTCCCTTCTCAACAATGACCCAAACCCCCTTTTTAGCTTGTGATCACTGCTAATTAAGTGCTTGTGGCGGTGCTTGTTAGCTCGTAAGCTAGCAGCAGTTTTCCTTTGGTGATGAGGAATAGAGACAAGCACTTAGGTAACGTGTTTTATTTGTTGAACTCATTAACTTACACTCTGAGAAAACAAAAGTGCAGAGTTGTGACTTTTGGTGTTGAATGTATAACTCCAGCTCTGTACCGTTTTCTACGAGTCTGCCCCAAATCATCCCTTTCCTGTGTTTAGCCATGTGCCATTGATTCTACAGTGCAGTGAGAAAGCTTGAGCAGGTGTTCTGTCACCTTTCCTTCCCTTTAACAAACCCATTTCTCTCCATTGGATCCTTCAGCGCACACAATGGAGGAAATGTGAGGCATGCTTCCTGTGATCAGAGATCACATTATCATTTCCCTTCAGGTCAATGAACTGTATTATGCTGCTGAAAATAATGACATGAGCACATTGGTAAACTAACCAGCGTTAGACTCCAGCTCTGGCAACTATTTGTCTAAGTTCCATTCAGACCTCAACATTATTATCAATCAATGCAAATAGCTTGTATTAATGTTAATTTGTGTGGCTCTAATTCTGGTTATTGCTGATCCTCTTCACCAGCCCTATTTTGTGCCTCTCAAGTAATCACCAATTTTAACTTAAAACTTTAACAGACAGTCAATACAGTCAGTAAAACTACAGCAGGTTGTTGAAGAGAACTTGTTAAAGACATGTCTTGAATTCTCTAAGACTCGTTTGTCCTGGCTCCATGAGAAAAAGTATCATATGGGGCATCTCTAAGCAAAATGACACCAGGACAGTAAGAGCAGCCTAAACAAAGATGGCACCAGGTCATGTGAGCAGCATGTGGTAGCTTTTAATTATACAGTAAGTAGGACTGATGGTTTGGATGGTCAGAATTGAATCCGAATTTACCTGTGAGATCTCAAGCAAGCAGTTAAAGTTATAATCTGTAACTTCAGAGCTCACTTTTTAAATCAGAAACTGTTTTCTGGGTGTTTCTACTGGTTTTAATCCCCTGGTGTGTTTGTTATGGAGAGGAGGACACCTCTGTGGATAATTCAGCTGCTGTTAAAAACCTGCTGAACGTCTGGTTCATAAGTTATCAGAGGAACAATCAGAACAAAGGTTAGCATCAATCTCAGCTCCAGCTCTTCCCTGAGTCTCTGTCCTCCGTACAACATCGGTCAAACACTGACTTTAAATGTGAAACTACTTTATTCAGTGTTTTTAACAGTGTTGTAACTGGGTCTGTTTGATTTCCTGAACCACTGACACTGAAGGAATCCAAACCGGGAGGAGCTTAAGCATAACGCCACCCAACGCTGTCTTTTGTTATTGTTTTGATTGAGAGACCCCTTGCGTTTAAACCCCAGGTTCTTCTGACTCTGTGTGACACAAACAGTACATATAATAATGGATACATCAATATTTTGTATTGTATTGTTTTTATAGTTATAGACATACAAAAGAAAAGATATGATGTGTATGGTGTGTGTCTATGATACGTGAGAGTGTGTGTATTTTTTGTGGATTATATGTGATGTAGTTGTATGTATCTGTGTTATGTATCTGTCCTTTGTGAGAGGGTGAAAAGGAAAGTTTACTGGACTTTAACGATGATAATAGTATGTATTATTTATATAATATAATAGTTATACTTATACTAATATAACATACATTATTTTATTACATAACAATTATAATTTAACAATGTGAGGTAACGTTGCGGTGGGTGCTGAGGTCAGGTCGGTCTACCGTGGAGGTACGGCCCGCTGTGTTCATGAAGGTGTGATAAGCAAGTTATTGTTTCTGGCTGCCATATTTGTTTGGGTTAGTAAATGGTGAAGCAACTTAGGAAACAAGTTCAAGTATCAACACAAAAATGATGATTACATGAGCGGCACTGACTGGATGAACCTTCTTGCCAACTACCCAACACCAACTATCCAATGCCAAGAGCTCCCATGGCAAGTGCATGAACCCCCCCACCCCTACCCCCACCCTCTCAACCACCACAACCACCACCACGCAAGCCCATGGGTACATTCACATTACAGTGTTGAAAGCTTGATGTGAATGAACAAACACCATGGATCCTCAGGGGTCCCTCTTAAGAGGCCTGGCAATAGTGGGGGTGCATGGAGGAAAGCGAGTGTTTCTGATGTGCATGAGAGTAGCCTGGTCCCTAACAGTCACTTCACTGCGTCTGTTTGATGGGGAGACAGGAGCGCGGCACTGCTTGCTAGCTCCTTTCTTCTGATTGACTCGCTGAAGGAGCCGCGGGTGAGTGTTTAAGTAGCTCCCTGCCATGCCTGTCAAGGAGCTGCTGCTGTTTCCTCTGGGGTCCAGTAGAAAAGCGTGTGATTTTTCGTGCCCACGCGCCATTTCGTCTGCTTCAAGTCGTGAAGAATCCTTCCCGAGAGATCACGCAGTGAAGTCGTTGAGACAACAACTTGATTTCATACGGTGGAAAGTGAGAGACAGTCAAGAACCTTTCAGTAGATCAGTGAAGTTACGTCTTCTGCCTTTATGGTAAATGAGATTCAAACCATGAACTGGAAATTCTTAAAGACGTGCCCATTTGGGAGCACTGACACGTCCCCTCTCTTTATCTAATTTGTCTCCTCTCTTTCACTCTCAACCTCTCGATTTCCTTCCGCTCCCTGCACTCTGTTTCCTCTCTTCTCTCCTCTCTGTCCTTCTCTCTGTCTGAAGGCCTTCGCCTGGTGGTCGGACCTGATGGTGGAGCACGCCGAGACCTTCCTGTGTCTTTACTCGGCCGACATGGACGCAGCTCTCGAGGTTCAGCCGCCTGACAGCTGGGACAGTTTCCCCCTCTTCCAACTGCTCAACGACTTCCTGAGGATGGACTGTGAGTGCAGAGCTATTAAAAGAAAACACTTTCAGCAGTGAGTGTGGGGCCTGAAGTGTCTGAGCATGCCTGATCACACACCAGGGTCTGCAGGATTGATTGGGGGCAAAATGACATATTATCCACTCGCCCAGGTTCACATAAATTATCTCATGGTGACTCATAACCCGTATTCATTTGACAAACATTCACCATTTATAACAAAAAAGCATGTGTGTGTGTGGAAAAACTTGACTCCAGTTCTGTCTGTTATTTTCCGTCAGTTTCAGCGTGTCAGCTCATGCAGATACATCAGTTTCATACGTGTTTAGAACAATTTGCAATTGTTAGGATCAAGTGGCACCATGACTGTAATACTACACTAAAACCTTTATGCATTAATTTCAGACAAGATTATTGTGTCTGAAAATGAAGCTCTTTATCCTTAAAGAGTTTAAAGATTCACTTCAGCTCAAAATTCCTCAGCAGCAGAATCAGAACCTGAAAAATAACAAATAATTCATAGATTTTACCAAAATGAATTCATATCCTGTCATTATAAATCTGGATAAATGTTAACAGACAGGAAGCTCATCAGCTGCATCAGCATCATGTCTTTTTCCATTAAAAACATCCCTGTTTAACACCATGTCATCCACTACACCACCAAACAAGGCTGCACTGACCTAGGTTTAAGGGCTTTTACGACTTGTTCAACATTTGATACCAAAACATCATCACGTGATCTGCTCAGCCAGTTTTGAAAACTGTTACATTCCTTAAAGACCGTCATGTGATTGGTTAGAAATAGTTTTGACTCTGTGATGTCACTGCCCCTTACATCCACACGGGAGGCGCAGTGTGAGCAGCATGTTGGCAGCAGCTGCGTGTACACAGGATGCACGCAGGCAAAGTATGGAGTGTAGGTCACACACAATACACACAATCACTGTGGTTACACATTCTGAACGTACAGCACAAGTACATGATCTGATTTCATGGTCTGATTTAAATGGAAACACGTGAGACAAATATGTGTGTGTCCGTGTGTGTGTGTGTGTGTGTGTGTGTGTGTGTGTGTGTTTGTGTGTAGGTACATTTTGATCAGTGTTTATAATATTTGTATCACTGAGTTCTATTTTTATAATCAACTAACAAAATCAAGGCCGTTTCTACTGAAGGTTTACAGCTGCTGTCGACCGCTCGCTCCATTCTCCCTGAAACATCCCTCAAATGTCTCTGAAATCATCCTTGTCAACATGAGATTTTGGCCTGGGGCGGTTTGCATACGGGACTGTGTGTGTGGGTGTGTGTGCGTGTGAGAACAGGGCCAGCCATGTCTGACTGAAGATAATGGTCAGTCGTTGATGCTGGTTGCTGCAGGCCAGTCATCTCTTTAATGAACTGCACATACTCGCCTGCAGAAACACTGTGGAGCTGTCCGTGGTCCTGTAAAGGATACACTCCACTCTTCACAATGCTGACTTGATCTGCAGGGTGCTAATTGTCCCTGGGGAATGCTTCCCCTTTTCAGTTTGTCAGTTGGGAGTCAAGGAGAAGGCAGAGCGTGGTCCACTCATTCAGCTGAACGGAGATGACTGCAAATAGGTCGTTATGCTCACTTGTTAGCGTTGTCAAATTTGCCAGCATCTCATTTGCTGCATATTGTCTGTTGTGTGAAAACGGCAATTGAAGTGCATAGCAATGGACGTAGCTACATCAGCTAGCAGTTAAGAGAGGGATGAAAACTGTACGATGCTGGCAATAACACAGTGACTATAAAAAACAGACCCCCACTGACAAATCATTCAGCTGTAATCTATGATGATACGGCACAGCAGTGTGTCAAAAAACATCTGTAGTATTGGTTAGACTCCTCTTTTCTTCCAGTGAAAAACAACTGTAATTCAGTCCTGGAGACAGAATAAAATACTTTTCTTTGTCAGCATGAATTTGATCATTCCTCTTTCATAACACCTACATCAATTGTAAGAGATAAGACATGTGTTATTCTGTTTGTCTTATTGTCAAAAAATCCAATGCAAAGGTCAGCTCCACCAGTGGGTAACACTTTACAATAACAACAGTCATAAGTCATTTATAAGCCCCTAGTTAATGATGAACTGATCAGTCCCAAAACATACATTTGTAGATGATTAGTAAGTGCTGTATTAATCATGTATAAATGTCTGTTCACTGAAAGACAAATCATTTAGTATTCATTTAACAATAGCTTGATCATCGTCATCGTTGTTTGTGCTTGTGTCAGGCTAACTTACAAGTAATTAATGATACATCAACAAATTATATAGTATAGTGATCATTTACTAATTATTTGTTCATCATTTGTCATCATTTGATGAACCGATGTGTGTATAGACTTACAGATTAATCTTTGAATATCTTTCAGTCAACTAACTGCTGACTTACAACAGATTAGTTACATGTAATGATTTGGAAATTATAGTTCCTCATTAACTAAGGGCTTATAAATGACTTATTACTGACTGTTATTCTAAAGTGTTACTTAGTGTCTGAGTCTGTCTCATGACTGTAGTTTTTAACAAACGTCACTCAAATGGGAGGAAACGGTGCATTTGATAAGACTGTGGACTAATTCACATTTGGTGCTCTTGTAAATATTTCTGGCACCAGGAGCGTGCATGTGAATGTGACAGTATACTACAGTATGCACTCCATGTCTTTGTGATCAATTATTTATTGTTTAAATTAGGAATTACAAAAGACAATGCAAAATTAGATATAACTGGAGGGACAGAACATATGCAAAGTATAGTACGTCATGTGTGCTAACATATAGGGAGCCCTCCCAGCTCCATCTATGATATGAATTCCATGCTAATGTTTTAAAAAAATGAGACTGAATATGAGTCAACATGCCTTGTTAAGATGGAGCTTTTTTTGCAATGTACAAATGTATGAAGCAGAAATGGTAAAATAAGATATAAATTAGAAAATAAGACTGAATTAATAATACAGAAAAAATATAAAAAATAAAGTATACTTGGCAACTCCTCCAGAGGTACACCAGCCATTTTTATTACACTTAAAGAAATTTGGGGAGTATGGAGTCAAATCAAAGCAGCAGAGATTGTGACATCTTGATTCTTAGTCTGTAGTAAGAGTAGGGGTCAAGCTAAAAAAAACAGTACATCCTACACTTCCCATAATCCACCAGTAGCATCATTTTGTAGACCCTCACTTCCTGGTAGATACCCACATCTTTGTAACTCGCCCATCCCATTTTGTAATACAGGCTTCATGTTAGTCTCCATCTTCAAACCAAGATTGCCCTGATGACATCACCATGACATCATCAGGGTTGTTTCATCAGGCTCACCCACAGTGTAAAATCAGTGGAGTGTCCCTTTAATTTGTTTGCAGTAAATGCAGAACCATCAGATGAGTGTGGCTTCCTTCCTCTTCTTAATGACTCTCATCAAACAGCCTTAGCCCACAGTAGCATGTCATCATCCAAGAGTGTTGCAGACAGCACAAAAAAACCATCATCAGTACCAACTGAAGACCCAGCAGAGCCCCCCACCGCCCACACAACGTAACAAGCGCACACTTTAGCAGAGTGTATCATCACAGAGACGTCTTTTCCACAGAAGGTCATCTGCGCTGTTGCCCCACAGCGGTGCACTTATGTAGCAGTAAATAGCCTTGGCACTAGACAGGCGCCAAAGTCGGGCTGCCATTCGAGGAGTTAATGATGTCTAAAGCAGTGGTAGCTGGGCCGCAGCGAGCCCCGAGAACACACTCCTGGACACAACACATCGAAGTGGACAGCAGCCGCTCAAGTGGCTAATTGGGAGAGTGGCAATCAGGAAGCACAACAAACATTGCACCTACTGTGTATCATCGACCTTGACTCCAATGCCAGCACACACAAACACAAATACACACATGCTCAGAGGGGGAGAGAAAAACAAAGAGGGAGAGGGAGAGGAAAAACAGACACACTGCATGGAGCCGTGAGGCATCACATTAGCACACACTGGCCTCCATTTTATCTCCTGTGGTCTTCGTCACTGTTGCCTTTTTACCAGTTGGGAGCCGGCGGAGACTGGGGGGAAAGTGTGTGACGAGTTGGATTTAGAAATACCCCGAGACTGCGACCTTTTGTTTAGAGAGATTGGAAACTGGATATGCTGTGTCATACCTGCTAATGAAGAGCCAGGGTTAGCCACCTCCTCTGTCACTCTTCATTATCACAATCGACAACGGAACTTTTCTGTCCTGCATTAAAAGCCCTGTCCTGGTAAATAGCACACTATGAACTGTCATGCTGCCTATATATACAGTAGATATCTGTGCTGATATCTACTGTACCTCAGCATCAGCTGCCATGTGCTCAGGTGTGCTCTGTCACCTCCATGTCTTCTTCTTTCTTCTCAGATAACCTGTGCAATGGGAAGTTCCACAAACACCTGCAGGACCTGTACGCCCCCCTGGTGGTGCGATATGTGGACCTGATGGAGTCCTCCATTGCTCAGTCCATCCACAGAGGCTTTGAGAGGGAATCCTGGGAACCTGTCAAGTAAGGACACCTTAATTTACAGTACCTTTACCCTTATCCTCTTCACTGACAGGAGGGAAGTGTTAGTTTGGCTTGTACCCCTCTTTGAATTCAAAAGCTGCTTAAATTCTCTTGAATTGTGGTGGACATGTTTAGTAATACTTTATTATAGCTGTACGCAAACATTTGGGCACTCCTGGACAAATCCTATATTTTGTTGATTTTTGAAGTTAGAAGAAGTAAACAGACGCCTGCAGCAAAGACACATTAAAAATGAAAGCCTTTCCTCCAGATGTTAAACAGTAACTGCGACATGTGCAAAAGTTGGACTTGTACTTGCAAAGTCTTAGAACCACATGGACTCGTCAGGAGTTGGAAGGTAGGTCAGGAATTGTCATTAGGAACTCTCAGCCAATGGCGATACCACCATTTCCCACACTGTGTGTGACACTGAGGTTACAAGTACAAATTTTGACCTTGTTTTCTTTTGTCTCTTTTTGTGTTAAGGTAATAACTATGTTTCTATTCTGTCTTTGTTTTGTCCTTGTTACATTGTGTACCATTGTGTCTTGTGCTGTTCTGCTTTCGGTTTGTTTTATGAGAGTTTCCTGGAAAATTAGATGATACGTCTCATTATCCTGATCCTAATAAATCAACCTTTTCTCAGTCTGACTGGAGCAGATGAAAGTCACTGACCGTGTGTGGGATGTTCTGTATTTGTATTTTATTTTCACTCTGCTTCTGCCGTCTGTATTAACATATTATGTGTCATATATTCAGATCTTTTTTTATTAATATTTTATATTTTATTATCATTTTTTTAAACATATTTTTCTCATTTATCAAAGATACAGACTTTTTGTTTTGTACCCAATCATACCCCTAAATCCAAACATCTCCTCCCAGCTCACTGTTAAACTCACAGTCTGTAACTTCGGCCTCTAGGGGTCTCTCAATCCAAACAATAACAAAAGACAGCGTCGGGTGACGTCATGAAATAGCGTGGGATCATGGGAGTTGTTGTCTTCACCACCATTACCTTAAGCTCCTCCTGGTTTGGATTCCTTCAGTGTCAGTGGTTCAGGAAATCAAACAGACCTGGTGATTCTAACCGTTAAAAACACTGAATAAAGCAGTTTGACATTTAAAGTCAGTGTTTGAGCGACGCTGTACGGAGGACAGAGACTCAGGGAAGAGCTGGAGCTGAGATTGATGCTAACCTTTGTTTGGATTGTTTCTCTGATAACTTATGAAACAGATGTTCAGCAGGTTTTTACCAGCAGCTGAATTATCCACAGAGGTGTCCTCCTCTCCATAACAAACACACCAGGGGATTAAAACCAGTAGAAACACTCAGAAAGCAGTGTACCTTTAAAAATCAGTGATTCACATCACCAGCTGTGTGTCAGTCCAGCTTTCTAATTAGACTTACACTTTGGGTCTGAGCAGCCAACAAAAAATTATTGCAACATTTCAAAAAATGTTGCAATAATTTTTTAACCCTAAACTGTTAGAATGAAGGATTGGAAAGAATAAAGATTTGATACTGGATTCATTCTACTGCTCTGTGCCACTTGGACTTTAATTTTTTCCCGCTCCTCCATCTCTGCAGTGTGTTGGCCAGTTGTGTTTAAAAGTCACAGTGAGCTTGGAGAAAGATTTGGATTTGGGGGTGCTGCTTGGTGCAGAGCAAAGTCAGTGGATCTTTAACTAAGCTGTGCCTTTAATGTATCTTCAGTTTGTTGCTTTTCTCTCATTTGATTTGATGTCTGTCTTCTGTTATTCTGTCTTCTGTTACTCTGTCTCTCTCCACAGAAGTGTACCAAGCTCTCTGCCCAATGTCAACATCCAAATGCCCAAAGTACCAAATCTAACAGTGCCACAAATGCCCAGCTTTTCTCCACCCAACTGGATGGCAGCTAATCATGACTCAGAGTGTGTATCTGCAGTGTGCAACCTGAGACAGGCACACATGTCCTTGGCATGAAGTCATATGACCCCAAATATTTATACATCCATTAAAATGAAATCTAATGCACATTTAGAGCTATTTCTGCACAAGTATAGGATGTTTGTACTTTAAACCAGTTAAATTAGTTTAAAATCTAATTAGTTGTATTTTGATTTATATACATAACAAGGGTAAAGAAACTGTTGCAGACATCAGTAGATTGAAAAGTGTGTCATAAATCAGGCTGTTTAATTGACTGGAAGCAAGTGCTATCATTAAAAGTACTCTGCATATCTTAATATACACTTGACACATCATCTATAGCACTTCAAAAACTTAAGCAAAACGTTGTCTGCACCATCAACAGGGATCCAAGGTGTAAAAGCTGCTTCATACGCCGCAGCACCCCACAGAGTGTGACGCCGTCACTGCAGCACATCCATCCCTATTCCCTCTGCTGGGATCAAAAATACCAGCCCTGAAGTTTTCAACGTAAAAAAAAACCAAAGATGATGAGAGCTGCATTTTAAGCTTCACTGTATATTTAGTGACTAATTCACTTCCCAAAGAGAAGACACCAACAGCTATGGCAGACATGTTTCATTTGTGCTGTCAGAGAACAGGAGAAAAGCCCAGACTGGTGGTCTGTTGTTGGGGTTGTATGCAGGCTGAAAGCCATGCTCACACCAATGTCACGGCATGTGTGTGTGTGGATGGAGGAGGCTGTGAATCCCAATATTTTCACTCCCACATGTGTGTTTTTATATGAACTGAAAAGATGCAAAAGCATAACGAGGCAGGAAATACAAACCAAAGAGCAACTACAATAAGAAAATCATACATGGTCTTAACACTAAGGACACACAGACTGGCGACACATCAACATAAAGGCTCTGGGCCCTATCTAACACCTGGCGCAAAGTTCAACGCAAGTGTCTTTGCTAGTTTCAGACTGATGCAGTTGTGGATAGCAAATAAACTTGTGCCTTATCTGTGCACCCATGGACATGTTGGTCTTAAAATAAGGAGTGGTCAGGAGCATTCTTGGCGCATTGCTATCTTGAGACACTGGAAAGATTGCGCGATTGACCAGCAAAAACCTGTTCTTTAGTCAGTGTCCCAGTATTTCACTGTTATTTTAAGGAGCATTATCAAGAGTAATATGTGCCAAAATACACAGGCACACAGAGCTCACACACTCTGTCTGTTACACTCAAGCAGAGTGAGCTGAAGATGCTTTTAGATGTTTGGATCAGAAGTCAGGTGAACATTACAATACAGCCTCAGAAGGTCGGAGCTTCTTTGTGACATGTTGTGTGTTGTATAACGTGGTCATGTGTCATGGATGTCTCTTGCCGAGGCTCTGCAGAGAAGCTTCTTTCTTACTACCTGGTAAATCCTCCACAGTGTTCCACATTCATCGCCTCAATTTGTTCATAGTTTCATAAGGAGCTAAAGATTTATTCACACTTCTCATCATGTAAATATAAATCTTTCTGACATTGTGATTTGTGCCATTACTTCACTGTAGAGCTGTGAGCAGCATAATGATTTACTCAGACCTTCTTTGGAAGGACTGGACTCACTGGTCAGGACAGGTCTCACTGGTCAGGACTGGTCTCACTGGTCAGGACAGGTCTCACTGGTCAGGACTGGTCTCACTGGTCAGGACTGGTCTCACTGGTCAGGACGGGTCTCACTGCTAACCCTAACACTCCCATGAATAATTAAGAGATTAAGTACAACCCTTCTGAACCATGCAACTGTTTTTTCTGCTGTTAAAAAAGCAAAAGTGACATGGATACACCCTGAGTGTACCTGCACCATGCACTTTGGATCGTTAAAATAGATCCCTACGTTTTAACAACCCAAATCTCATGGTCTGAAGTTTACTGTAATCTCAGAAAGAGCCGTCGGCCACCAGCCTCACTGTAACTAACGTTACGTCCTCCTTCCTTCATCTGTGCTGAGAAGACATGGACGTCCACATTCATGCAAACAACAACAAAAGCAATAAAAAAATAAATCTGCAGGGTTCAGACTAAGCAGCTGTTTAGTTAACAACCATCACTGTTGCTGTGGTTGATACTGGTGAATTGACTTATATTCATCAGTAAACACCTGTGTGTTTTGTGTCTGGTTACTAGAAATGATTTAAATCATCCACACTTGTACATGTTGAGAACTAGAGACGTGACCTCAGAGGTAGCTTCTGTCCTGGTTAGGAATTTGCATCCTTTCATATCTTTCTATTCCAAAGCCTTTCCCCCAGTCAACCTGATGTTGTAGCACCCTGGTCCTGGTTTCTCTCTCCTTTCCCGGGGTGGATGGTTGGGGAGGGACCCCACATGTGTGAATATTGTATGTTGTTGTCAATCTGTCCGTCGACCCCATCCTCATGAACATCTCAACTCATGATCTTTGGAACGCTTTGAGGGAATTTCTTCAAATTTGGCACAAACATTCTCTGGGACTCAACGATGAACTGATTTGATTTTGGTGGTCAAAGGTCAAAGTCACTGTGACCTCACAAAACACTTTTTTTGGCCAGAACTTAAGACTTCACACACTAATTGTGACAGGGTTGGGTGATAAAAATGATGACGTGATAACGTGATAAGGTGAAGTGATAACATTTTACACCCATAAAGGTGATAGGTCAACTTCACTGTGGAATCATAATGTTCTGTAAATTACATTCCTTCAAAGTTTTCACTACAAGTATTATATGAGTCTGGACAGACATGGAGGTAAACTGCAACCTGACTGGTTGGTGTAGGCATAGAAACAATAGAAACAGTCTGCTGGGACTGGGTTGAATTTCGAGCCGCTGAAGGACGTAATGGTCTGAATAATGTTAGTAGTGATGATAAGACACCAGCAGCTGCAGTGCTATTGTTCCTGGTCCCCAAACAGGTAACCCCAGGTAACTAACTGAGGGTTTCCACACCACCTGGAAAAAATCAGTTGTTTTAATGCTGTGAAGAGTTGTGGGAAGTGAGACCATAAGACTGTTTCACAGTGTCCTTTACTGATGCCTTTGAAAATACTTCAAAAAATGAATCTATCCAGTAAAGAAAAAGGCGAGACATTTATCTTCTTCTCCTCTTGTTCCTGTTTTTATTAACTGTAAATGAAACACACTGCACAATGAATGCAGTCTTTATATTTTCTGAGACACACATACAGTACAAAGATGTGTATCCTGCATTCACACTTTCACATTCTAACCCAATGATATTGCTTAGTGACAGGATGTAAATGACAAGATGGGATATGCATAAATTTTCACCTTTACTCACTCAGTGTCGTGTGTAGAGCATTGTTAGCCTGGATCGTGCTTCCCCTCAGTGCAGACAGTCCACACACTGTACATGGTTCACTCTGTGCAAATGTCCATGAAGGTCCACTTGTACATGAACCTAAAGTAGCCCCTCAAACATTTGATCTACACCACTGTTTTGCCATTTTCAAAGTTCTAATCTTCATCCTGCTAAGCTTTGACCTGCTGTCCTGCAGTAATGGTTCAGGGACATCAGAGGACCTCTTCTGGAAGCTGGATGCTCTGCAGACCTTCATCAGAGACCTCCACTGGCCTGAGGAGGAGTTTGGCAAACACCTGGAGACCCGACTGAAGCTGATGTCCAGTGATATGATCGAGTCCTGTGTAAAACGGTAAGACAGTGTTAAAATGTACATTTATGGATCTAATAGCAGTGAGAAATTTGTATATATTCTATTAGTGACATACATTTTTGTAAACTGGGTTTTCAAGACATCAGCTATTTGTCAACAAGCAGAAGAAATTTTCAGAGCAAAAGTAAAATAGGATTTACCATGGACTGTAAATAAAGATGGACGTGGCCTCCGTGACGTCAACCACAGGTTTTTGAAGAGCGGTTCTGAAGCTCAGAGTGAGCTGCTCTATTGTCGCCATCTTGGCAGTGTCTGACTCCGCCCCTAACTCCCAGCTAATGCAACAATGGACAAAGAGGTGGGGAATGTTTGGAGCTGAGTCTTCTGTGCATGCCAGTTTGTGACAAGGATATGCTCACCCACCTGTTACTCAAAGAGGCCACGCCCTTAATTATATGAACAGTTGTCATGAAGGAGGAAATTAGCTCTAGAGACCAAAACTGTTTTTGTATCAGGCTGTAAACATGTTTATTTCTGCTGTAAAGTTGAACATTTTAACATGGGAGTCTATGGGGATTGACTCACTGTTGGAGCCAGACTCTGGTGGTCGTTAGAGGAACTGTGGTTTTGGTATGGTGGTTGGTATGTGGCAGTTTTTTGCTCTGTGCATTGGCAGCCCTGCTGGTTGATGGACTGGCCTCATTCATAATGAATAAGAGGTTTGTGTTTTTTTCTGAATGCAGCCTCACTGTGAAGCTAAGACTGTTATCATGTGTCTTTGAAATTCTTTAAAATGAACCATGAAATAAAATAATATAAATTTAAAAATGTGTGTGTGTGTGTGTGTGTGTGTGTGTGTGTGTGTGTGTGTGTGTGTGTGTGTGTTTGTGTGGGCAAAAAAGGGGGAAAAAGAAGAAAGAGGAGCTTGCATATGTGTGGTGTGTGTGTATGGGGTTTGGGGGGCCCACAGCGGGGGCAGGGACTAGATTTGGCAATTTTTTTCCCTTACTTTTTCAGGAGGGGGTTTGCTCAACCTGGCTGGTTGATTGTGGTGGGGGAAGAGAGTTTTGGTGGGCAACACTCAGATCCTGGGGAAGATGGCCTATCAGTGTCTTATAACATGATCCCTCCCAAGTTTGCAGGGCTGTTGATGGTGTCGGTCATTTTTACCGTAAGGGATTGAGTGTTTCTTCACTACAGTTTGGTTTCTGTCAGTGTGGAGGAATTTAGACAGTTGTATATATAGTATATTTTGTATTATTCTTTTTTTAGGGGATGTTGGGGGACTAGGACTCACTATTTCTAAAATCCTTGATACAGCCCTACATTTCCTTGCTTCTCTAAAGGACGCGGGCTGCGTTCGAGGTCAAGCTTCAGAGGAGCAGCCGGTCCATAGACTTCCGTGTGCCGCAGTCCATCTGCACCATGTTCAACGTCATGGTGGACGCCAAAGCCCAGTCAGCCAAGCTGTGTGCCATGGACCTGGGGCAGGAGGTAGGAGGAGGAAACCCCGTTTTTCTTCATTTAATCTTACTTTACAGTTTCAGCTGCCATTGATTCCTCCTGCACATCACACTCATATCATTTAAAGGTCACTCTGTTTTGGTGGTGAATGTTTCTGTTTTGAGTGGCATTAGCGGACTAAGTGTGAACATGTTATTATTTCTCTTTTACTTGAATATGTTTTTCTTTCTTTGTCTCTGACTTCTGTTGCAGTATTCGCATAATTTTACATGTGCCATGTCACCTCTATCTTTCCCCTTTTCTGCTGCTTTTTTTCTCCTCTCTGTCTTGTGAAAGTTTATTAGAGACTGGGTAAGTGTGGCTACGAATTCAATTGAAATCTCACCCTCCAGTTCCCAAATGTATAATTAGTCATCAGTTTTCCCTGTCTGTCTTCCTCCACTTGAATTGTTTGGATTTCATTAGCATATGTGTAGATAGCATTGAATATACATGGGGTAGAAGTGAGAGATTTCATTTCACAGAATCTCGAGACTGATACCAATTACTGACGATGAATTAATTATTGCTAAGTCCTTCGCTGTTCTGTTGGTGCTACACGACTAAACAAAAGGATTCCTCACAGCAATGCTGTGTCTGAGTTTCCATGACTGCAGCACTCCAACAGGACTAATTCTGCCAAAGTCCTTCACTGGGCTCTGATCCGCTGGAGAACCTCGGGCTCTTCACAAGGTTTAGAAAGCACTGCGTTATTTACATGCAACTGAAAAATAAACAATTCAAAAACCAAGGAGGAATAAATAAAATCAATATTTTAAAATCAATAAATAAATAAACTTAAAAATATTCATGTAAAAATTTTTTTTTTTAAAGAAAAACAGGGAATAAAAGATTCATTCTTGAATTTTTGATTCATTAATATTTATATAATGTACCAAATAAACCGGTGTAATAATAACTTTATTATGTTACATGTTATTATTTTATTATCACTCCATCTCATGTTACATTAATGTTTTTAACATGTTTTTATGTTCATTTCTTTTCATTTGATGCACTTGGTGCTGCACATCTTGTATGTAAGGTGCTATACAAATAAAGTTTACTGTAATTGTTATTATTAAATGTAAATGAAATTAGAAAGACATCACACTGCTGTAGCAGAAGCTAATGTGGATCTGAATGAAGAATATAAGCTTTCTTATAAAAATGTGTCTTAAGATGTGACGAAGATAAAACAGGGAACTGAATCTGAGAGTCTGATCTCCTCTGGCAGGTAGTTCCAAAGTTTAGTCTCTTTATGTTTTCAACCTAGACCTTGGAATGACCCGCAGTAAAATGCCAGAGGATCTCAGACTGAGTCCTGGATCATAGGTGGCGAAAAGCTCAGACATACAGGGAGGGGTCAGCCCAAACCTGGCCTTAAAAGTAATTAAAATTAAAAAATAAAAATAAAATTAAAATGTTTTAAAATCAATCCTAAAATAAACATGCAGCCAGTGTAGGGATGCTAGGACTGAATTAGGAACATGTGAACTAACTGTAGGAGATGCATTCATTTCTGACAGAGACACGTATACAGGGAGTTACAGTAGTCAAGGCGGGAGGAAATAAAAGCCTGGGTGAGTCTCCAGATCTGTGCCTTTTGCTAATTCACCTCGGTTTTCCTTGATTCATCTTCTTTTTGTGTAGCACTAAGATGTCAAGACATTATGTTGCTAGTACAAGCCATTACCATGTGTGGGACAAATTAACCAGTGCCTTAATCTATTACTATTATTATCATTATTATTGACAAGTAGGAATCACATAGTCATCAAATGCTAGTTGAAAGAGTTGCACACTACTTATCATTTGGAATAACCTGTATGTGTCATGAGTTTAGAATTTATGGACCAAATGCAGAAAACACAAGAGCAGGTTGATTCACAGGAGGTATTTAATAGCAAAACAGACTTACAGTTAGATGATGTGAACTGAAGCACTGGTAAGGAAACAAATCTCGAAGCACAAGGACCAACCAGGAGCATGAGACACTGGGCAAACTCAGCAGGAATAAAACACACAAACTGACAAAGACAGAGGGAAAGACAGAGGCTTAAATACAGAAGGGAGGCAAAGGTGATAGAACACAGGTGAAACATATTAGAGTGGGGGAGGGAAACAGGATAAAGACAGGAATTAAAGAGTCCAAACCACATTTAAAAAAGTCCAAACATAAATTGTCCTCTAGGGCAAACCATGACAGTATGCTGCTGTCAAACGAATTACAATACTTACGTCTGCCTAATAAACAATGTCCTCTGTTTGTTTAGTGCTGTAAATAATTCAGGTTTCCCTCTAAATCTGTCCTGCTCACACAGTGTAATAGACTGGTAGATGTTTACATTATCCTCAGCAGTGGTGTTAAAAAATGATGATATGTTAATATCGACAGTCATATGTATTAATATGTAATGGTTAATATGTAATGGTTCCTACATGTGGATGAGAAGACTAACATATTTGCTTTTCTTCCTCTGTAGAGACAGTACCATTCCCAAATTGACAATCTAATTGAGGAGACGGTGAAGGAGATGATAACGCTGCTTGTAGCTAAGGTACGAAATCATCAAGTCGACGCAAAAGGACTACAAAGAGACTAAATGAGACTCAACAGGACCACAAGTAGATGCAAAATGATGCAAAGAGACACTAAACAACTACAAAGCCAAAAGAGTCAAACGACCATAGAGACTCATAGAAACTCCTCCAAAAGGATGCAGAGCCACTGTCAAGACTCTCAGTGAGACTCCAAATGACCATAGAAACTTGAAATGTGTCCAGCAGTTAAGTTAAGTTAAGTTAAGTTTTTGGCCAGACTGTTACTAAGCTACAATTAAAGTAAAAAATATTTTACTCTTTAATCCATTACACTAATAAGAGAAGTTGATAACATATTGCTGTTGGTTAAATGTTTACTTCTTCCTTACCGGGAACCTCTAAGAACCTTTTTCCAGATTGATGACTCAGCACAGAGCAGATGTCACTCTATAAGACTCTTAGTCAGTAGAGACTAATGTCTAAGAGAAAGATACTGGAGAATCTTCTCAAGGTGTACAGGAGCCAGTCATCATCCATTTGCTCTGAAAGCCTGAAAATGACGTGGACAACGTGACAAATTGCTATAGTTTCAATGACACTATAGCAGAATAAAGACTCACAAACTGCTGACAGGCTTGTATTAATGACTCTTTTTTATCCTCTTCCTCAGTTCGTGGTCATTCTTGAGAGTGTGTTAGCCAAGCTCTCCAGATATGATGAGGGAACACTCTTCTCCTCTTTCCTATCTTTCACAGTAAGTAGCACATGTATGTAGTTTCAACACCACCTTCATTTACTTCCTAATACACCTTCAAGCAGATTCCTCACCAACAACAGCAGCAAAGCTTTTAAATTTAATTTAATGATGTATTTTCTTTGGGTTTATTTAGTTTTTTTTTTCTGTTAATCTTTCATGCTAATACAGTTTGACCTTTTTTAAGCCTTTCTCAGCACCAAATAGCTTAACAACTCAGCTGGGTTCCCACAGTATTACAAAAGCCAGGTTATTGAATTTGTGAGTGCACTTTTGCAGCTGAAATCACCACGAGTCATTGTTGCCTCTAAACTCCAGGCTGTACAGTGTAACCGCAGCAGCCTTTGTTCTGTAAAGTGGTGCCACAGCTGGAGTCCTGACTGTTTTTTCACCCACTTCTTTCTCCTTTATGTCAAGGTGAAAGCGGCTTCAAAGTATGTGGACGTACCTGTAAGTGAGACTTATTTATTTTTCTGACTCTCAGACTATGTATGATCACTATGGGGTGAACAACCTTTACCCTTGTTAAAGTTTAAATGCCTTAATCATCTCATTAATCAACCACAAAATACATTCATCTATGAAAAATTTGCTTTGACAAATATGTGTCCTTGTCCTGGTGAATCTTTTACTGAAACACTTGGTCAAAGTTCAAGAATGATGCCGGCTTTTGCTTAAATAATCAAGTCACTGTTGAGTTGTCTAAACAGAACCATAAAAACCCTTAACCCTTGTTTAGTTGGCAGAAGTGAGAATGGAAAATAAATGAAATAAAAGTGAATGTTTTGCCCTACAGAGACTGCAAACCATGGCTCATCTCTCTTCATTAAACTGATTTTAAAACAAGAATCATTATGAATCATATTGTGACAAAACAAACTGAAATGTAATAGTGAGACTCCCAAAGATTCCCACTTATGACCTAACTCTTAAGAAAAGGGCGTTAATTAATGAATCCCATCAGTTAATGATTCAGGTCGCATGCTAAAGGTACCCTGTAATGTTTTTGAGCTCTGGTAATGTTTTCGAGCAGGATCCCTGTTTTGGGGGGGGGGGGGGGGGGGGGGGGGAGGGGGGGGGGGGGGGGGTGGTTGATTTCACACTATGTCAGTGATTAATGGGAACTACTTTATCTTGGCAGGACAGTAGCCTGGTCATACTGGGTTTTTAAGGTTAATACCAATATCAATATTTGAGAGTTAAAAAAATTGGAGAGACTTTTTGAATAGAGAAAGACTGTCCTCCTGTAGAAAAAAACAAAACAAAAAACAAACCAGTAGGTCGTTATTATGACCCATAGTTACATTTGGTTGTTAGGCGACATGATGTGGTCATGGTAATGATGACAGGTGACGTAGTATAAAGAGAGACAAAGTCCACATTAGGAGGAGGTTGTGGTGGATGGAAGAATATGACACAGGAGAGCGGTGTTTGATTCCCTTATGAAAAAAGTAGTTTATGTTGTTCCACAATCCTAACCATATTGTTATTATTGTAACCGTGACAACAGATATTGTCTAATCTAAAGAAAGTACTTATTTTAACCAAAACCACAAACTTCTCTTAAACCTAACCCAAAGTATGAAAGTTCCGTAAGCTTAGCTGCATGTTAATTATTGTAACCATGGTGACAAAGGTCCTGTACATCTACTGTTGTAGGGGCATTATCTAAGGAGACACTCCAATGGGTCGTATCAAAGGATTGAAAAAAACAACCTGTATTCAGGTTGGAGGAAGTTGTTGTTGAAATAGCCTGAACTTTTTTATTTTCTGTTGTGCACTTTCTTCAGTTACTTCATGGACATACCGAATATGCCAATCCCGATATATCTGGGGCAAGCTAATACTGACAAACATATACTGTATATGGCCTGTTTTCTACCAAAAACTTGCAGAGAAACACAACGATGCACCAGTAAAGAGTAGAGAAGTAAACAGTGAGAAAATGTAAATATGGATATAAACAACGTAGGCTTCAAAAAATTGGCTTTATATATATTTTGAGGAGGAACATTAAATGTGAACATCATTGTGTTTGTTTGCAAGTAAATAAATAAATAGGGCATCAGTGTTGCACATACGCTTTACATACGTACATTGAGTATTTTGTGTTGGCAGTGAAGTTTAAGGATCCTGTCTGCCTTCTTTTTAAGTGTTTCCTCACTATGTTGTTAAAATAAATAAAAATAACTTAAATTCACTCAGTGGTTAAACCTCTTAATCATTCATGTAAAGCTAGTGCTAGTGATGTGTGTGTGTGTGTGTGTGTTTGTGTGTGTTTCTTACGCGTGTACAAATATTTGACCATGCATTCACATGTAGACTCATAATCCAGATGGTACTGGTTGTCGTCCTTCCACATCGAATGTCCCTGTGTTTCCTTCCCCCAAAGTGTCCATTTATATGCATGTGGCCAGACACACACAGACAGCCGTGCCTCGTGCCTCGCTCTCTCTGCAGTATACATTGTGAGTCCATGTGGGACAACACATGCCCATTCTACTGTGAGGGTGGTGGTGGGGGTGGTGCGTGTGTGTGCGTGCATGAGATCTGTATTAGCTGCCAACACTTTGGCAGTATCAAGATGCCAAATTTCAAATTAATGCCTTGTCAGTGAATGTGACGAGGCACTGTGTACACTGGCAGGGGTCGCAGTTTCCAGCCCAGCACGCTAATTATGTCCTTAATGTCCAAAATTAGAGTTTCACTGGTGAAAAAGACACTCATTTACACATTGTAAGCGCCACTGCAGATGTGTTAACTAAGTTTAGTAGCAGTTAGCAACGAGTTGCACTTTGCATAACTTTCGGGATCCTTGTCAGGAAATGGAGGTTAAAAGAGCGTGCTGTCTTGAAAATGGTAAGATATGTTGATTGGAGAAAGACAGCTCAGGTGCCGTTTACAAACGCATTGTCCTCAGTGAATATTTTAGATGTCAGAGTGGGAGGCCTCCTAACAATCTGTTCTCCCCATTAAACCCAGTTCACTTTGCACATGCCCAGACTGTGAGGGTTGGTTCCCAGCCAAGCTCAAGTGACTGTCGATAGCTGACTGGAGAACAGAACTGCCCTGAAGCCTCCAGTCTGCATCCTTGTAAATGAAGCACTTCTTTGGAGATGCAAACTCTCCTTTTCCTCAAATAAAAACTGAACATTTTAGAAAACCATCTTGCTTTGAATGTCAGTATAATTGGCTTCCATTGAAATTATGTTTAATACATTTCTCACCTTGTGTATCGCATAAAGGACACTGTACTTATGCCACGTTAATGTTGGAAATTCTTTGATTACCAGTTTCCCACTGGTAAATATCCTTCATGGGGAACAAGCAGTAGCGCAATTAGATTAATAGCTACCAAAAAAAACCATCCAAATGACACAGCAGTGCTATGAGCTAAATGCTAACATCAGCATGCTAACATCCTGACAATGACAATGCTAACATGCTGATGTTAGGCAGGTGTAATGTTGACCACTTTCACAGTTTTACTTTAGCATGTTAACGTACCAAGAGGTGGTCCTTTGGGGACCATCAATAGCTGTGTTTTGACCAAATAGTACCTGGAACTTGGAACTTTAATTCCAGGTACTTTTCTTCAGGAACTGAAAGGTTCCTGTGGCCCATTGCTGTCTGCGTTTCCACCGCGACCTAAAGTCCCGGGAAGATTATGCAAAATTATTACTTAACATTACATTATTCACAGCATATTTATGTTCATGTTATGAGGACATAACATGAACGTAAATATGGGACAAATAGCATCCTGTGTATATTCAATAGCCAGCATTTAGCATTTTGTTTTCAAATACGGGATGATCCCATATTATACATGACGGGTGGCAACCTCAGCCACTCTGATTGTTGTGGTCCTTTATTTTTTTGAAGTCCTGTTTCAGTTTTTTTACCTTCTCCTGGACCTGTTTCACGGTGTGGAAAATGTGTTTGCTGCAGACTTTTAAACATGGTGGGTGAAATAAAATGCAGCGAGTACTCGACCAGTCAGAAATGTTCAGCACTGCAGACCACACCCCCAAAGTTCCTGAACCTTTGGAAAGTACTACCCCCCAACCAGGGATTTTTTGCGGGGTTTATCAATTACCCCAGGACTAAATTTAGACCCAGGTTCCTGCGGTGGAAACGCACATAGTCCCTTAAAAGGTTCCTGGTTCCTGGGGAAAGTTCCTGCGGTGGAAATGCGGCTAATGTCTGCACCAAATTTCATGGAAATCCATCCAGTAATTGATGAGATATTTTAGTCTGGAGCAAAACAGGTGGAAGAAACTAAAGTCCAATATTGACATAGAGCCATGTTGCTAGCATAGCTAAAATTATCTTATGTTGAAAAGCTAGAACAAGCTATTTAATTACAGTTTAAACTGGACTGGTTTAATTTGGATTTTTAACACTTCTTTTTTAACACTGTGTTAAAAAAAACATAAAAACAGTAATGATATGGGCAGATCATTTTTGTGTGTTTTCACTCAATATAATCTTTGAATACAAAAGACTATACACAACTTTCCAGTGTGGCCACCCACTTTAATGGCATCTTAACAACATCTTAACACAGTGACAAGCAAGGCGAGCAGTTCTTGCCCAGTTAAAGCTAAAAATAGACATGATACTGAAGTGAAGTTTTATCTCTCCTTACATCTGATCTCAGAGCAGCGTTGTGTCCCATAAAGGACCTCATGCCTGTTTGCTTCCATCATACAAAATACTGCCCTCTTATGGTGGCAGCAGGGTCTTGTCTCTGAAGCTAGCTTGACTTCCAGCTGTTGTATCTATAGTTTCTGTCATTTCCGTGGGCATGTCTGTGTCCCTTTGACGAAGGCTGGAGCTTGTCAAGCAGAGAGTACAGCAGCCTTTGTTGAGGGTTTGCACATTGAGGATAATCCTGGGATCTTTGACGTGTGACTATTGTGTGCTTGTCGAGCTGTACTTTACTCAGTTTCTACCATTCTGAGATCAGGGCTGCGATAAAAAAAAAAAAGTGTTTTTTTCTTAGGAAGGTTCCAAACTGAGTAAAATGACCTGAAGTATCTGAGCAGCAGTCATAAGTCCACTTCTCTAAATGATAAGGAAAGGAACTTTAATGCTTCCTATCTTGTCTCCTTTAGTATAGGAAACACTGGACCTTCCTTTATGAAAGGAAAGGAGAAAATGCTGTCGCACAATTCTTTGCGGCAGCAACATTTAAAACATTTCATGACTGTAGTTTTACCACAGCAGACCCACGTAAATGTAGAAAAAACAGAGCAGCTGTTTGTGGCACAATCCAGATGATTCTGATCAACGGAAGCTCAAATCCATAAATATTTCAAATCCAGTGAGGACTCATCATGAAGAATAGCCATATTGAATTATCACCATCTTAACAATCTATAAATGCCATTTCAAAATCACTCACTACACCATAAAATGTATTTTCTCTACTTCACAAATGTATAAAAAAAGTCAAAACTCTACATAACCTACTAAGACCTACTAAGTCTCACTGTCTCTCTTACTCTAACCCTAACCCTATTTAACATATCAATCCTATTTGATTTTGTTTCTGTGGTTAGGGAAGGAGGATTTATCGTCCATGTGTTATAAATAAAGTGGCTTTTGCTAAGTCCTTATGTATTCTCATTCACATCTTCCCCTGACCTCTTGACGTGGCCGTGTGTGGAAACTTAACTTCTGCATTAAACGTTAAGAAGCAGTAGCAAGTAAACAAGCAAATTACACTGCTTCATCATCTCTGTGCAAGATCTACATTAAGTTTGAGAAGTTCAAGACAGAATATTGTTACAGGAGTAGAACAGCTCCATTCAGGAATCAATTAGTACGTAGGTTGTGTGCGGAGAGAGAGAGAGAGAGAGAGAGAGAGAGGTGATGCTGCTGACCAGACCAGAGAGTTAGCTTGTTAGTTAGCAGTTAGCAGTATAGCTGTGAACATACAGTGCGACGTATGTGCACTTTAGGCTGTCAGTAAATAAATCCCGCAACTCCTCAAGACCTAAGTTCCTGCATATCCCATGTTCTTCATCTACAGTCCAGACATGAGATGGGAAAAGTTAACAGACTCTTCACTGTCACTTCAGTGAGTCATTGTCAGTTAAGTGAATATTTTGAAGATTACTATAGAAGTGATATTTTCCTCCATACTACACATTTGATATGTTTACTGTCAGTTCAGAAGAATATTCCTAAAACTTGTTCAGCAGGAAGGAGAAAGATGGAGATGTCCAGACAGAGAATAGCAAAATTCAGACAGGCAGCACAAAATGATTTGCTGCTGCTGCTGTCATGAAGTACAGGATTGGCTGCTCGGCTCTGCTTGCCTGTTTGTGAAAGTCACCACACGCCACTGTCTTAGCAACATCTTAACATCTTAAGAGACACTCAAAAAGCATTTTTTGATAGTTTGTTGGTGCTGTTTTATAATGTGAATAAAATGACAACGAACAAACATTTTTACAAATCCCTCTGCATTTCTAGTGAATTATCAAAATGATCTATGACTAAACCACATTACATCCAGGTAAGTGTCATTAAGGCTGGAAAATGACTTGTCTGACAGTATCATGCATGTCCTGTATCAGCTCATTTTAGCTCTTAATTGAAGCTATAGCGTTTAAACACTGAGTGAAATATTCAAACCGAATTCTCTGTGATTTCCATCAAATGGGAATTTTCTACACATCTTTCACTCCTCAAAATTCAGCTTGACATACTTGGAATCTTGGGAAATGTCAGGGTCCTCACTACCCTTCAAAATGAAGTTTGAACTGTGAGTTTACTGACTGGATCACCAGCTCCTATTGATATGTATTTGGTAAATATAATTTCATTAGAACTGTATGAAATAATATGTCAGTACTTCACCAGTTGGTTGAGCAGCTCTCTCTCTCTCCCCTGTCTCTTGCAGAAGCCAGGGATGGATGTTGCTGACGGTTATGTAACGTTTGTCCGTCACTCCCAGGACATGCTGCGGGAGAAGGTCAATGAGGAGGTGTACATAGAGAGATTATTTGATGTAAGTAAACCGCAGCACCTCCCTTTCCTCCACCAAGGGGGCAGGGGTGTGGGGTGGGGGCGGCGCCCTATGACTACATCCAGGAAATAACTGCTTGAAATCTACTAAACTGAATCTAAATAGAGTGATAGAAAAAGTTATAGAAAAATTTTTCAGTACTGCACAATAATAGATCTTCCAAAAAGCATGATTGATGATAGCAGTAAATTGTTGCGCCCACATTCGAATGGCACAGAAATCATCTGTGTGCACATTTATTTGTATAGCACATTTCAACAAGGCAATTCAAAGACAACACATGAAAAAATAAAAACACAAAATAAAATAAAATTTAAGCTGATTGAAACAAAGTAAAATAGAAACTAAACTAAAACATCATGCAACAGAGTAAATAAGAGAATTAAAAGTTACAGAGCAGCTTCAGTGCTGCAGGTTTTGTCTCATCGATATTTTTTGTTATTTTAATGAGTCATGTTTTACTTACTCATATTTTGTGTCTTTGTTCATCGTGGATATTAAAACGTGACATTTCCACACACCCAGTGAAAGTTAATGTTCTGTTATGAAATCCTACCTCGCCACAGAGGTTCTACTATGTCAGGCTGCTGACAGCGCTACCAGGAGCTGCCCTGCCTCACCCTGTCCAGTGTTATGCTGCCCTCGGATTCCATCTTCCATTGTCTGTCTTTGCCTCCATCATAGTTTTGTGGTTCGGTCCTTTAGATACAAAACACGTTTTTATAAAGTTTACAGGCACACTGCTGTCCCTGCATTGCTCTGTGTACTGTGAGGCAAATAAAACAAGACTTGGGTTCTTCTCAACTTGTCCTTCCACTCATCGACTATCAGGAGACAGCGAGGACATGAAGCGCAGCAGTCACTATTGATGCTTTCCCATGCACTCACATGCACCGCAACACTACAGTTATATAGACATTACATGGAGAAGCTGTATGTGAAAAAACAAATGTCCAAATCAGTTGGGGCTGACGTAAAATGGACTTCACAGTGAGCAAGCGGGTGTGTTGATTACGTTCCTATCATGCACCTGATGTGAAACCGGAAGAATAAAAACATCCCAGATGAAGAGGAAGGGTCATTCACACAAGGACGCCAATGAAAATCTGTAACTGGAGAGACAACGAGATTTGGGAACTTCTCTTGGTGAGGAGCTGTGGCCTAAGCCATCAACCTTTTTTTTTAGGATGTGTGATTTCAGCATAATTTTTCCATCATGTCCTGCCTCCTGCATGCTCCACCCAAGGACCCAAACAGAGTATTTCCAGTAGCTGAGAACATTTGGCGTTTTATGCCTTTATTAAACAGCAGCAGTGGAGCAGTGGAAATTCAGGGAGAGAGTAGTGGGGAATGACATGTAGTAAATGGTCTGGCCAACCGGGAGTTGAACTGGGGACTGCTGAGGGCATGTGAGCCCATGTGGTATGCGCCCTAACTTTTTGGCTGTCAGGTCACCCCTGGGACACTTACCTGAACTTTTCTACAATTTCACACATACTGTATTTTTCACATAGAAGGACTTTTTGTCTGGACTGCAACAGTAGGGCCAGCCCTATAATTGCGAATGGTGCTGACTGATCATATTTCCACCACTGGTCAGCCTCAGCTCATTGTCTGTTTTTTTTCAAACAGACTGTTTACTGGTTCATGACTGGACCTTGTATGGATGCCAACTGCTCAGGGCTATACCTCTTGATACAGGCAGTCTACTGAGCGGCTATCGTTTCCTGGCCGCCCAGGAACTGCAGGGAAGAGGAGGAGCACTTGAATACACTGAGCCTCACCTCCATTACAGCAAATAAACTACTTTCATTCCATGTATCATTATTACTGAAGGAGGCAGAGGAATAACTAAACATAAGACACACTCAGCAGAGAGAGCAGGAGAGAGGGAGGGAGGGAGAGAGAAGTCATCGGTAACGAAGCTTCGTACTAACGACTATGACCAACTCTACATATCAAACAGAGGGAGTTAGACATAAAGACCTGCCTCTAATAAAAGTCTGTGACGTTCTGGAGTTGAAGTAAATAAAGAATAAATTATTGTGGATCCAGACGGAGGCTGTGCTCTGTGTGAGACACTGAATAAGAAAGATAATCTGTCTCTGGCCCCAGTGGTTCACCTGGGCTAGAGTCTGGCCTGTGGCCCTTTGCTGCGTGTCATCCTCTCTCTCTCTCACTCTCTCTCTCTCTCTCTTTCTCTTGCCCTCTCTCTTCTAATTTCTTGTTATCATGTCACAGTAAATCCAGCTGAAATCACAGCTCAGTCTTTGTCTTTCATTCATATGTTTGGTGATTTTGTCAGACGAAGTCACAGTTATTAAAATCAGGATTTGACTGTAGGTGGTCCAGACATATACTAGGTTTGGACCTAGTCTTGTCACATATTGTGTATCTGCTACTTGTAGACTGTCCTTGGCAGAAAAATACTGCATTTCTTGTTTGTGCAAATACCATTTTACATTTTCAGTGTTTCTTTTTACCATGACCACAATCTGTCCCCTCACCTAAAACCAGTGGATTCAGTTGTTTAAACCCAACCAGCTGTTAACCACAGTGGTAGCAGATCACAAAACACTCATGTGGGTCATGTTGGAGAGCAATGACAAATGACCTTTTTATTTGTTTGGAGGACTTTGTCATGTCCAACACAGTTGTTGTCATATCAATCAAATGGTGATAGTTTAGATATTTTGGACATACTTTTTAAATGTTCTCTGAATCAGTTGGTCTCTTTTGGATCTCAACTAAAAAAAAAGGGTTTGTTTTGATGAATGTGCAGCTGAGTCTAAAAATACTAACGCTCCTTTAACCATCACAGTTAGTAGGACATTACTCATGCTCAACATTCTGCCAACATCTCCTGCTGGTCCAGGTCTTTTTGGCTCTCTGCAAGTCACTTTGTGAGGCCGACTGTACTGATGCATTAGTCTGACAAACTGTAATCAGCCCGAGCTGTAATCAACTTGCAAAACAGTCCCACGACACTGTTTGTCTCCATTATGTGAGATGAGGTCAAGTAACATCAAAACAATCAGTAAATCTTTAAGCCTCGCTGCTGAGCCTCCTCTGAGGTCAGACTGGATGTTTTCTCCCCAAAACGTGCTAAAACAATCCCTGCAACACGATGAGTTGCATAATGAGCTGCGGATCCATCTCTGCTTCTCTTTTCAGAGTCAGCCTCTTGTGTTTGTATGCAGCCGTCCTCTACTCTCTTCTGCGTTTGCTCCTTTTGTCTCGTGGCGTTTCTGTGCAGTGTGTGCTGATGTTGAGGAGGGATTATCCTTAGTGGTGCTCTCTCTTTCCGAGTCAGCAAACAACAGTTAATCAACTGAAAAAGAGGCACAAAAGATCACTTTGTGAAATGGCTTAGCTTCGTGTTTACAGGCAGCCACCAACCAACCACAGATTCTGTCCACATTTTCTTTTTCAGGACACACAAAAAGGTCGTCTCATCAGCTACTGTTAAAACAGCGTTAAAGCTGAGGCTTGTGAGTTGTGGATTAGTCGGTGAATAGACAGAGCCGGCACATTTAAGGGATTGCTTAATCGTTTTGTTGTAAGTTGGTTTACAGTGTAACAAATGCCCGCCAAAGCTCACACTGGAAGTAGGGTGCTACAGGTGTGGGAGTTAACTTTATATAGAAAACAACTGGTGCAGATGTGTGCAATTACCCATTATGACAAGGTGACCATTCAACGTAAAGTCTGTAACTTCTGCCTTTAGGAGTCTCTCGATCCAAACAATAAGAAAAGACAGCGTTGGGTGACGTCATAAAATAGTGTAGGATCATGGAAGTTCCTGTTTTCACCACCGTTACCATAAGCTCCTCCAAGTTTGGATGCCTTCAGTGTGAGTGGTTGAGGAAATCAAACAGACTGTTAAAACACTGAATAAAGCAGTCTGACATTTAAAGTCAGAGTTTGAGTGACGCTGTACGGAGGACAGAGACTCAGGGAAGAGCTGGAGCTGAGATTGATGCTAACCTTTGTTCTGATTGTTTCTCTGATAACTTATGAAGCAGACGTTCAGGAGGTTTCTACCAGCAGCTGGATTATCCACAGAGGTGTCCTCCTCTCCATAACAAACACACCAGGGGATTAAAACCTGTAGAAACACTCAGAAAACAGTTTGACTTTAAAAATCTGAGATTTGTGGTGCCCCAGTTGCTCACCTGGTAGAGTATGTACCACAAAGGCTTAGTCCTACCTGCAGTGGCCCAAATTCCAGTCCGACCTGTGGCCTTTCTCTCTCTCTCCCTTACTTTCCTGTCTCTCTCACTGTAGTGATCTGAATAAAAGCAAAAAATACCAGAAAAAAGTACTAAAATAAAATTTCCTCAGCTTGTTTCTCTGATAACTTCAGATCCAGACGTCCAACGACTAAAATCCTTCATCTGGTTCAAATACAGAGCTTAAAACCACCAAGGTGTAAAAAGTGTATGTGGCTTAAAACTAGATAAAAGTCAATGTTGAGCTTCTGTCAGACAAACACACTGACACATGATCATAGAGGATATGATGTAGTTGTTTTTAAACATTTGAATGCAGAAAAGTTACTTTAACTTTAAGACATTTTGCTATGACTCTCTCTGTAAGTTTAGCTCAGGTTCCTCCATTTCTCTGGATCATCTCTGAGATCTTTCTACACCTTGATATGGTTCCACCTGTGGTAAACCCAGCTGATTGGACATGATGTGTAAAGACACACACCTGTCTATATCAGGCCTCACAGCTGACAATGCAGATCAGAGCAAAAAGGAAGGAGCTGCTGCAGAGATAGGATTGTGTCGAGCCTCAAAAACTGAAGGTTCCTGAGAATTTCCATCACTCTGACATGAAGAAGTCTGGAACAACCAGGACTCCTCTAGAGCTGGACCTGGATTAACTGAGACATCAGGGAGAAGAGAGGAGGCCAGGACCCTGATGCTCTCTCTGAGCTCCAGAGATCCCATGTGGAGACGGAGAAACTTCCAGAAAGA